TAAATTAACTAGTCTATTACATATTACATATTGAGGTAGTCATTAAGACAATAAGGTTCTAACTGGATTAACAACTGTTTAATTTTCGTTTAACCTTTCACAGGTAACGAAATGTAACCTAATTCAACCTTACACAAGAGGTAACGTCGGACTCGCATTCCGATTTTTAAAAAAAATTGCTGAAACAATATTGGAATATGAAGAAACTTTAAATATACAATAAAAGTTATAAAAAAAAACAATATATATATATATATATATATATATATATATATATATATATATATATATATATATATATATATATATATATATATATATATATATATATATATATATATATATATATATATATATATATATATATATATATTCTCACGTATTGATTCACGTTCGCTTGTTGAACTCCGACTGGAATCCTGCAGACGTTTCGCCAAAATCTCACTTGGCATCTTCAATGCTCGCGCTCCGAAAACACTTCGAACACTGTATATATATATATATATATATATATATATATATATATATATATATATATATATATATATATTTATATATATATACAGGGTTTTTCACTTAAAACTCCGCACGCCAATAACTCCAAAACGAAAAGAAATATTTAATTTTTGTAAAAAGTAGTCAAAGTGTGGGGTCAAGTAGATATTTCCTAAAGTTTAAAAAATTCGACGCCTGCAAAGAGGTGGGCGTCGCGACGCGTCGAAAAATTATTCGATTTGCAGAGACTTTGGAAATACGCGCATACAAAAGTACATATTATTTAAAAACTTTTTTGTTATTTACTCAAACTTATTTACTTTACCCGTTTCTAAGTTATACCGATTTAAAGTAAACATTTCTTGATTAATAAAAAATGTGATTAACGCTTATTTTTACAAGTATGCCATGAATGTTAGTTATTATGGCAACCATTGTTGTCGCAGTTGTTTTAAGTGCAATTACAAACAATAGATTTCAACTATTTTAGTATGATTTTATTTATTATTTTTTATCGATTTAGTTCTGATAACATGATAAATAAATGAAAAAACAGTAAAATACCTACAAGTTAATAACCAAAATTATTATTGCAATTAACTACATAATAAGACATTTCAAAAATTTTGTTCAAAATTATGTCCATCTGCTCGAACACAACTATCAAAAACTTTTAACAGATGAGCTTGGGTCACTTGTAGGAGAGTCCTTCTTGTGATAGCGGCACACGCTGCACTAATTTTGTTAATGAGATCAGCCATATCTTCGATAGGTTCTTCATAGATAACGTTTTTTAGGTAGCCCCAAAGAAAATAATCTGGTGGTGTAATGTCCGGGGACCTCGCCGGCCACCTTACCGGTCCAATAGTACCAAACCATCTATTGGGATATTCTCGGTTCAAATACCTCGTTACTATTTGGGAATTATGTGCAGGCGCTCCATCCTGCTGTAGCCACATATTCATTCTAGTGTCAAGAGGCACTTCTTCTAATAGTTCCGGAAGTGTAGTTTGAAGAAATCTTAAATAGCGATCTGCATTTAAAGTTCCTTCGTAAAAGTAAGGTCCAATAAGGAATCCATTTAATATGCCGCACCAAACATTGATACTAAAAATTCGTTGGTTACCTCTTTCTGTAATCCAACGAGGATGGTTTTCGGACCAAAAACGACAGTTGTGTCTATTAACGATTCCATTACTTTGAAATCGACTTTCGTCGCTCCATAAAATTTTCGAGAGAAAATTTGCATCTTGGCTATACAAATCGGACAATGTCGCTAAGAAATACATTCTTCTAGCATAATCGCCTGGTTCTAGTTTATGAACTAGTTTACTTTTGTTCGGGTGAAAAGAGTTTCTATATAGAATTCTCCACGAAGAACTTATGGTAACACCGGTATTTTCTTTTATCTCTGATAGGGATATCTTGAGGTTATTATCAACCTGCTGAATTACAGCAGCAGTATTTTCATCATTTGTAGCCGTCCTGTTCCTATCTCTTTTAGGTTTTATGAAGCTGCCATATTCTCTTAAGTTTTTACATAAACTTGAAAAGGTTTTTGCATCGGGGACTCTTCTATGCGGATAACGCCGTGCGTAAACTCTTTTTGCTTCTCTACAATTGCATCTACATTCTCCAAACACCAGTAACATGTCTACTTTTTCCTCATTGCTAAATTGCACCATTTTCACATAATAATTCTTAGTTTTTTTTAAACCGAACAAATTTGGATATTTCTTGTGACAATTTTTTGATACAGCAATAACAACTTACGTTTGTAATTGCACTTAAAACAACTGCGATAACAATGGTTGCCATAGTAACTAACATTCATGGAATACTTGTAAAAATAAGCGTTAATCACATTTTTTATTAATCAAGAAATGTTTACTTTAAATCGGTATAACTTAGAAACGGGTAAAGTAAATAAGTTTGCGTAAATAACAAAAAAGTTTTTAAATAATATGTACTTTTGTATGCGCGTATTTCCAAAGTCTCTGCAATCGAATAATTTTTCGACGCGTCGCGACGCCCACCTCTTTGCAGGCGTCGAATTTTTTAAACTTTAGAAAATGTCTACTTGACCCCACACTTTGACTACTTTTTACATAAATTAAATATTTCTTTTCGTTTTGGACTTATTGGCGTGCGGAGTTTTAAGTGAAAAACCCTGTATATTGTTTCTACTAGCGTAACAATGCGGAGCACTAGGCTACGTACACAGAATTGAAGGTTATTTTCTAATCTGAGAAGTGGGACTGGAATAAACGAGACAATGCGGAGAACTAGTCCTTGAATGATACGACAAATTTGCGTTGCAAATATCAACAATTATCGGGTATCGGCGACTTTTACTGAATAAAACAATTACTCAAAGAAATCTTACATGCCATAGATGAAGTGCGTTATGATAATTAAGGTCACCTCATGATTGTTCATGCTAATAAAGCACGAAGTAGATGTAGCTACACAATTGAAGTTTGTAATAAGTGTAATGTGCATTTACATTGCTTTGTAAAATATCACCAAAAATGAAACCGGGTGTTACCAGTGGTGCGCTCATGCGCCATAAAATATGTGTTATTTTTGTATCAAATCAGGTTCTATTTAGTATTTTAGTTGTTTTCTGTCGAATTTGAACTGTCTTTTGTATATTTATGTATAAATTATATGTTACATCTTATGTGCCCCAAAATACTTTTTTTTTTGTTTCGAGTTTTTATTTTTTTTTTTTGACACAACAAAATAAATAATTTCAGAGCAAAAAAGTATTTTTTTTGTTTATTTTATGCTTGGGATAATATGGGTTAAGGAAACAAATTTAGAAAACAAATCAAACAAACAAACAATAAGCATTTGTTCTACGTTCCAAGACTGGACGAAAAGTCTGGGAAACCGGTTTGGGTTTGAGCTTCGTTACACTGATACGCATGTTATATTCGTGGCCGGGGTATTTTGTTTTTAAAAGCTACTCCCTTAGAACATAACGCAAATTTAAAACATTACTTTATTTAAACTGAACAATTACAGAATAATAACCAACTAAGTTTTAACAAACAAATTTCTAACAAAATCCAAATCCCAAAATCCGTTGTTTCTGCGGTGTGCCGGGTGCTTCAAAAAAATGTATACACACTTTGAACTTCCATAGAAAATTTCTTTACCGTTCTACAAAGTGAAATTTCAGGAAAATAGAAAGCTGAAAGTCCAATGTAAATGAAACATAAATAACAAATGTTAATACTGTTCAAATTGGTGACCTGCAGCATCAATACAATTCTGAGTACGAGTCACCACTGATTCTGTACATCGTATCAAAACGTCCAATGAGATTTCTCTACACACTGCTTGAATCTCATTCCAAAGAATGTCTAGGTTACGTGGTTTACGTTTGTACACCTCATCTTTTACTGTGCCCCACAAGAAGAAATCCAGTGGTGTAAGGTCTGGAGAGCGTGCTGGAAACTCGATTGGCCCCCTGCGTCCTATCCACCGGCCCGACAAATTTTGATCCAGGTAAGCTCGTACGTCCCTGTGATAGTGCGGCGGAGCACCATCTTGTTGAAAATAAAAATCATCATTACCGTATAATGCACGAATGGCAGGAAATATGCAATCAGCAAGCATTGTTAGGTAATTAATACCAGTTACAGTGACTAAAAATCGAAAAGGTCCAATGAGTCGCCTTGAAGACAAACCACAGCACACATTTACACCAGGCAAATTTACAGCTTTTTCAATTGTAATGTGAGGATTTTCTTCACCCCAGTAAACACAATTGTGCCTATTGACAGTTCCATTAAGTTTGAATTGGGCTTCATCCGACCAAATGATGCTACCCATAAATCCCGGTTCACGTATCACCATCTCCTGAATCCATTCACAAAATTGCAACCTTGGATCGTCGTCTTTTAGCTGTTGCACCAGCCTTGGAATGTAAACACGATACTTGCCTCTCTTCAGAATGCGTAGCACGCTGCTAGCACTTACATCACTTTCACGTGCCCCTTGCCTTGAAGATTTGTTAGGAGAGCGTTGAAACAGTTCCAAGACTGCCGTTGATGACTCATCACTTGTAGCTGTTCGAGGCCGACCTGAATGACCTTTATGCACATCACACACTGTTCCATGAACTTCGAATTTGTCTCGTATGCGTGTAATTGTTAATCTTGAAGGTGGTTCTGTATCATACTCCCTTCTCCACTGTCTTTGAACTTCATTTACATTCTCAAACTTCCAGTACCACTTAATAACCTGCTTACGTTCTTCAAAACTCAAACGTACGTTCCCCATGTTAATATTACATATTCCAACTGATAATATAACATAGAGGGACGATTATGCTGGCACCTGGCGAAGAAATATAACATTAGCCTTGTAGAGCGGGAAAAGTACAATTGTTTAAAGTGTGTATACATTTTTTTGAAGCACCCTGTATATATACGGGAGCTGGACCGCATTACTCAGCAGCAAATACAATCGTAAGGTTATCCTAACATTGAAATTGTTGTTGACAATTGAATTACTCCATATGACATGAATTTACGCGTGTAAGATTAGACCGGCAGCCCATATCTGATCCGTTTATCTATGTTATTGTTGCCGATCAGCCAGTGTTATATATAAATAACTCAATTTAAAATCAGACGCGGCCATTAGAGTTGTTGTTTTTCTGGTGAGTATTTTTATGGAATTAATAGGTGTGTAACTGTGTTACAATGAAACGCGGTGGCCGTCAACCATTCAAATACTAATTTGTTTATGCTAAATCTCAATTCTAAATGATGCGTTGTACACCGGGTGTTCCAGTGAGCTACGGCATTGGGAAAACGGATGTTCCTAAAAATTAAAAAAAAAAGTGAATCGTCCAAGCAAAAGTGCGGACATTATATTTACCAGGCTAGGCTAGCGAGCGGGCTATGAGTGAAATGACTGGCACAGTTGCAAAAAAATATTGTTTCAGAGAAAAATTAAATGCAACGATATAAAATTTTTTAGTCCATTAGATCGTCAAACGGGCCCAACAACCCAGTTAGAACCGCATCTCCTTTGATAAATTGATTAAGGCTTTCGCGGCCCGTTGATAAGTTATTATCTTGATTCGGGTTTAAAGGCCGTCGTCGGTTGGAATTACTTCCTAACGTTTCGCTAGCACGAGTGGCGAGCTTCTTCAGAGGTCCTTCCATCTCCAATGTTGGACCTAGACTGACGATTTCTCCTGTTTGTATTTATGCCGATTGGTGGTGGGCGGGGCTTGTTCCGCTTCGGTTGGTCTCGGGATATCGATCGGTACTGATCGGGCGTTCCTAAGGATCGGGTTCCAGATTTGGTTGAGTCTCCTCCTTTCTGTTGAAATTGTGTGGGTGTTTTTGTATCTCAATGGCTTCCCTGACTAGTCTGTTGTGATAGCTGTTGACCGATGCTAGTAACTTACAGCTCTCAAAATGTATCCTGTGTTCCCCGCTGCCCAGTGTTCAGCTACTGCAGACTTCTCTGTCTGTCCTAGCCCGCAGCTTGCTTTATGCTCCTTAAGTCTCGTTCCCATTGATCTCTTGGGAGTTCCGATGTACACCTTTCCGCATGAACACGGAATGCGGTAGACTCCTGCAGCTGAAAGTGAGTCCCTCTTGTCCTTCGCTGACCTGATGGTCTGCTGGATCTTCTTTGTAGGCTTAAAGATTGTTTTGAATACAGACCGACAAAGTTAAACTTTTTGAAAGATGTTTTTATTTTGGAAACTGATTTTATATAATTTTGGTGGGCTAATTTAAAAAAAAAAGACTGTGCATTTACTTGTATCACCCAATTTTTTTTTGCAAATATTACAGGTATTTCGATATTTCTAAAATAATTTCTTTTTTGTTATTCAGTAAAAAAGTGGAATACCAGTTGAAAAATGTGAAAAACAACTTTTACTCAGGCTTTTTTGAGTGAAATCTTAGTCTTTTTGCAAAAAAATTGTTCAAGTGTGAAAACAAGCAATTATTGTAGAGACCGGACGAAAAAATATGAACTAGGCTCAAAGAACATGAAAGAGCCCTGCTACACCGTCTTTCCACAAACTTTGTTTGAACACTATCATTAGCTAACCCTCTGTCTATTTCGCAGGTTAATGTCCCTCCAAGCATGGTAGAAATTATTCTGGGATTTTTAGTGTTCCTTCTTTTGGGCTACGCTTACGTAAATAGGTCCTACTCGTACTGGAAACGCAAAGGTGTAGAGCAACTGGAGCCTGCCTTTCCGTTCGGCAACTATGGCAATTTTTTCCGTCAGAAGCAATCGTTTTATTTGTTTTTTAAAGAAGTTTACGGCAAACTAAAGTCTCGCGGAGTTAAGTTCGGAGGCTTGTACTTTGTGCTGAGACCAGTACTCGTTCCGTTGGATTTACAAGTTATCAAAGCCATCACCATTAAGGACTTCGATCACTTTGGAGATAGAGGGTTTTATGCGAATACTGAGGCGGACCCGCTTTCCGGCCACTTGGTTAGTTTGGACGGTCTCAAGTGGAAATCGCTGAGGATAAAGCTGACGCCCACTTTTACCTCCGGCAAGATGAAAACGATGTTCGGTACAATACTGGAGTGTGCATCGACCTTAAACGAGGTGCTATCCAAACACGCAGAGGATAAAAATTCCGTGGACATTAAGAACGTTCTCGAACGATTTACTATGGACGTCATAGGTTACTGCGCGTTTGGTATCGACTGCAATTCCTTAAAGAAGGAGACTCCGGAGTTCGTGAAGTACGCCAAAAGGGCATTCAACAACAGCTTCTGGGACAATTTCAAGGTAATGTTGTCTCAAGTGTTACCGTATAAGATTGCGAGGTTAATCAGACTGAAAATCACCAACGACCAAGTGGAAAAATTCTTTTTGAACATCGTCAAAGATACCGTAGAATACAGGGAGCGGAACAAGGTGGCGAGGAAGGACTTCCTGCATATGCTGCTGCAGCTTAAGAATCACGGCAAAGTCTTGGACGACGAGCAGGTTTTCGAAAAAACTGGCACGGGGATGAGCTTGAACGAGATCGCGGCGCAGTGCTTCGTCTTCTTCCTCGCAGGGTTCGACACTTCATCCACGACAATAATGTTTGCTCTGTACGAGCTGTCAAGAAATCAGGAGTTGCAGGACAAGGCGAGAGAAGAAATCCTTTCGGTTCTCAATCGACATAACAATGAGATCACCTATGAAGCTGTACTTGAGATGCATTACTTGGAACAGGTGGTGCAGGGTAAGTTTTAAAGGTATTAAAGAAAACATATGTAGCCCAATAGAATCACACCTGAAAGTGTCGTTATGTAATGGTAGACATTATGCACAGCAAGACAAGTGCAGACTAATTTTAATTTTAAGGCTATACTAGACTACAGCGTTCAGTCAACTTTAAAAGGTCTTTTCGTTTCTCACCATGGTCACTGGGTTTTGGTAGATGCACTTTTTCTCTCGAGTCGAGGTAATGCAATCCAACAAGTGCCTAAGAATCGGAAAGAGGAAAATCATGTTTCAAATGCAATATGTTATGCAATAGAATGCACCTTATATGCAGATTCCTATTTCTTAATCAAAAAATCTTAGTTAGTACACTTGTTGTGATCATCTTCGTGTTATTTTTAAGAATCCCGGAATGTATTCAAGGAGAGTAAAAGAGAAGGACTTTCTACCTCACATAATTCTGTTGTTGCTTTCCGTTTATAGTTTCATATTATTTCGTCAATACATTTCTGAAGCAAATTCTTTTTAATACTGATTTAATACACATCGAGTGATGCTTCGTCACTGCATATTGTGATTGCTCTTTTACAGAGTGGTTGGATGATTCCTAGTTTGGTTGCTTCAGAATGGTTATACCCGAAGTTTAAATACTGTCCGGTAGAAACAATAGGCAGCGGTCCTTTCTTTTTTCAACGTAAGATTTAAAGGACCGTCGCAAAAAATTAAGTTGATTGACAAAGGAACCTAGCTGTCTATCCGTCCCATTCCGGGTGATGAAGTTATCGTCAACATATTGAAGGCAGACCCTTGACCGATGACAATATATTCGCTACTATCGGTGAGAGACGGGAACCAAACTGTGGGCCATCATTTTGTGCGTAAAACTTTTCTTTGATTTGAAGGTAATAGCAATAGCAAAGTTCTGCCTGGAAGTGTTGTATGATTCCTCAATCTGGGCTCGTCTTTCCACGTCAAACTGGTCCAAGTTCTTTACCCGTGAGATTTTTGGAAATCCATAAAGATGTTGTTGCTGAATATAGTCTGTATTTATGCAGTGTTCGACTGATTCATCCTTCAATCATCCTAGTAGGGTCACTAAAAACTAGTCTGTAATTGCCTTGAGCAAGTGTTTCCTTGATTTTGTGATGGCATGCCCATCCATGACGACTTTGGCGTTGCAATTAAGGGAAAGCAACAGCTGAAAGATCTGAGGTAGATCTTTGGTTTTAACGATATGATTAAAAAAAAGATTTAGTAGTAGATCTTTGGTTTTAAGAAGATGATTAAAAAAAATTACCAATATTAGAAGCTGATAAATGTATGGAGGGATCTTGTCTGACCCCACTGACTTTTTGGGCTTCATCTTTTTAGTGGCATCTTTTTAGTGGTATCAATTTTCAAGATGTGATTATAATATTGCTGAATTCCATAACATATGAAGATTTTGTATTCGTATATACACATTTTAAATAATCTGCAAATTTATTAGCTGTCTAAGCATTTCCGTCAATCGAGTCAGAGAGACTCTTAGAGCCCGAACGTAAGTTTTAGAGAACTTCCAGAACTTCAACGTTCTTTATATTTGATCTTAAATAAAGAAAAATTGATTGAATTTTTTGAAGTTTTTTTCCTTTTGCCTTTTTTTTGTATATAAATTATAATCTCTTATAATATTTTAGTATGTCTACTGAATCACTATCTGTCACCGTCAAGCAAACATAGGGACCACTATTCTTTATTCTATGGTGTGCATTTGTTTATTATCGGCAATCTATTTTGCAAAGTATCATTTCAGAAGCACTAAGGATGTACCCTCCAGCTGCGCATATTCAACGCATCTGTGTCAAAAAATACAAGGTACCGGGGGCGGACTTAACGATCGAAAAGGGGACTCTCCTACAGATTCCCGTATCGGGACTCCACTGGGACCCGGAGTACTACCCCGAACCGGAAAAGTTCGATCCGGATCGGTTCAGCGAAGCGAGGAAAACATCCATTCCCTCCATGGCCTATATGCCCTTTGGTGAAGGACCCAGGCAGTGCATAGGTAATACTTACTACAAAAGTTTTTTATTTGAATCTTTTATCGGATAATTAATAGTCTCGTGAACAATATTCCTGCAAGACCAGCAGTTGTTGGGACGTTTAAAAAAAAAATAATGGTCCTTTTTCTTCACCAAATAATGAACATCGAAACAGTTTCTACAACAATAAATGGTAAGGAATGACCTGGCTTGCATGGGGTAAACTTTTTAAGTCAAATGCCGTTAAAAGCGTATGGAGCTTATCCTTGTTGTCAACTGATTTAACAATTTATTCACGTTGTTGCAAAACCTTCTTTTTAATTTTCATGGTAGTGATAAAACAGGAAGACTTTTGTCGAACTGACAGATCACATCATCTTCCTTAAGGGGTGATGTTGCTGCTAATTAATAAAAACTTTATTGAAGATTACGGCAAATCCATATTTCAGGAAACGGCTAAAATATGCAACAAATTAATTAATTGAAAATCAGTTCTGGCGCACTTTTGCAACAAATAGAAAATATACAGGCTTGGTCAAATGTAGATTTCGATACCACCATTTTTCCATTTTTTTTAAATCCATTGTGGGAATTCTGCTTCAGAAATTTAATTGTGAAATGAATCACTATAAAAAATCCAGGTCACTATGGATATGGGGCGATAGTCTCCGGGATTGTTAATGTCACCGCTCTTAAAGATTGGAAAAGTATCTGGAAAAATTCCATATTGAGAGCACTTATTAAAAAAGACCATAAGCGGAATTCCTAGAACATCTATAAGGTTTTTTTTGTATATTGTCATCTTTGGCAGCTTTTCAGAATTTAGCGGGGTTTGGGGGGAGGGGGGTCCTATTTTTCCTTTTTTTTGTTTCACTAATAGAAGTTAATGATTCGTGTCCAGCTAATAGACTGTTAGTGTTATATTTTATGCAGAACTCTACAAGTTTTTGATCAGCTTCGTTCCTTTTTCCCAGATCGTATTTTCCGATGAGGTGTTTCATATGTGCGCCTTCATGAGTTTGTCCGATTTTTGCTTTAAAATGACGTTGAATAAGTGTTATTTCTTCTTCGAGACTAGTTGATGTTAGCACCGATTTGAACGACATTTCATTTGCAGTGTATAGCACTACTTTTTATAGTCATTATTTTAGAATTGACAGGATTGCAGCCCATCATATGAAAATGTTCATGATCGGTCCAGTGTCAACTGTATCAATATTGGTAACTTCTCTTTTGGTGATGTCCAGCCACCATGATAGGTAACGATACCCTGAATACCACGGAAATTCGATTCGGGAAACAATTTCACTCCGGATACCTTTAACAATTAGAAATTCATAGGATTTCCTTGGGAAGCACACTAGGGCGCATTCCTGAAGCGGATCTATCACTCATCCGGATCATGAGAAGGTGTCCACCCGCTACGCCGATACCAGTAAAGTTCTTAAATCACAAATCATCACATTTATATTTCTTGAAGTAAAGCCAGTGACTAACCTGGTGACAACAACGAACATTGTCATCCGCAGTATGAAACATGAACACGAACATCCTAAATATGGATGACTCTAGACAAAACAAAAACTTTCCACACAAATAGACCATCTGATTTATAAAGGGTGCTGAAACAGGAAAGTCTCCTACAGCTACTTCCCAGTCAACAACAACTTGCTCAAGAAGAGGCAATGTTTAATACGGTTGATGGTCAATCTTCTGCTAATGTCCGAAGGACAGATAGGCCAAATGAGAGTGTGAGATTTTAGTCGTTGGAATCCTATAATATTTGGTGTGGTATTATAATTATTAATCATTGGTCCGTTTATAATTGAAGAACGTCTCAAGGGCATTTGTTATTTACGTTTCATTGCAAATAATCTTACAATATTACTGGATCATGTTCCTTTTCATTTAAGACAACGAATGTGCATTCAGCGCTCACTTTAACGACAAATAAGAGAATTTCTTAATCAAAATTACACAAACCGGTGGATTGGAATGGATTAAGCAGTTCCTTGGCCAGCAAGGTCACCTGGCCTTAATTCCTTTGATTACCCTCATGGGGAAGACCGAAAACTTTAGATTATGCAGAAAGTGTTGAAAACAACTGGTAGCTAGAGTTATGGATGTCGCAGAAACTATTCGTGCTCACCCTTAGACTGTTAGCAAAGCTACCACTTCCATACTAAGAGGAGCTGGACTGTGTATACAGCAACTAGACTGATATGTTCAACGACAAATTCAATTAAATAAATGGGTTTCTTTTAAATAGTCTTTCAAATGTCAAATATATTATAGCTCAGCGTTGCGGGTGTATGTTCATTTTACATTATGAACCCCAGCAACACACTGTCAAGCGATGACAGCCATATCGTGGGACACCCTGTGGAACAATACCTGAAGACATTGAAGAGAATTGCAAACATGCGGCTGAAATTTAACAAATTCAAGTTGAATGAGAGCAGATGGAAATTTGTAAATAATTTAGAGACACAGCTGATTAAAGATTACTTTCAACTAACCAAAACGGAAAGTAATACGAACACTGTACATGAAGATGCAACAGAAAACAACACATTATCTGAGCCAGCAATAGAAGAAATGAGGGATATAATTGACAATATCCAAAACAGAAAAGCTACATAAATATTTAGTAACAATAACATATAATAATAATAATAATAATAATAATAATAAGTGTGCTTTTATACAGTGCATGCGATCCACAATTTAAAGCAAATCATAGAAAAAAATATATGAATATAAATCTAAATTGAGATGCTCTTTGATTCAATTAGGAGCACTAAAGGAGATGGATATAACTACAAAATAACCATGACTATAAAAAGAACAGCAATTAGTTTTAAAACAAAGGGGGGAGAAACCGAGGAATTTGACACCAATGAAGGCATCATACACAGAGATTCAGGGCAGGAGTCGTAACATAGCATGAGAATTCAGGCAATAGAAAATAATGCAGAAGTATGAAACAGCTGTCTATAGCTTGACAAATTATCTATATATCCTTTAGGGAGCAACATTCTATATAGATGTACGCTCATTTAGTTTTATATTAGTTTATTTCAACTGAACCAACCATCTCTCAATGCACAAGACTGCCTCTCTCATAATATTTAAGTTGTTATTTTTTAGTAGTCCTGTTGTAGCCTCGTACGCCGTCACAACATATCGTTTATGTAGATTGGAAATAGAACCCTGTGGTTCTCCATGTTCTATATTCCCTCCCAGAGTTCGGCTGGCCAAACAGCTGCAAACAAGCTTGATGCTTGTTAATGAAATACATTGTTTCTTAAGCCTAAGAATATGATGGCCTGATAGCTTACACATCGAAGGCCTTAGAGAGGTGACAGAATGTTGTCATGTGTTGTTATATTGACCATACTCGAAGCTCTAGATAATGTATTGCAACAAGGATATAATAGCAAAAGAAGTTGATTTTGATCTACATAACCCGTAATGACATGAAGTCACTATATTATTCTTCCCAAAATAGTTATAAAGTTTGTGCTTTGTTGTTGTTATTGGGTGATAATTGTTTGTATTAACAGTATCCCCTTTTCTTGAAGAATGAGATTACTCTGCTCTTCTTGAACAAATTCAATCGTCTATACAACTGCTTATCAAATATGATAATGGTTTAACTGCACTGTCCTTATACTAATATATTTTTTCAGGGATGCGTTTTGGACTGGTGGAGAGCAAAGTCGGACTGGCTACGATCCTAAAGGATTTCCGGCTCACGCTGAACAAAAAGACCCCCGATCCTTTGGAATTCGGAACTGTTTCCATTATTACATCGCTTAACCATCCTTTGTGGTTGGATATGGTTAGATTATAAGCACTGTTATTAAATTGTAAACTAAATTGAATCTGTTATTAAATATTCTGTGTGTGTGTGTGTGTGTGTGTGTGTGTGTGTGTGTGTGTGTGTGTTCTCTTCTACAGCAACGATGCAAAGGTGCAACCGCTTTACTCCGTGTTTGAGAGCATGCCATAAATATTGGACTTTATGGCAAAGTTAAAATTATGATAAAAATGTTTGGGATTATAGTCAACCTTAATTAATTAAAATCGGCAAATAGCAAAATTATGACGTCTAAGGTAAAAGTGGTTAATCTGACAACATAGCTATTATTATTTTTATTATTATTATTATAGTAACTGAATAGCCAGTCTTGGCTATTTAAGAAGCACTGTGTCGTTTAGAAAGTTGCAATATTTTGAGATCAAACGCAGTCTTTTTCAAACTAAGCACATAGAGGGAATAAAATAGAAGGCCCCCTACTATTCAGTACTACCCTACGGAGTAATCATGTCGTTTTGAAACCGACATTTTTTTAAAACTCGTGTACGGTACACTGGGGTACATCAAGAGATTATCAAAAAAGACAATTTTTGAATAATTAGGTCGTGACGCTCCAAGTGTTACGATTAGGTTTACCTTTGGATTTGTTAGAGACTATTTTGTAAGAAATGAATGGAATAGCAGTCAGTTCGAAAATTTAAAAAGGACACAGACCAACGAAACACTAATGAAAATTAAAAAAAAAAAGGAGAACTGAAAGATGCCAGATGAAATTTTGGAGAAACTTCAACAAAACTTCAACAACTTTAATTACCGAATGTTAATTATAAGAAGTTGATAATTAAACTGCCACTATATTTGCAGCAAAACAAGCAAAAATCTAGGTAATATGGACAACTCTAAGGATGTTTTAAAATAAAAGTAAAGAAAAATGTTCCAAAGTTCTTACGTGATACAACATTCTGCTTCTGTAGAAGTCGATGTAATGACAATAAGTGACTTAAAAAGTTTACCGAACGTGTTGCATACTATACTTTTTCTACGACCGTTAGTGTTGGGTGACACTACAGTTAGAATTGATAGACGTTAAAATTCAAGGTGTGGGAAATATCTTCGAAAACACACAAGAGCCCACAAAAGCTTCAAAGTGATGTATTGGGTTGTTCGGAAAGTCATTTCGCTTTTTTTGGGGAACATGAAAGACAGTTTTCGTATAATGAATAAATATTTTATTAAATTATATATTGGCCATTCTGGTCCAACACCTTTTGCCATCTTTCTGGCAGTAACATAATTCCCCTCTCATAAAAGTTTTGGTCCTTGCTGGCAAAAAACTGGTTCAGGTGGTTTTTGACATCTTCATTTGAGGTAAAGGTTTTGCCGTCCAAAAAATTTTGCAGTTACCGGAAGAAATAGTAGTCGGATGGCGCCAGATCTGGAGAATATGGTGGATGTTGCGGTACGTCCCATTCAAGCTGTAAAAGTTTTTGGCGAGTGACCAAACTTGTGTGAGGTCTCGCATTATCCTGGTGGAACACTACACCCTTCCTGTTGATTAATTCGGGCCTCTTCTCTTTAAGTGAATCATTCAATTTGTCCAGTTGATGACAATAGACTTCTGAATTAATCGTTGTATTGTCCCGCAAAAGCTCAAAAAAAAAACGATTCCTTTGACATTCCACCAAACGGAGAGCATCACCTTTTTTTGGTGAATGTTGGCTTTTGACACGCTTTGAGAGGGTTCATCTTTTCCGCTCCATGACCTCTTGCGTTTAACATTGTTGTATACAACCCATTTTTCGTCCCCAGTAATAATCCGCTTCAAAAATGGATCATTTTCTTGACGTTTGAGGAGCGAATCACACACGTCAACGCGACGACACAAATTTCGCTCCGTAAGGACATGGGGCACCCACACATCGAGCTTCCAGGTTAAGCCCATGCCTTTCAAATGGCCATAAACAGTCGAATTCGACAAATTTAATCTCTCACTGATCTCTCGTGTGGTTATTCGCCGGTTTGCATCAACTAATGCCTTTATCGCATCTTTGTCAGCTTCCACCGACCTTCCAGACCGTGGTGCATCTTCGACATCAAAATTGCCGGATCGAAATTTTGCAAACCAGTTCTGGCACTGGCGTACTGTTAACACGCCTTCTCCATACACATCCGTCAATTTTTTTCTCGCTTGGACAGCATTTTTACCTTTTCTGAAGTAAAAAAGTAAAATATGACGAAAATGCTGCTTATTGCTCTCCATATTTAAAAGGGCACCAACCAAAAACTACTGCGTAGAATTAATAGAACTTTTTCACACACAAGCCTTGCAATATCAGCTCTCAAGACGTATAATGGTTATGCGGCTTAAGTGTGAAGTTGGTTTCGAAAAAACGTAATTAAGTCCTCTGACGGGAAAAAACGAAATGACTTTCCGAACAACCTTATATTACTCAAACACCTGGAAACAGTAGAGAATATATAAAACCACCCCTAATTATTTTAATTTTAAATGTTGCGGCAAAGATAAGAAGCATGCGTTTAACGTTCATTATTATTCCAATTTGCTCACATTTTGTTATCGCTAACTAAACAAAAATTCCTCGATCCTCTTCACGCAAGTTGTAAGCGAATAAGCTAATGAAACTAGACACGATAAGCACACACAAACGAATGAGGTGTATAGCTTTTTTGTTTGCAGGTTGTTGTTTATAACTTCGCATTTTGTTATCCCTATCATTTTTTTTCAACGCAATGATTAGCGACATGCTTAATTTATTAAGAGATAAGAGGATAAGAGGAAGATAATAAGGAAGGCATAATCCGACAACTGCCTCCAGGCACAACCTGCCATGTTTATCTTCGTCGTTCTGAGCTTGCTAGTAATTTTCATCGCATGCCACGTCAGACGTTCGCATAGTTACTGGAGACGCCATGGCGTGGAAGAGATTTATCCGATCCACCCGATATTTGGCAACGCCAGAGAGGTGTTCCTCTGCAACGAGTCAGTATACGAGTTCTTCCTGCGAGTGTATCCAGTTTTCAAAAAAAAAGGCGTCAAATACGGCGGCATTTACACGTTTGCTGCTCACAACCTAGTGATCATGGATCCCGAACTGATCAATGACATCATGGTGAAGAGCTTTGATCACTTCGGGGATCGGGCCGGGTATCTGGACGAGAAAAGGGAACCACTTACCGCACACTTGGTCAACCTCAAAGGAGCCAAGTGGAAATCGATGCGGAACAGAGTGACACCGACTTTTACCTCTGGCAAAATGAGGATGATGTACCACATTTTCGTATTTTGCTCGTTGGGCCTTCGAGATATGATCGGAAAGCATGTCAGGAAAAAAGAAAGCGTCGACATTAAACGCGTTCTGGCCCGATTCACCACCGATATCGTCGGCAATTGCGCGTTTGGATACGAATGCAACGCGATGAATGATCCAAACTCAGAGTTCAACGCCTACGGGAGGAAAGCGTTCGAAAGAACTTTGTGGGAGAATGCTAAACTGGTGATAGCCAGGTTAGTTAATCTTCCTTGTTGCAATTTAAACTTGCTTTTATACCAGGATATCATCACAAACGTCAAGCTGTCGGAACGCAAAATTTTCTTAAAGGCCTTTCAAAATCTTTTACCGAATTTTTTGATCAGACTGCGGTTGGAAACAGCCTATTAATTGCTGTTGGGTGCTGCAAATATTTACCACAGTATCATCGATCACAGTCCTCTCTCTCTCATTTTCAGCAGCTCTTTGAGTTTGAACTTCTATCTTTAAAGACGTCTCTTTTAGACTTTTCTCCACCTTTCTCTTTCTTTGTCTCGTATTATAATCTAGTAAAGAGCGAGAGGGAAGTATGAACAGAAAGAAAAAGCTCGGCAGAGCGGTACGAAACCAGAGAGATGTTTAAAATGGGAAAGGGGGGATCAATCACCAGCAACACTTGCGCGTAAGTATTGAGTATAAGGAGAAACGTCTGCAAATACGGAGGATGCCCCGGTATAACAGAGCCAAATATTAACAACGTTGAGGTCTAAAATAGAGGGGTTTCACTAGCGTTCAGTCAACCGGAGCCAATCGGGAGAGTTAGCTTTAAGCCTGTGTGTCACTACAACCCCCACCATTTACTGTGACTCTCTCCAAAATTATCATTCGTTTCTCTAATTAAACTCCACACTTCCATGGTGGCTCGGTGCCTTTGGTTTGGTCACTCTCTATAAGCTTTCCCATTGACACAACCAATCATAATATCAGTTTATAGTATCGATTTCAAGACCTTGTTCTGCCGCGGTGTGATATCCCTTCCATTGCTTCTTTGAATATTCGATCAGGGTAAAGGTTAACCCGACCAGTATACAAGGTCCGCAAATCCCTAATCTTAGTAGAAAAATAGTCTTTACGCATATAAAGTACTTTCGCAATTTACTATGTAGTTTTTACATTTGTGGACAAGTTCCCGAACAGTACCATTAGAGGAAAGTTTCAGATTATATTACTAAAAAATTTGTTTTTTCTCTCCTTCTTGTTTTCATGCATGAATTCATCTTATTTTATGCTCCAAACACAGAATCTGATATACAAATAAGTACCACACGTAGGTTTTTAATTTAATATTTATTTCATCAAAAAACAATATTATTAAAATATAAATCATTATACGGAAATAAAAAAAATGTGGCGGCTTGAGTTTTACAGTAAATAGATTCCACTGTTTTAACCTTGATCCGAGTAACTGTGCCATAGATTTTGAAAGTCCCAAGTCTCTAACAAGATCATTTAAGTCGCCTTGTTCAAGTAAATGAGGTTCTGTAGATGGACATGAAGATCCAGATAAAGTGTATGAAGATGAAGATGTACTACCAGAAAGAAAACTCGTTTGAGATTGTAGACCTGAAATATTTTTATTTTCAGCCTCCTCATCAACTGGTGGAACTGGAGATGGAGTGTCTTTATCACGAGGAATTGGTCGCTTTGCAGATAGGACGTTCGGATAAACAATCTCATCTCTATTTTTTTTCAAGAATCCTCGTGTGGATGTCATGCAGAAAAACAATCATTCTCACTCCAAATCATTGGTATTGAAAACGGCATAGATTTGTGACTTTCTTCAAGCCAACCTCTCAACGTTCTTGAGCAGCTATTGCAGCATACTTTTGGCAACCAGTGTTATTATACTGGATAATTTACTCTTTTTTCTTGCCAAAAAGAACAACCTTGGTCTTGCAAATATTTAATATTAGACAATCGATTTTGGAGATTTCAAAAAAAAAATGCAATTGAAACATAAAGCTACATCTTTGACCGGGAATACATATTTGCACATGATCAGCATACTGATGAGAATAGCATTTATTTATTCGTATTCCGCCCTCCCAAGTAATTTTTCATAAAAATATTTACAGTGTCGTTTAATCCTCGGACCAGAAAAGGTCACCATTAACATTGAGCAGTGCTGTGGGCGTACTGTGATAGGGCCTAAACCCAGATTGTTAGGCGGGCAAAATATTCGAACCAGAAACTTGATCTTGATCATCCTCTACGATATTTTAGACATTACACAGAGTAAGCCAATAAGGCGTAAATGTGAAATTTCAGTTGATGAATTTATCTTAGGAATTGGTATTATATTAGCGTCCTTTAACAATGAGGGATATTGGCTCGTAATAATACATTAGTTAATGATAAACGTCACCAATAGTATCGACGAGCAGTAATTAAAGATAGTATTTTCAGATCGATGCCGTGCAGACCTTTTGCGTTTGATTTAATTTTATATCTTATTCTCTTCACATCCTCCCCTATTACGGCTGCAAAGTTCAGTCCACCAGCAATTACGTCATAAACACTATCCAAATACAACTCCCAAATCTTTAAAAAACTGATTAAATGTAGTCTTCCAGTGTTTGCCAGAAATTTTTGGGATCTGAGCGAAATTTATAACTTAGATAAGGTTTTTTCATTTCTAAGACCCATAGTAGAAAGGTTGCGCAAATCATAGATTACTGACCATCAATGTTTGAGCTGGTATTTCGAGGTAATATCCCAAAAGCTTGTAAAATTTTGCCTAAAGTGGATTCTGAGGATAAGGAATCCGAATCCGAACCTACTTTTTGAATACGTCGCCATTTTATGATGATTTATGATGTTATTTATTATGTTTTCAAGATATTTCACGCATCCTGTTTAGTAGACGAAAACTGTAGCTCTCGATACCGTTCATAATACGTTTTAAACGGCAATTATCAGGATCTTTTAGATTTTTTGCCCGTAACCGATACACCCTGTACACAATCGAAAAAATTACAGAAACAGGGGTTAAAACACTGGATCTCCCACGTTTGCTAGTAGAAGAAGTTGTTCAATAGATCAAATGGTTTTCGAGAAAAATTATTTGAAACAATACGTACGTCGTAATAGTAAGTGACGTCGTCGCGTCCAAATTGAGCGCGATTTTCACATGGATTTTTTCAAATATCTCGAGCTGCGTGTGTGTGTGTGAGAAAACCGTAAATACAAAAATTGTAGTTCTCGATGTGGCCTATAACACTGTCAAAACCAATTGGCCATATTTTTTACAAATTTTGATTTATGGCTAATAATTTAAGACTGAAACGAACGATTTTCGGAGTCTTTTAGATTTTTGTCTATAATTGAAAAACCCTGTACATAATCGAAAATATGATTCAAATAAAAGTTTTTAATCTTTTAGAGAAGGCCTTATGTCTCAGTCTTAAGAAACCACTTCGCTATATTTCCAGTATAATCCCGAAATCGGTAGTCAACGCTCTGGGAATTCACGTCACCAACGAAGAGGTGGCGAAGTTTTTCATAAACGCGATCGTGCCGGTCATCAAGTATCGGGAAACGCATAAAATATCACGGAGAGACTTTCTGGGTATGTTGCTGCGGATCCGGAAACGCGACGACGAAGCCTTCGAGAAAACCGGAGACGAATGTTCTCTGACCCTCACTCAAATCGCCGCTCTCTGCTTCGTGTTCTTTCTGGCAGGTTTCGAGACCTCGTCCACGGCGATGACGTTTGCTTTGTACGAACTCGCCTGCAACCAGGACGTCCAAGACAAACTGAGGCGGGAAATAAATAGGGTACTACGCACATACAACGGAGAGATGACTTACGAGGCGATACAAGAAATGACGTACCTGGAAAACGTCATCTATGGTAAACTCTGTTTATAGGTATAGGAAAGTGACTAACTGATGCGATTTAAGTAAAGACCCGGGCAAGCTGTAAGAATGAAATATGGCCGAGCAGGTCCGTTCTTTGCTTAGAAATTAATTATTTGGGGTTTTGTTAGGGAAGATACTAAACAATATTTATTTATTTATGTATGTATTTATGTTTAAATCTAAAATAAAATTACAAATTATTTTTATTACCTATTTAAATTACTTAAAATTATTCACATAATATATTATTATTTGTTCTGTATTATTTGCAATTCGGTTTCTATAAGTTTGAGAACATTGGAGTTAACACGGCGAAAAACATTGTTACGACGAATGGCAGATTTCAGTTGGTGCCAAACATGTTCAATGGGATTAAATATACAGTGGTAACGTGGAAGCCTTAAAACTGTATGCCCTAAATTTTTTGCATAATTATCACAGACGTATTCCTTTTGTAGCTTCAAGCTTTGTAGAACCTCAATTAATTGCTTTTTGGTGGAAATAAATGTCGTTATTATACATGTAGTTTTGGATTGTTGCTTTGTGTCACATGAGGAAGGGATTTTAGTCAACTGTCTACTGTGATAACTTGCATTGTCCATTACAATTACGCTATTAGGAGGAATGTTTGCAACTAGTTTGTTTTTAAACCAACTTTTAAATAAATCAGCGGTGGTGTCTTCATGGTAATCCAGAGAACAATCTTTAATATTTTTCGCGGACAGAGAATGTCCATTTCGAACCCAACCATCTTTAGAGTTATTATTTTACTTCTTTTTGATGGCGCGTTTGTTTTACACTTATCAGTTGAGTCAACCCAACCTTTTTCCGGGGTATCATAAGTGTCGAACCAGGTTTCATCCAAGGCCAATTACTTACCTTTGTTGTTCTCTGTAAATCCTAATGTTTTCTAGATATTCCAATAGCCATTTTAAAATTTTAAAAGATTCCATTAAAACTTGCCTTTTGTAAATTTTTTTAAATCTAAAACCCATGCGTTGAATACACTTCCATAAGGTAGTTCTGCCACATTTAACACAGGTTTCTTCTTTTTCAAGCCTCCTAATGAAGATATCTCATGTAGGCACCCTTTGTTCCTTATATAACTGGTAAATTTTAAGCCCTATTATATCTTGATAACTTTTATCTACACTCGAGAAAATGTCAGCATCGCTTCTTTTTTTCCTCGCTGAAATGGGATTATTCGCAATTTTCGATACAGTTGATGTTGGAATTTTAGTCAATGTTTCTGTTTCTTCTAATGAGGCTTGCTTGCTCGCACCACGTTCAATGAGAGTATAAATAAACATAAGAAATAAGAATCAATACTAATAAACTTAAACTAAGTAGTATACCAAACCAAAGAATATTAAACACGGGTAGGTATAAAATTATTTTCTATTACGGACCACAATTTTACCTGAATTTAAATTCCCAAAATGTAGGTAATAATCTGCATTGTATGTTAATGACCACCCTTGGATAATCCCAATCAAAAGCAATTGGTCACTTTCGTATATCTAGGAACAGACCATACTCGACTTATTTAGCGGAGTCACTTGAAGCTGAGCGACCTTTGTCATTTTCAGAAGCGTTGCGCAAATATCCGCCCATCGCAGTCATCCCCAGAACGTGTACCCAAACGTACAAAATTCCGAACTCGGATATTGTTATCGAAAAAGACGACGTGGTATATATCCCGACGTCCGGGCTCCACTGGGACCCGGAGTATTTCCCGGAACCGGAGAAGTTCGACCCGGATCGCTTCACCGACGAAAACAAAGCGACCAGACCACGGTTTGCGTATCTAGCGTTTGGGGGCGGTCCCAGGAATTGCATTGGTAAGTTCTACAAGGTGTTGCTTACTGTGTTTTTAATATTATTATTGCGACTTATATTTTTATTGGCCCTAAGATTTTTTGAAATATTGGTTTTATGTGGTATATTTATTAAATTGCAATCAGCCTCTCCCGAAATTAGCTTCAAAAGAGAATCGAAGTTATTCCAGAACTGTTATAGAATGTTGGAATGGTATGGAACTGTTTGTGGAATATTTCCATCCGCCCAATATAATGACCTACACCAACAAGGCGTTCCAATGCATAATTCTCGACTCTAAGGGAATTTTTTATAATAACTTTCACCAAAGATGGGTAAGGTATAGATCGTCTGTCTCAGTCTCCCTAATGAAACTTTAAGACTGTCATTACCTATTGTCACCTGTTGTTACTGAATTACTTGAGGTATTTTTCTTTCTTTCTGATGTATTCCTTGAGAGTTGACCAGAAGGAGGAGCATTTTTACTGTGGGTTTCGAAAAAGTTTAATGTGTATTCAGTAGAGTACTGGTTAAAGAAGAAGCCTGTCTACCTACGAAAACGACAATATCATCGAGTCGAACTTGCTGACGGTTGGCCAATCATCCTGTTGGCTCCTTCAGAACTTGCCTGCCATTTTACTCTGTACCTGTTGAGGGAAATAAAAATCGTCTAGGATGACTGATGCCTATATTGGTAGATTGGCAGGTAGAGACCTGAGTCGCGGTTAAGATTGTTGAATGCTTATAGATTTCTATAAGCTCTCACTTTTTTCATTGGTAGAAGAATTGATAACATGCAAGAATTTCACTTTTGTCGAATAAAATTTTGTCCGGCTTGGTGATTAAAGAAATAAAAAACGTGATATACACCAAAAATAGTCAGATATGTCGAATAAACCAATTGGTAGCCCGTATTTGTACCATCTCCTCTACAGTAATGTTAATATTTCAGGTCTAAGATTTGGACTGCTCCAAAGTAAAGTGGGCGTGGCCACCATAGTCAGAAATTTTCGATTGACCTTGAATCCACGGACGGCGCAACCACTCAAGTTCGACGGAGGAGTTTTCACTACGACAGCAGAAGGAGGTATCTGGCTGGATGTTCAACATGTTTAGTTTCTTCCGTTTTTAGGACTCAACACCGAAACGCCTAAACGAAGACGTCTTCGATCTTTGACCTTCTTGCACAAGTCGCCTTACAAAATGTTGCAATTCAATATCAGCAAATCTTTTGAAACCATTTGTTTAGTTTTGTTTTTCCTGCAGTATTTAAATTTAAATTTTTCAAGAACAGGTCGTAGGTAATAGAGACGTTAGCTCCAGTAGGGCTATTCAGTTACCCTTGATATTTAATAATAGTTACAATAGTCTATTCGCACAAAATACGAACATGTGATTGTGAGTCAAAATTGCGTAAAAGATAAAAGCACAAATGCAACTGACCAAAACCATCTTATTTTTCTTCTTCTTAGAGTACCATGCATTATTGCGTCGGCGTCCGATATATGTTTGTGTAAGCACTGGAATTCATGTCGTTTCTCTCCCATAATATGTCCCAAGTAGGATATTTTTCTACAATTTATTATGTCTTAAAGCTCGCGATCTTCAAATTGTGCTCTTCGCAGATCTTCTTCTTTTCTTATGCTATCTGCCACGATATTGTCAGCATTCTTCGCAGCAGCATTTGCTTTTAATTTCCAGGCATCTACACCATACAAGAGAACTGACCAAACATATTATTTAAGGGTTCGGTGTCTTAGTTTAAAGTTTTGATTTTTATTTCTAAGAATTTGTTTTAGTTCAAGGAAAGTTGCCCGTGAATTCTCTATTCTACACGTCATCTCTAGTTTTGGGTCCCAATTTTGATTTAATATGGATGTCAGATAAATTGCGTCACTTGTTCAATATTCCTCTCACTTGGTCAGGCCTATTATGCAAAATCAGCAAAATTAAGTTCAAGAAATGGTTTTGTACTACTTGATTTTGGTCAAGTAATGAAACCCGAACGAAGCTAATCTTCTGGATGATGTCCTGGGTAATAAAAGAGTTTACAATATTTTTATAATCTATTCATTAATAAATTGGAACGTGTCAGAAAACAGATTATCTGGACCTGCTATATCCACTATACTTCATCAGGTCAGCTCTTCTAATTGAAGCGTTGCGTTCCAAATTTCCGATATTCTGTCTGCTTCTGCCACTACCATTAATTATTATTTTTATTTCTAATAGCCTGGATTTTTTTGATAGACCCTAGCAATTCCCTTAACTTTTTTGTGTAGGTTGGAAGTATCACTTTTCATTTGCACTTCTAATTTAATTTCTGATTCTTTTTTGTAGCTCTCTATGTTTGTCACCAAGGTTCCGAGTTTTGCATTTCATAGATTCGATATTTGTGGTGTGTTTGTCATTTTGGAGAAACTTTTAGTTTGACTTTTCCAAAGCTCTTTTTTGGTTATACTAACATTCTTCACTATGTAGAATCTTTTGGTTGTATATTTCCTTTTAGCTTTAGCCAGATGTAGCGGCATCCTAGCTCCAACTGTGGTGTGATCTAAGTCGATATATGCACCTGGCATTGTAGTTACCTTGGTTATCAGATTCTTGAACATATGATTAGTTTATTAAACTATTTTCCTCAGAGCACTAAATTAGTCGTTCTCCTCTTTGATTTCTATTTCCTAAGCCATAGGTCTCCAACTACAGTTCCTATTCTACCCATATCTACTTGTATATTGTATGTTGATTTTATTAGAATTAGATTCTCTGACGCTGTGATCTATTTGACCTGTTATCTAGTTGGACAACTGTTGGAGCACACGTTTGAATAATGTTAATGTTAATGGGTTTGCCCAGCAGCTGAAGCACTAAAATTCTTTCAGAAATAGGAATAAAGATTCTTACTAGTTTTTAATTGGTTTTTCCAGAAGTATTCCGATTAGATGTGGGTGATTTGGTTCATCATTAGTGCTGCCTGAGGATTAAAATACCTTCTTTGCTGACCACACACCCCCGAGTATTTAAAAGGTTTTGACATTCCAGGTGGTTATTTTTGGAATCTTATTTAGTTTGAACCGGGGGATATCTTTTGATCACTTAAGATCTGCCTGGGACTAGAGGCCATATGTTCTTGTTCTTCCAAAATAATAAGACTTTTGGACGGATATCCTGGGGATTAACCACATTTGGTTTAGCCATCTTTTCAATGGAAGGACACAAAGTTGCTCTATCTCTCTACAACTCATCCATTCGAAACTGTGTCCCTTAATTCTGATTCTTGGTTGTCTAGTAGGGTGCACCACGTGCAGGTGAGGTTGTCATTTGGCTTACTTTTAGCTTCTGTTGCCTTCACTCCTTACATGCCCAAACCATACAAATATTTTGAGTGTGTAGAGCGTACCTACTACAATGGATAAGCATTTTGGAAATTTACCTAGATGGTACATATAAAACCGTGGCTGTTGACTAACTCACTAATTTATTCTCCATTTACATTATTTTTAGAAATTAGAACTTTGAAGAGTTTTGAGTATACAGGACATAAAATGTTAGTCCTACTGATCCTAATCTTACGAGACAACTTTCAAGTTCCAAGGAGCTGTGTTGTGTTGTCCTTTTACTAAAAGCTAGTATTTTGTTTTTGTCGCCAAGCTTCAGTTTTCTTTTACTGTTGTAACTAGAAATGAAATATTTACACATATATGGAGGGGAGAGAAAAAAATGGAATATTTAGTTAGTTAATGTATATGCATATCAAATCGCTATTATTTATTTAATTTTATAATGATGTCAGTACCTCAATTGGAAAATAGTCTATATCACCTAATAATAATGTAGCCATTTAAATATTAAATTATATTGGTTTTTTTATAATTTTGTTATTAAACTTCAAAATTCAGAAACCTTTCAATGAGTTTGAACAAGGCATATTTGAAAGGAAAGTATTTTTTCAAGCATCAGTCCAGTTCTTTTTAGATCTAAAAGTAGAAAAACTGCTGGGAGAGGTCTACACATTTAACTTTTTAAGAGAAGAAATTCTTGATCTCCGTCGACCTCAAGAACGTCCACTCATTATGGATAAGAAGGAATATGCCAGTTTGAGTCTCTAGAATATAAATACATTCCCAGTTATGAACATCATTAAGTACTTCTACTCACAGACACAGCATCGTCCATCGTCAAAGGGCCAAAAGGGCCGACGCTTAAGACCAACGGCCGCTGACATTTCAGCATCATGAATTTTATCATCGTCTTGACCTGATTAGATCTTTCGCACCAATTACTCTCGTATAAAGCTGGTACTAATTCCAAACTCTACAATAAGAAAGATTTATGTTGTGTCTCTTTCGAATCCAAACTATTACATGATTGAGGTTATGTTTTCATACCTCGTACTTGATTTCGTTGGCGTTCCAGCAAATATTTAACAGCTGACAGAAAATTAAGAAGAAGTACGTAACGTAAAAAAACAAGTCGACTCCCTACAAAAAAATTAAAGATTTGAAAGCAACTGTTAGTATAAAAATGGTTTCACTATTTTGTGGAGATATTTTTTTCTGGAAATTGTTTGGGCGTAACAAAAGAATAATAATGAATCAAACCAGACTAAACTTTAATAATAATGGTTAAAACAACTCAAATGACCTTTTAAATGTTATGGTCTCTTCTTGTCTTGAATGTGTGTAAAAAATTCTAATCGCTCCCAGAGGAGAAAGAAAAAACATTGGGACAGATTTGTATTGTGCTGCCACTCATCATGCCTAATCTTTTCATTCCGCTTATTGATTTTTGTACCGACCTTGTGAATTTGTACAAGAACAGCTCCCATCAGCAATGAGGTCAAGCTATATTCCAGCAAAAACAGACTTCGAAATGATGCGTTTAAACATCTTGTCATCCTGAAAGTGTTGTGACTTTTATCATTACGTATTTTATCTAAAAGGCTTTTTCAAAAATTTATATATTTATATATATATATATATATATATATATATATATATATATATATATATATATATATATATATATATATATATATATATATATATATATATATATATATATATATATATATATATATATATATATATATATATATATATATATATATATATATATATATATATATATATATATATATATATATATATATATATATATATATATATATATATATATATATATATATATATATATATATATATATATATATATATATATATATATATATATATATATATATATATATATATATATATATATATATGAACTAGTGGCATACCTAATAGGTTTGAAGTCATTATAAGTAGTTTTGAAAAAAAAATTAACTTACCTGATAAGCATTTGATGTTCCCTACACAGCTTTTTAAACAAACATACTTCCAACAAGCTCCCACTGTCGTCTCGATTTACATAGAGATTACATCTGTCGAAGTTTCTGAGCCGATATTGAAAAATTTTTATCTTTCCTCTCAAAAATATCGCCAAAGAATTCGACACGGCGTATACCATGGTATTAAATAAAGCGCTCCACACCAACGCCACCAACTGAAAAGTTAATGCCACTACGTGGAACCTGTTGTGGTCGAACGGGTACCACAACGGCAAGGGCAGCGGCTTCTCCAAAGTGACGTTATCATGCCTGTGGATTTTGCGAAATTGGTAGCTTCCACCAATACCTGGAATTCAACGATTTTCATCAATACAAATATCAAGAACATTCAATGACATTTTCAAAAAAAGGAATTCTGAGCGTGAGTTAAGGACTCTTATATTCATCACATGTTCAATAGGTGACAAATTTGTTGACCATGTGGCGTACAGAGAAAGGGTTACATTATTGGATCAGGGAGTTGTTTGCAGTTGATATTTTTGTCTAAAGAGACTCCAAGTATTATGGCACTCCATACCATAACGCTTGTTTCCTGATCTTCGATGGATTCTTCTACCATGATCGTGAAGCCACGAATAAAAACATGATTAGTAACGTCACTGAAAGCAACCCGATTTGACTGTTGATGACGAAGATGCTATAAGTATAGCCCATAAGCTGCAATTCGATATCACCGATATTATGCCGAAAAACACTTTGATAGATAAGATTATAACTTAAAAACAGATTCATATAACTCTGAACTCTGAAACTGAAGTGAAATGTGGATCATGTCCCAAAATTATTATCAAAAAAACAGGAAGAACATTTAAAAAGAGCATTAACGAACATGAAAGAAAGTATAAAAATAAAAGTTACGATTTTAACTACGCCGTTCATTTAAATTCAGATATGCACAAATTTGTCAATAATTTTGTTGGAAGCTATGGAGATTAACAAAATGTCAGATTTTGAATTTGATAAATGTATATTGTTGCCGAAACAATTGCCATGAACCAATAAATAACTATGAAAATTAGATTATTTTTTGTACCAATGCAATTGTGATAGATGCATTTTCATCAAGTAAAAAACCTGAGTTCAATAATCTCAAGACATTCCTTGGCAATAATAAAACCGTTACAGGACAACTAAGAATAAAGTCACCCGATGAACTCAGGTCAACCAGTTTTGGTAATGAACGCTAGATTCCTTGTTATTCTCGACTTCTAATTTGAAGTTCTTGATAGCTGCGGGTTCACGCGTGGAATTAAACCACACAACAAAGATTCTCGGATCTTACATCGATGCCTTCCTAAAGTGGGACTACGACATAGATAGTGTTTGTAATAAACTGAACAAAACGTTTTTTGCAATGTTAACAATCAGAGATTCTTTCTTTGAAAGATCCTTGTTGGCTTTCTATCTAAAAAAGGATACTTAGGTTGATTTTCAGACTGCCCCCGAGGCTATCCTGCAAAGATATATTTATAAAGTATAAAATACTAGCAGTGCCTTGCATATATTTATTTAAATTATTCATCATCGTTCATAAAAATAAAGGCTCTCTCAAGAGACACACGGATGTCCACGGTTATAACACCCGAAACAGAGAACACCTTCTAAAGCCAAGACTGAACCACATGTTCTACAAAAAGTCGCTAAATTACGCAGGACCTTATTACTATAATTTGCTTCCTCCAAGCATAAAAGCATTATCTGCAAGACAATTTAAAAAGTGCACCAGAAAGCTTCTGTCAACCAATGCTTTCTACAACCTGAAAGATTTTCAGTTTCGTCACGAATCATATTTGAAATAGGGGAAAGGCGTAGAGACGGAAGAGTATTAGCGATTTGGTCTATTTCTTTATGGGTATGATGATTTCTGATGTGATGAGGTTTTTATGTAGTGGGATAAAGTTTTGTTAACTATGTTTTTTCATTCCCTTCTATCAATCAATCCATCAATCAATGAAATGTGGATTATTGGCGAAGCAAATTTTAAATTTTTTCGATGATTATTTAATAATTTAATTGTAAATTTCTAGCCCTGTCTAAAATTCTTATTTAATACTCACCGACGATGTATAGTTTTAGCAACACAATACCATTATAAGAAGCGATAGTGAAAATGAGTTTGTAAAAGTACTTAAGGTGATGCTCGTATATCTCGCGAACGGAACGATCTTCTTCCCGATACACATCCAATTCTTCTCTGTGCGCTTGCTTCAACGTACTTATCAAACGATTCTTTTGACAGAGGAGTACCTTGGCCACCAAAAGTAAAACGAACGTGTTGCCTGATAAATTTTCGATCGCTGAAAATTCCGTGTCATCAGTACTCCTAGTTTCGCAATCTCCTTCCTTACCTTTATCAAAATCTTCAAAGTACAAGAAGTAAAAGTTGACAGCGTAGCAAAGAAAATATAGGAAATACGAGAACTGAATTACTGCGGAGTATCCCACGTAAAAGACGTTCAATAACTTTGAGACTTTCGGCAGTCCTGACCTCCAGGCGCCGCTAATGATCATCAACGTTCTGGTAATATCGAACAGCCCTGTGCCCTTCATCGCTTGAACTCGTACTACAGTCCGGAATGATGCGCAAATTCTATTTCATTAGTTTCTTTTATTACGTATGTAAACTCCAAGACAATTCTCAAGGCAGTGGCGTAGTTAATTTTTGACCACTATTAGATGAGAATAAAAAATAACAATTTTTAATTACCCGCTACTACGCGTTTTAAGCATGGCATGATGGCGACTAAGGTTTTCACTTGAAATCCCTCATGGCTTCATGCAGTTTTGATTCCCTTTTTGTTAAGTTGAGATCTAAATTAAGCAACGCGCCGCTACTGTTGATATATCGCATATCTCGCTCATTGACTTGACCACATGAAAGGGAATACGGTAATTTTAAAAATTGTGGACCTTAGAAACGCCCACCAAAGGTATAATTTGCCGTACGCTGTGGTTTCCTAGATACGCCTTCGTAAGTAAGACATATCGAAATATTAACGACAACGTTTGGTTATTGTTCCTCTGTATATCAACTCCCTCCAAGTGAACTAACAGATCGAAAGCAATCTTGATTTATTGGTTCTTTTGTAAAAAGTCAGACATCGAAAAAGTGGCTTTGTTATATGCTTTGGTCTAATGGAAATTGATTTTGACATTTCTCGGTTAAGGTTAGTGTTATTAAAAAATGCTAAATATAGTTATTATTTGTAAAAACTAATATTTTATACTCGAAAACGTAATACAAATATGGCAAGTCATGTTGTACAGGTAAAAGTAAAAAAATGAAAAACGCAAAAGAGGCACAGTGACATACACAAGAGTAAAAGGAAAACAACAAAAAACAAGACACACATATCCACCCACACGCTGTAGACAGTAGTAGTGGAGTAGTGCTTTTGAAGGAACTTTTTTTAAATTGGTTTAAACATTTTTGTTACTCAGTGCCGTAAGATTTGAGACAAAAATACGGATTGAACAAATATTTATGGCAATTAATATGTTTAAATTGGGGTCATTATCTCACTGGTAAATAAAAAAGTTGAAAATATGGGTATGATGCACAATTTAAAATAATTTTAAAGTATAAAATAAATAGGGTGGCTCAAAAAAACGTGTCGAAGAGAAAATTCTTTTTTTCTAATGGAACATCTTATTTTTAAATTTTGAACTAGTTTTGAGGTCCTTCAAATTTCGCGCTGATTCTGAGACTGTTAGCAGAGCTACCGCTTCTATTATTAGAAGAACTGGACCATGTATACGGCAATTAGGTGAACATTTTGTACAACTAATTCAATAAAATAAAATATAAATAACCAAAAAATATTAAAATAAAAAATAAACGGGTTTATTTTAAAATGATCTTTAAAATTTCAAAGGAATATGTTCATTTGATATTTTTAGGTTGCAGCAAACCCTGCATATTATTATTTTTCAGAAAGATCTTACAAAACCCTAAACATTTTAGTAACATATTGATTTCCAACTACGAGATAACTCGTAGATGGCGTTTTTAAGGACGAGTTTTCTCGTCCTGTGTTTACTTGGTAGTTTTGTCCAGCCACGATTAAAGAACAAAAAATCAGTGGTTTTAAAACAGAAAATTTATTAAATATTATGATTTTTTATGATTCTGGGTGATATCTATGGACTAGAATTAGAGTTTTTAATCGTAATACTTTGCGATTTATGTTAAGCTTTCCAATATTTACCTTTCTTTCTGTCTAATAATAGATTAAAAAACGAAATGAGGAAAGAACTTTGTGGGAGCCGTAGATAAACCAGGGGACAGTTACTAGCAATTTACTTGTTTAGGCATGTTTAGTGTTTTTGTATATGTTCTTGGAAGTTCCGAGCCCCGAATCCTTTTTCTTATGGTGTTACGTCACATGATCGAGAGGGTCAAGCAATGAATCCATCTCTACCGATCTATTTCTGTAGATAATAATTATTTCAAAATTCCCAAACATCGCTGAAACCACATTTGTTGGTTTTCAATATTTTATACTATTTGAAGACGTTGAAGTAAACCATATGGTCCAATAACGTGAAAGTGTTTTATCCAACTTCACACATTAAGTAACCCTTATGGCTCTAAAACTCCTCGTCTCTAAGGACTCCCCCAGATTTAAAACAGGATTACCTCTTCTACCTATTGTCAGCACCATTGTTTCTATATTTTTAGATATTTTTATCAATAGAAAATCAGGTCTAACATTTGGTCATTCTATTCATTTACAAAAAACCTACGCACCCAGAATTAAAACACATTACCTCTGCTATTCTCTCTCATAATTTCCACATTAAAGATATTAAGCTTTCCATCACAAAATACACTTCACCCATATGTTTCTAAAAGGCAACTACTCCCAAAACTTGCCTCTATTGCCTTCCTTACATTCAAAACATCACTGACCATATATCAAAAGTTCATAAGAAATATAACGTGAGCACCAGATTTACCAAAATTCAAAAATCTCTCAATAGCAGTTTACAGCATTCTATGCACATATAAAAATAATACATTGGGGTCACTATAAAACAGGCTATAGCGACTCAAGTATTTATCTGTCACAAATTTTGGTGGATATGGGTGGAGCCTTTTAGATATTTTGGAAATATTTTTTCGTTATATGTTATATTTTTGATCCAAACCAATGTTCACCACAAGAAATATTAAATTATTGCATACACCCCGTAGAATTTTTTTGAAACGAGTCATAAAACATTTGAATGAAACATTTACATATTGTTGTAATAATATACGAGCAAGCAAAGTCCATCTTCAACTACGTCCTGTCATGATCGAAAGAAATGAATACGCCAATTTAAGCCTCTGGAAAAGACAACGTGAATTAAACCTCGTGAGATTATTTGTCCAGATACTCACAGAATTTGCGTCGTCAGTCGTCAAAATTCCAAAAGGGCCGACGTTGACTCCCAAAGGTGATTGGCACTTTAACATCATAAATTTCAAAAGGTTTTTAACCCTTTGGTTGAGATCATACCACCGGCTTTCGTATAAAGCCCCTGCTAATTCTAAACTCTAAAATTAAATCCAATTTCTATGCTATTTATTAACAAACGTGTTTTTCTACTTCGATACTGTCGGTAAAGAAAGTTTACAAGGAAACATTTTCTTAGGTTACCCCATGAACCGATTGCGCCCAAACAAATTGAAATAAATCATTTTTCTACAACTCGTTCTACCTTGCAAGATCAGTTTTATGGTCCGCGTACGTTGGTGTCATTACCTCGCATTTAATTTCGTTGGCATTCCAGCAAATGTTCAAGAGCTGGCAAAATATTAGAAAAAAGTATACCATATGGAATATCTCATCATTTCCCTGAAAAAACAACATTGAGTACTTGCTAAACAAACTTTTGGTCACGTGACTGTGCACCTTCATCGCATTTTCTCTGCATGTATAATAATTTATTATAAAATACACATTATTCCTTGACCACTTTTTAGTCAAAAAATGCTCTAAATAACATCTTGCGATTGTAAAGTATTATCTATCATTATTTAATAATAATATATATTTTACATTAAAGTTAAAGACTTCTTTAACAAAACGGAGTATGTAATGACAGATCTTGTATTATTACACTATCCAGCATTTAAAGCGCTTCTTGAAGAGAAATAAAATAATTATAAATAATTATTAAGACCGTTTCTTTACGAAGGCATCTTTTAGAAATTTTGTATTATATTTACAAATGTAGCAAGGACTAATAAACCCGTAAATAAAAATACCCCGTTAAATCACAGAAGTACGTCGATTTATTGGTGCAAACAATTTATGATGTTACGTCATCTTTTATGATTCTGACTATAGCAACGTTAGACAGAAAGGTTGTTCGGAAAGTCATTTCGTTTTTTCCCGTCAGAGGACTTAATTACGTTTTTTCGAAACCAACTTCACACTTAAGCCGCATAACCATTATATGTCTTGAGAGCTGATATTGCAAGGCTTGTGTGTGAAAAAGTTCTATTAATTCTACGCAGTAGTTTTTGGTTGGTGCCCTTTTAAATATGGAGAGCAATAAGCAGCATTTTCGTCATATTTTACTTTTTTACTTCAGAAAAGGTAAAAATGCTGTCCAAGCGAGAAAAAAATTGACGGATGTGTATGGAGAAGGCGTGTTAACAGTACGCCAGTGCCAGAACTGGTTTTCAAAATTTCGATCCGGCAATTTTGATGTCGAAGATGCACCACGGTCTGGAAGGCCGGTCGAAGCTGACAAAGATGCGATAAAGGCATTAGTTAATGCAAATCGGCGAATAACCACACGAAAGATCGGTGAGAGATTAAATTTGTCGAATTCGACTGTTTATGGCCATTTGAAAGGCATGGGCTTAACCTCGAAGCTCGATGTGTGGGTGCCCCATGTCCTTACGGAGCGAAATTTGTGTCGTCGCGTTGACGTGTGTGATTCGCTCCTCAAACGTCAAGAAAATGATCCATTTTTGAAGCGGGTTATTACTGGGGACGAAAAATGGGTTGTATACAACAATGTTAAACGCAAGAGGTCATGGAGCAGAAAAGATGAACCGGCTCAAAGCGTGTCAAAAGCCAACATTCACCAAAAAAAGGTGATGCTCTCCGTTTGGTGGGATATCAAAGGAATCGTTTTTTTTTTAGCTTTTGCCGGACAATACAACGATTAATTCAGAAGTCTATTGTCATCAACTGGACAAATTGAATGATTCACTTAAAGAGAAGAGGCCCGAATTAATCAACAGGAAGGGTGTAGTGTTCCACCAGGATAATGCCAGACCTCACACAAGTTTGGTCACTCGCCAAAAACTTTTACAGCTTGAATGGGACGTACTGCAACATCCACCATATTCTCCAGATCTGGCGCCTTCCGACTACTATTTGTTCCGGTCCCTGCAAAATTTTTTGGATGGCAAAACCTTTACCTCAAATGAAGATGTCAAAAACCACCTGAACCAGTTTTTTGCCAGCAAGGACCAAAACTTTTATGAGAGGGGAATTATGTTACTGCCAGAAAGATGGCAAAAGGTGTTGGACCAGAATGGCCAATATATAATTTAATAAAATATTTATTCATTACACGAAAACTGTCTTTCATGTTCCCCAAAAAAAACGAAATGACTTTCCGAACAACCCAATAATTTCGCTCGTAGTTAGAGGTAGCAAGTAAAAAAAAAATGAATTCTAATACATAAGAGGTTAAGTATACAGTAATGAAAGTCCTGTGAGGTTGTCTTCACTGTTGCTTTTGCATCAGCAACATTTGTACAAAAGTCTTTTTGGTTTAAGATTTTTTCAGCAGTAAACAATCTTAATGGTTACAATAGCCAATAATAAAATCGTCAGAACTATTCATTTAACGATTTCTAATAGATAAAAATTTCATGATGATGGAGTTATACTAACCTCGTGAATTTGGACAAGTACCGTGGCCAGCATTAGCGAAGTAAGGCTATATTCCAGCAAAATCAACCAACTAAATGAAGAATTCAGGCGCCCACTCCAACTAAAATATTTAACAACAAACCAATTACTATATTTCATAGACATTTATGCCGAAATCACATGAATATTGGGCATTGCCCGTGAATATAAAAATTACATCTTCAAGTCTATTGCCCTTTAATTAGTTTCACATAAAAGCACATCTCTACTATAATACTGGTAATAAGATTTCATTGGGTACAACAACAAAGTCCTCACTCAAAAAGGAAATAATTTTATTGGGTTGGTTTATCTAGCCCAGTAATCGACTCATATACCAAGGGCTGGATTTTTGAGAAACATTTAATGGTTAAAACCAATCAAAAATTTTTTTTTGAATTTTTTCAATCGGATAAAAACGTTATTAGTGCATTTTTTAGGCAAATGTAGTAGTGTACTAAGATTTTTTTACAGTTCCCGTTTTCTCATAAACGAATACAACTTTCTTATTAAAAAAAATTATGGGAAATTTTCAAATGGGCTGAAAATTGAAAATTTTTAACCATTAAATGTGTCTCAAAATTCTATTTTGTTCTATCTAGTTCAAAAATAGGTTTTTTCTGTTGAAACACTACAGTTACGACCACCCTGTACATAGTATCAGGTACCTTTATCTTTTAATTAAACATTATGAAAATTGTACAGTTGAATTTTAAAAAATCATCATATACTTCGTTATCTAAGAAACTCCCACATTTCCTTTTCTTTTTAATGCCATGCTCTTCGCTCTCATGCAGACATAATATGAATCTCGCATTTTTATTACTTATCTTATCATTCCTAGATTCTTGGTTTCAAGTACCATTTCAGAACGTTGATAAGCACACATGCTAGTCTAAATAGTAAACTGCAATGCAGTCCATATCAGTCTCGGAGATTTTTTATTCAGGATATCGACCTTTTCAGAGGACAATTTGGAATGTGGTTCAAAAATTTGAGCAAACTGGATCTGTAACTAACCTCAAAGTCCCTCAACGTGCTCGTGCAAGTCGCAAAATATTGCCATTGTGCGCGAAAGTGTAGCCGAACACATCGATTCGTCATCGATCGCAGCGAGTGGGCCTTACGTATTCAACCACACAGCGAATTTTAACAAAAGAATTGCATCTACACCATATCAAGTCCAAATAACTCAGAAGTTGAAACCTCGAGGTCATCAACAGCGCCGCGTGTTTGCAGAATGGATACGAGAACAAGGGGCGAAAATCATCTTTAGCGATGAGGCACATTTTCACGTTGGTGGCTTTGTAAACAAACACAATGCTCGTATTTGGGGATTAGAAAATCCAAGAGATATTGTTCAAAAAGCAATGCATCCTCAAAAAGTCACTGTTTGTTGCGCATTTTGGTACGGAGGAATAATTGGCCCTTTTTTTTCGAGGATAATGCGGAGAACGCTGTTACTGTTAATGGTGTTCGCTATCGAAACATGATAGCTGATTTTTTCTGAGATTAGTTGGAAGGTGTGGACATTGAAGATTTGTGGTTCCAACAGGATGGAGCCCCTTGTCACACATCCAGAGAAACGACGCAATTGCTGCGGGGCAAGTTTCCTGGTCGGATTATCTCACGTAACGGCGATATCAATTGGCCTCCGCCATTATGTGATCTTACTCCCCTAGATTTTTTTTTGGGTATCTAAAAAGCAGAGTGTATAGAAATAAAACAAACACTATTCCAGAGCTGAATTTCAATAAACGAGTTACTAATCTAAAATGGCAAATAAACATGTATATTTTTATATTCTTCCGAGTTTTTTTTAATTATTTTAATGGGGGAACCCTTATTGAATCCCCCTTTACAATTGGAAATGTGAAAAATCACCTGATGATCGCTTTATGTTCGAGACACAGCATTTTCAATTCGTTCTCATCGTCGGGTGGATTCGAGTTTAAATTCCTGAGTTGGTGCTGAAAAATTTTCAGTTTGGCTCTTAGAAATATGGCCAACGAATTGGACACAGCATACACGGTTACGGTAAATAAAGCGGTCCAGAAGAGCTGCACCACTTGATAGGTGAGCGCCAAATAGTGGTATCTGTTCTCATCGAAAGGGAACCACATCGATAGGGGAAGAGGTTTTCCGACTGTTTCGTTCACGTGCTTGTAAAGTTTGTTCGATCGGTAGCTGTTTTGGATTCCTGAAATTAAAATGAGCGAGCAATAAAAAGAAAATGCTAAAGCTAAGCTTCAACATTTCTTTTTGACGATATTGGGTTTTAGCCAGTGGTGCATCAAGATAATGAAAATTTTCCATTTTTTTTTGGACAATTTGGTAAAGATCTGGAGTTCTGCTAAGTTCTTTATCATGTTAGGTGCGTAATCTCAGAACGTCTTGAAAATGAAAACTGGGATCACGAATTTTGAAAAAACCCTCAAAAACTATAACTTTTGATTGTTTTGTTTCAATTGCTCAGAAAATTGAAATTTTTATTTTTTCAGTTCCTAGTGGAACAACAAAATTATTCACAAAACTCAGATATTAGTTTCTAGTATTTAATCCCTTTTTTCCTCACTGAAGCTCTTCTTTGTTTCTTCGATCATTCCCGCCACATATTGCTCCTAAGTTTTCTCATTCTCCTAGTTTCCCACATTCGTTCCTGTATTCTCCTAACCAATACTTATTCTTCCTTTTTTCGTGTCCACCCCTAAACCCCACTATGAACACTCCGTTCTCTGCAAAAGTACTTAATTACTCTTTTTTTCATTGATTTGTAGTTATCTCCCGATTTACAAACCGAACTATTATATGTAAACAAAATACCAACTTAAGAAAAGTGAAATAATTTTTCTTCTCTTTTGTCGTCATTGCTTTCATTCAAGTTCTCTTTCCCTTCTTTTGCACACTTATATTATCGCTCCCACTACATACAAATCCCTAGTTTTCCACTTTCAACCCCTCAGTGGTTCAGTTTCCTTAAATATTTTTGCTCCTTCTCTCTTTCCTCTCATTGCGGCTCTCTTGCTCTTCGTTTGCACAATTATATCATCGTTCCCACTACATTTGTTTTTTTTCCGGTCTCGTACATCTTCTCACTGGTTCGTTTTAAATTTTCTCCACCATTTTCCTAACCAATTCTTTCTTATTCTTTCTTTCTTAATTTTTACACCTAAACCTCACTATCCACTTTCTTTTGGTTATACTGTCCTTACTAAATGATGCCGGATATTACATTAGTTTCATTAATTCAAAATAAGTCGAATATTTACAAACGTATGAAAAGCGAAATATTTCTGCCTTCCATTTAATCCTTTTTCTAATCAGTCAAGTTTTCTATTTCTTTTCTTGCACACTTATATCATCCCTCCCACGGCATATAAATCCTTAGTTATTTCATTTTTTCCGTTACCGAAAACCCCCCAGTGGTTCATTCAATATTCTCTCCTTTATTCTCCTAACAATTCTTATTCTTTCTCTCTTCATTTCGACACGCAAACCTCACGATCCACTTTATGTTCGTTACACTTTCCTTATTAAGTACCTGCGGAGAGTTTATTAGTTTTTTTGTATTGATCCACAGTTATGTGCATTATAAAACTGATTTATAAACCGATTTGTTTAATATAAACAAACAAAATAAGTCGAATATTAACATAAAAAAGTGAAACATTTCTGCCTCCACTTTCATCCTCTTTTCTATCATTCAAGCTTTCTTTCTCATCGCTCTCTTACTAGGATTCATTAATCAGTTTTTTGTATTGATTCGTAGTTATTTGTATTGTAAAACTCATTTATAAATTTATGTAAACAAACAATTTACAAATAAAAAAAGTGAAATATTTCTTTCCTCTCCATTCAAGCTATCTCTAAATTTTTTCTTTCTTTCATTTTCCCGCATCCTCTTCTCTCCTACTGCTTGTAACTGTTATACTTTCTCGCTGAATGTCCACATCCAAACTCCCCAGTCGACTTATTTTCACCATACTTTAGCTTGTTAGTGTCAAGTGCTAGACCGAATTTCAAGAAATGTTGATACGATAGTTGCATCTCTAAAATCACCTCCATAAAGATTTAGAATTTTTTGCCTGAACACCCTGAATATAAAATGTTCCTAGGCCATCGGGGCCTATTTATAAAACTTTATTGCCATTTTCGTGTTTAGTTTTACCATAATGTGCACCACCAAAAAATTAAGCTATTTTATACTTGCCTAGTATGCTCAATTTAAAAAACAAAGTCACAGTGTACGAAACGATGGTGTACATAATCTTGTAGAACTGTTTCCGATGGTATCCGTATATCATTCGCATCGAGACATCTCCTGAGTTTTCCAAACTGACTTCCTCGCTACCGGCAATCTCTACCAGCTCCATTAGCCCACGACTCTGACACAAGATCACTTTTACCAATATCAGCATCACGTACAACATCTTCGATATGTTTTCGATTGCTGAAAACGATCCGTTATTCTCGCGGGAGGGAGTCACTCCAACGTCACTCACTGTCATCGAAATTTTCGGAATACAAAAGGTAAAAGTTGATTATGTAGGAAAGCAAATGAGTGGCATAGAGGAATTGCACAAGTATGGAATAAGCTAGGTACAATGTCTTCGTTAAATGCGAACCTTCCATCAATTTAGATCTCCACATTCCGCTGATGATCATTAATTTTTTTGTCATTTCAAAAAGCCTCCTGCCCTTCATGGTATCAATCTCTCCCGAAGCATGTCGTGTCGTCTTTATATATGCGAATGTGCAAGAATAAATTCGAATCGAGTCGTTTTGTGTGCATTGGCGTAGAGCGTATTGGAAAATACGTGGCAACCAAAATAATTTCGTAGTTTAGAAAGCCATTGTCAATCGATAATATTTTTTTTTTTATTGCAGGACCGGTTCCTAGAAAAGCCCAATTTGTTTTATACTAGACTCGTAACTCAAGTCTTATGGAAATAAAACCATCTTTATCTTTATGTGTAGACGCCACCACTGTCAAAACATTTTACGCTATGGGCCCGCCCATCGTATCGGTGTTCGTTTGGCGGGAAATTTCACCACGTAAAAGGGAATAATTTCCGTCGACTTGCGAACATTATAGATGCATAAAATAGAGTTTGCGTGATTTCACTGCGCCGGGGGATCTAAAGGGAACGCCTCTTGAATCGCAGAGAATGCGGATACATTTTTACGATTAAATACGAAGACGTGAGTGTCGACGTTCGAATAAAAAGTTAGTTTTGGGAAAAGGAACATGAAACAACCCTACCATTAATATTTTAATAGGCAGTGGACTACCGACATCCACTTCAAACTGAGAAAGAAAAATTGATCAGAACGGCCACTTAAAGGAGGATGAATAGGACGTATCGGAAACGTTAAGTAATAAAAAAATATAAAATGTTGGAATAAATAATAACATAATTTTATTTAATATTATGGGGTCTCAAAGTTTGGTTTGCACGGGACAACAAAAAATGGTTTTGCTCTAATTGTTTTTCTGAACTGTTTTGCAAAAATCAAATAAGATACAATGAAGTTTGTTCATAATAATGTAAATATTTCAATTTTGCCAATTGTCCTTGAGGACTAACTTTCAATTTTTTTATGAGCTACAATCATTTGAAATTTTAAAGATCATTTAAAAGGAACCCTCTCATTTTTTATTTTATTATTTTTCATTTATTTTTATTTAATTTCATTGAATTTGAATATAATAATAACATTTCATAGACCTCCAATATATTTATTGCTGCAAATAATCAAAAGGATGAAATAGGCTAATGCGCTTTCAACAGCAGAGAAAAGCAAGCGAGGTCAAACAACCAGGCTTACGGGAAACTCAGTCAGCCTTTATTCATATATTAATACAAATTTATATTAATTTACTATTGACACTATGGTGAATACCGGTAAAATCGAAAGAGAAAGGAAGAAGAAGGAAAAAGATATATAACACCTTAACAATATCTAACTCAGGCAGGAACACATTTGGGTGTGCCAAATAAAACGATCCAGTATACGATCTGGAAACTCATAGGAGATACGAAAAACAGTTTCGTATAAAAGTTTCTTAGACTTTCCCGAAGATTTTAAATATTACAATTTTGTTGATACAGGGTGTTCCAAAAGTGTTCCCCCGACATTATCTTTGTTATTTTAAATGGAACACCGTGTATATTTCAATATTTTTGAATCCTCGGTTAAAATAAAAGTTACTTTCTTAAGAAATTCCTATTCGAATTTTGCATAGTTTTTCTTTTCATATTTTGCTTGACCCGTATGAAATTGTGTTGTGGCGCTACTGATCGATCCCGGTATTGCAACGAAAATTTAACCACATACTAAGGAGATGATGCACTACTCAATCAGATTGATAGATGCGCCTCAACTTATACAGGGTGTCCCAAATAAGTGATGCAGTTTTCGCGAATTCAATTAACAAAATCTCAACATTTTCAAATGGAGGCACTATACTTTTGTTCAGATAACAATTCTATTACAAAAAATAAGGTAAGTTGAGTTGAGTTGAGGTGAGTTGAGATATTCGAGGTTTAAGATAACACCCGCAATAAATTTTGTTGAATTCAAAGCTGTCCACATTAGGTCACTTGTGGCAACATAGCAAAGCAATTAAATAGCAAAGACACGATACTACTTCTTCTAAAGACACAATACTCCAGCTATACGAATAAAACCTATTGTTAACAATAACAATAACATAATAATAATAACAACATTTAATAATTATCTAGGTTGATTGAAAATACCTAATAACAAAAATAAATAATTAAATTTTATGGGCTAACCAACTAAGGTAACAAATTTGAAAAAATAAATGTATAAAAAAAGTTAACTAAAAAGGATTCGGTACAACAAGTTTAGTTAAAAATGTTACCCTTAAAATGCTCGTTTCATCTGGCCCCAAAACAACATATAAGTATCAAAATCACGGAATAAACTTTGACATTTCTGTTTGTTTTTGTTTAATATTTCTACTTAAAAAATTCTTATTTTTCTTATATTTTTAAATAAGTTATAGTTCTTTGGTTAACCTGTATATTTTAATTATGTATTTTGTTATTAGGTACCTTCAATCCAGCTAAATAATTAAGTAATGACTGTTTCTCTAAATATGAATTCTCAAGTTTTATCAAATCCGTTAAGGTATATAAATACCTGACATAGAGTCCAGCAAACATTTGTACCAAATTTTTTTTGTAACTAGTATGGGTTTCCAGATCGTAAACTAGATCGTTTTGTTTGGCACACGATGTACATTTTTTTGAATGTATTTAAGTTTGGACTTGAGTTTCAGGAAGAGTACTATTTATTTTTTACGAAGTTTAACGTTGTGGTAATTATATGGATTCCGTTGAGAAATTTTTTATGCAGTAGTTTAAAGTCAAAAGAGGAAAATTTCAGAGACATCCAATATTTTTAGCCAAATGAATTGTCTTCGTAACAAATGCTCAATTATTGGAAAGGCGTTATTTATAACATAAAATTCATAAACCAAAACTAAGCTTAATAATAACCCAGAACAGCAAGCAAAATCCAATCATCAGGCTTTGAAAAAACCCAAGTTTTCTTGCTGATGTTCCACCTTCACCTTCAACTACGTCCTGACATGATCGAAAGAAACGAATAAGCCAATTTAAGTCTCTGGAACAAAAAAATTGAACTAAACCTCTTGAGATTATTTCCTCAGACACTTACAGATTTTGCATCGTCCGTCGTCAACATTCCAAAAGGGCCGACGGTTATCCCTAAAGGACTTTGACACTTGAGCATCATAAAATACAAGATGCTTTTGATCCTTTTATTTAGATCATACCACCGGCTCTCGTATAAAGCTTCTGCCAGTTTCAAGCTCTAAAATGCAATTCATTTCGGTACGATATTTTCGAAAATTTCTTTATTGATACCTATTTTTACACCTTTTTAATAAAGTACGTAAACTGCAAGAGAAAAATAATTTCCTTGCGTGACAAAACAATTTGAAACAATTTCGCGCAAAGGCTTCGAGAAATATAAAACAAATCTTTTTTGAAAAACGGTTTTGCAATTTTGGTGTAATCACCTCGCATTTTATTTCGTTGGCATTCCAGCAAATATTCAGGAGTTGGCAAAATATTAAAAAGAAGTATACAATGTGGAACAGCGTATCATTGCCCTGAAAAGAAATACTATCAGATTTCCTGTCTATATAGTTATTATTTTAAGTTAACATAAATTTTCGATATAAAAACTAATTCTAATACAATGATTGAACTGATTTTATTCGATGAAAATCGATTAACACCATGAAATTTGTAAACGTTTAGATTTTCACAACCATTTACAGGTTTATGACAGCTGTTTAAGCTGGATCTAAAACATTACATTTCTTCGGATGGGATTATTTGAATTCCACACCCATTGCAAAAGAAAATTAAACTCTGCATCGACGACGAAATTGAGCCGCAATTACGTAAAAATGTCATGTAAAATGTCAACAACATGGATTCCATTTTCCCTAAATTTTCCCATAAATAACTCTACCCAGACTATAGCTCTATGAAGAAATAACAAAAAAACTAAAAACTTTTTTTTTGTTTTCTACTTAATGCGTATATTTTGGGGATAATCATGATCACGAGCGTCATCAAAAATTTAATTATTTATTTACGTTTAGGTCGCTCAACTTCTTTTCAAATCTAATCAACCATCAACAAGTTCAGATCGATTTTGGGTCGCCAGAGAACAAAAGTAATCTATAATTTGATCCATTTTTACAAATAACGAAACTCGTCTCGAGGAGGATAGGTGACGTCAGCGTTTCACCCAAACTATCTTTCTTTTTTTACCGTTCTTGTTACAACACGAATATACTTTTAATCATGGCAGTCGAACCTTGTCATGCACACTCAAAAGCACTCTCTTTTTGGCATATCACAAGATTTAATAGCAAGATATTGGTTGGGCAATTCAAGTAGGTGAGAAAGTACGTCGCAACCTCAGTTAAATCCCAAATTGTAGCCGTTTTGTTTTGCTTATTGCCTCAGTCTTTGCTACATAACTTACTAGATTTAATCAATAACGAATTTTGCTTGTCGCAATAACCTCAAATTACTATTCTAAATAAATTTTTGACCTTTTGATTTTGATAATACTAACCTCGTCAATTTGAACCAGTACGGTGGCAAGCAATAGTGAAGTTAGACTGTACTCCAACAAAATCAGCCAACTGAATGAAGAATTGAAACGTCTGCTCCAACTAAAATGGCAATTAGTGACATTCCATAGTCTTGTTATGTTTATTTTATAATAACTTCTAAGTTCCTTAACTTAGTGCCTTATATAGCGATAGATGAATGAATGATTTTTCTTGCAAACCAAGCTGTAGCTGAGCTTTGGATTGACTAAAAATTAGTGCTAAAAAATTGAATAAAATAATTTTGTTCTACGATCTCTTAGGAGAGGAAACTATTAACTCTTTTATTATAACTTCTAAATTCCTTAACTCAGTGCCTTAACTTACACCAACCAGAGTTTTAGTGAGTTTTGGATAGAACAAAAATTACCTAACATGAAGCGCCGAGGAGTGGCTTAGGAGACCATTATCCACAATTTCAAAATTAAAACAAATCGTATTTTTTCAGTGTATACGTATTACGAAGAAAGTTCTGCTTGATGGTCGATATTAAAATGAAAAAATTCACCTGATGATCGCTTTATGTTCGATGCACAACATTTTCAATTCGTTCCCATCGCTTGGGGCGTTCGCGCGAAAGTTCCTGAGTTGGTGCTGAAAAATTTTCAGTTTGGCTCTTAGAAATATGGCCAACGAATTCGATACGGCATACACGGTAGTGGTGAACAAGGCAGTCCAGAACAGCTCTACTATTTGGTAGGTGAGCGCCAAAGCGTGGTATCTGTTCTCATCGAACGGGAACCACATGGACAAGGGCAATGACTTTTCAACCGTTCCGTTCACGCTTTTGTGTAGTTTGAAGCTTTGCTGGATTCCTGAAATTGAAATGAGCTAGGAATTACTTAATTGATAATTCAGCATTTTCTATTTTCTACAGATTCTCCTATTTTCCATTTTAGAAGAATTGATTACATATGTGGTCAGTGACAAGACAAGCTAAAAGTAAGGGTGGTGGCGTCATAATATATGGAAAAAAATCTATTTGGTCTGTAAAATTAAATGTTTTTGATATTATTGTGATTACCATTCACAAATCTACAATAATTCAAAATGTTAATTTATTTTTGGAAAAACTTACTGTTTTATTTCATAGGATTGCCAATACTAAATCCAAATATGTCATAAATGATAACTTTAACACCTATATGGTCTTAATATTCTCCTTTAATTTTTGTGAACCCACTCGCATTTCTAAGACAACTGCCACGTGCATTGACAATCTTGTAACGAATCTAGACCATAGTGAAATTAAAGTAAAAATTGTAGATTGGCATAGTATACTAACGTCTATTATTATCTCGGATAAAAAAAGAGAATATAGTGAGGAAAATGCGAATTATCTCGGAGAAAGCGATATCGTCTCTCAAACAGCTTCAGGATTGGTCGTCTGTTATGTCATCGCAGCGTGCTGATAGAACTTTTTGTCATCAGCAGGGTTTTTTAAATTTGTTTTGGCCAAATTAACTATAAGTAATATGTACGTTGTAAATAGTTCGTGGTTCTAACACAGAACCCTCAACGACTCCACTGCTGACCAGTTGCTGAATGGAGACAACATTGTTTCCTTTCACCCGCTAGTGTTCATTTAGCGAATTTGTAATTAGTTTCAACAACTGTCATTGGAGTCCAAAGTGTTCTAATTTTACCACCGACAAGTTATGTGGTAATTTGGGTTACCATCGGTTCCACACTTTTTAGACGTACACTGTATATTTTCAATAATCAAACTATTTTTCCTAAATCCCAAACACCATTTCTATCTACCACGTTGTTACCAAATTACTGGATTATAAATAAAAACCATACTTTGAAGTATTATTAACCTATAATGTGGAACTAACATAAGAACAAGAAACAATTTTTCAGCTTGGAATTTGGCAGCAAAATAAATCATATTGTGTGTATTTGACTTTGTGGGTATTTCACATAACCATAACATAACTACCAATGCTACTTAAATTAAGGGCTACTTGGCGAGATTATACTTGCCTTCTATGCTCAATTTAAAGAACAAAGTTGCAGTATACGAAACGATGGTGCTCAGAATCTTGTAGAACTGTTTCCGGTGGTATTCGTATATTACTAGCATCGAGATATCCCCTGCGAGATGAAGATTGACTTCCTCGCTACTGGCAATCTCTATAAGTTCCAGTAATCCAGAACTTTGACACAAGATCACTTTCACCATTATCAGCAACACGTATATCATCCTCGATAAATTTTCAATAGCTGAAAATTACCCATCATTCTCGACGGCGCTTTTTAATCAACCTTACTCACTGTCATCGAAGTTTTGGGAATATAAAAGGTAAAAGTTGATTACGTAGGATAACAAATGAGTTCCAAAAAGGACTTGCACGAAAAGGGAATAAGCAAGGTACAATGCATTCGAGAAATGCGAAGTTTCCTGTAATTTAGGTCTCGACATTCCGCTGATGATCATTAGTTTTCTGGTAATTTCAAATAGGCTTCTACCTTCCATAGTCTCTTGATTGTCAAACTTTCAGTATGACCCGAAGTTTACAGTGTCACCTTTCCATATATACCACCGAAACGTGGAAAAATAAATTCAAATCAAGTTGCAATTATCCTTTGTCGTTTTGTTCGCATTGGCGTGGAGCATTTTGCAAACATTTACTGGGGCAATCAAAGAAAATAAATTTAAGCAAACAAATTATACATGTCTCTTAGTTTTAGGGTCATTTTAATCATAGAAGCTTACTAATTTTATATATCTTAATAGGGAAATCAAAGCTTATAAACGAACCGAAGTATCATTAAATACCCACAATGTTACTCGGCGCAATTATAGCTGACGCTGCCACTGTCAAAATTATCCACATTTTATGCTCTTATCGATATTCACTTTGCGGGAAAATTCACTACAAAAAAGGGAATAATTTTCCTCGACTTGCTAATATTACAGACGTGAGTGCTCTTGCATAAAATATAATTTGCGTGATTTCATCCTATAGGGGGATTTTAAAGGAACGCCTCTTGCACTGCGAACAGATTGTTTTTACGATATTCAAATAAGAATTTAGTTATGGGAGTCGTAACGTGAAATCGTCTTTTTTTACATAAGCAATGAGCTTAAGAAAGTTAAACGAATTTGGTGAATTTAGATTGGATTTTGGATATCAAAAGTAAACTTTGTACTGGTTTAGAACGATGACAAAACACTTATTTTTAAAATAAAGAAAACAGGTAGGTATAGCGTCAAATGTTTTTCACTTTTCCATTATTATCAACTTTAATTTTCCTTTAACCTTAAATTGCAAAAGGCTTTTGTTTGTTTTGTTTATGTTGATCAATCAAATAATTAACACACTAAGTATCAAAGTTATTTGTTTTATAAAAAAAATATGATATACGCTTCATTCGAACTGGAAGTTTTGATTTTGAAAAGAATGATAGAGTCAAGACTGTAGTGAGCAAGGAAAATGGATTTCAAGTGCCACTTATTTTCATAGAACACCAACATGTATGTGTACGACAAATGTTCCAATTTCCAAGAGTTCATCAAGAACTGAATGAAAAGTATTAATAAATTAGATCAGCATTTGGTGAATGTGCACAACAAACAACTTTTGAAGAAGTTGACTATCAAATTTATTACTTATGGATGAATCGACATTCCATAAAAACAGTTGTGTTAATGGGCATAATTTTCACTAATTTTCTAACACCACTTTATGGTGTTTAAGTGTTTGGGGTGGTATAATAATGTAAGTTCTCAATTTTTTTGAAAATGCGCTAGTAGACTTTGTAAAGCAAAAATTACAAAATATGTTAAGTATTATTCCAAAAGAACTGGCGCATGGCGGAGCTCGTGTATACTATGCCCATTAAGTTACGAACAACTTCAGTTATTTATTTCCCCAACAGTGGGTAGGAAGAGGTAGATGGCCTAAATCTCCTTATCGAACACAGATGGACTTTTTTTGGTGCGGCTATATTGAAAACCAGGTCTGTAAAACTCACCTCACAATACGAAAAGACATAAAACAGAGGATAAGAGAAGCCTCGATTTTTTTGGTTTTTCAGTTATCATTTTTAATCATTTTTGATTGCATCACTTTACGTGACGTAACTGTATAACTTCCACTTCATAAAAACCCTCAGTATGGATCGTAGCAACCCTACATTGGATGATAAAGTATAGAAGGGAGTATCTACTAATACCATAATATAAAAAGATAAGTTTGCTTTACCACATATTTATTAATCACCCTGTATTTTTAAAAATGATTTTAGATTGTATTTAAATTTTTTCTGAAACAAATAATTTAGGAGATTTGTTAATTATTTATTAAAATTCTGCTACATTTATTAAAAAAAAAAACTGAAAGTTTTGTAACTTACATAATGAAGAATTGGTTGTCCTGTTTGTAAAGTGAAATAAGATGTCCCATTGTATTTGTAATAAAAATATTCCTCAAATAAATTTTTTGGCATTTGAAACTGTACCCTATATTTTATTGTAGCTACATTTTAGTATTTCCTGTACCGTCATAAGACTAAATATTGATACGGAATGGAATTTTACTTAACGAGATTGATAAATTGATTAGTTAAAAATCATACGAGTCAAGCGAATTCACCAGCACACGACGAAATCACACATAGTGTTTTCCTTATATAAAAAAAACACTCATTACCACTCTGTACATTTCTGAAATAAACTATAATTGGGTCCAATTTATTTTGCGCATTTGATTACCTTTAGTAATTGCTAGGCTATAATTTACAATTAATAATAATAAATCGCCTTTATTAAAAAAAAAAAAACTAATTTAAGTTAAAATGACACCGGTGGCGATATCTCGTAGCTTTACTCTACTTAAACCCAATGTGAATGTTATCGTGTAAAGCAGAAAGAAAAATGAAAACATTGGAGTCTTTCTTCAGTCTCTTTAATCCACTTAAATAGTAGCGAACTCAAAACACTTAACTGCCCAATGCCATCGTTTCCGACCTAATTTTCGCTGTTTTTACACTCTACTTCACCGCTTACCTTGAAAGTTTGTCAAAAGCTTTCTCTAAGTCTAGGAAAGCTAGGTAGATCTCTGTATTGCTGTGTCGTGCTGAAGATGTGACCGTGTACGCTTCTTCCTTTCCTGAATTCGCTTTGAGATTGCTTTAGTTGTGGTTCCAGGACTTTTGAAAGGGTTTCTTGTAAGACCCGCTTTTAAATATTGAAACAATGGCTCCTATCTTCGGGCACCTTTTTCCTGTTGTCAAGCTTCTTTGCATTTTTAAGCTTACTCTGAGCACTTTTCATATCGTCCATGCTCGTGTCGCCAGTGACCTGTTCAATTTCTTGATCTACTTCATTGCTGATATCCAATAAGTTTTAAAAATATGTTCACCACCTGTCAATTATAACGTTATCGTTGTTGAGTATCTTTGTCTTTTATTGGTTTTATAGTTCAATGCTTGTCTTTAGTCTATTTTATTTCCAAAATCTTCCTATGATTCTTTCTTTGCCTTCATTACATTTTTTACTCGTGATAGCTGTCGTCGTTTTTAGTTGCTAGATATTTTTTTCATTTTTCTTTTAAATTCTTTTAGTATCGTAATTGATCGCAGTTGATCTAGGTTGTTGGATTTTGTATCACACATGATCATCTTGCATTAATTCTATAAGGTTGTTCGGAAAGTCATTTCGTTTTTTCCCGTCAGAGGACTTAATTACGTTTTTTCGAAACCAACTTCACACTTAAGCATAACCATTATATGTCTTGAGAGCTGATATTGCAAGGCTTGTCTGTGAAAAAGTTCTATTAATTCTACGCTGTAGTTTCTGGTTGGTGCCCTTTTAAATATGGAGAGCAATAAGCAGCATTTTCGTCATATTTTACTTTTTTACTTCAGAAAAGGTAAAAATGCTGTCCAAGCGAGAAAAAAATTGACGGATGTGTATGGAGAAGGCGTGTTAATAGTACGCCAGTGCCAGAACTGGTTTGCAAAATTTCGATCCGGCAATTTTGATGTCGAAGATGCACCACGGTCTGGAAGGCCGGTCGAAGCTGACAAAGATGCGATAAAGGCATTAGTTGATGCAAATCGGCGAATAACCACACGAGAGATCGGTGAGAGATTAAATTTGTCGAATTCGACTGTTTATGGCCATTTGAAAGGCATGGGCTTAACCTCGAAGCTCGATATGTGGGTGCCCCATGTCCTTACGGAGCGAAATTTGTGTCGTCGCGTTGACGTGTGTGATTCGCTCCTCAAAGGTCAAGAAAATGATCCATTTTTGAAGCGGATTATTACTGGGGACGAAAAATGGGTTGTATACAACAATGTTAAACGCAAGAGGTCATGGAGCAGAAAAGATGAACCGGCTCAAAGCGTGTCAAAAGCAAACATTCACCAAAAAAAGGTGATGCTCTCCGTTTGGTGGGATGTCAAAGGAATCGTTTTTTTTGAGCTTTTGCCGGACAATACAACGATTAATTCAGAAGTCTATTGTCATCAACTGGACAAATTCACTTAAAGAGAAGAGGCCCGAATTAATCAACAGGAAGGGTGTAGTGTTCCACCAGGATAATACGAGACCTCACACAAGTTTGGTCACTCGCCAAAAACTTTTACAGCTTGAATGGGACGTACTGCAACATCCACCATATTCTCCAGATCTGGCGCCTTCCGACTACTATTTGTTCCGGTCCCTGCAAAATTTTTTGAATGGCAAAACCTTTACCTCAAATGAAGATGTCAAAAACCACCTGAACCAGTTTTTTGCCAGCAAGGACCAAAACTTTTATGAGAGGGGAATTATGTTACTGCCAGAAAGATGGCAAAAGGTGTTGGACCAGAATGGCCAATATATAATTTAATAAAACATTTATTCATTATACGAAAACTGTCTTTCATGTTCCCCAAAAAAAACGAAATGATTTTCCGAACAACCCAATAGTTTGGAATCATCTGCTATCTCTTTTATGCCAAGTTTCTATGATCAAATTGAATCCTTTCTGTTTTTATTATACATGATGTGTTTGGGTGAGGTAGCGGTCACTACCAATCTCTACTCCTATTATTTAAGATCCATTTTTTAATTTTTTCTAATTGACCATTGATCCAGGCTGTTGTATTATATCTAATATGAGTTTCGACAAATGCCTGATAGAGCAGTTTAGGTGATTATCCTAAATGCTTTATATGTCATTTGGATTTTATTTGGACAACTTTGTGATTGATAGTAAATATAAATCCAAATAAGTAACGATGTTTCTGGCATATAATGTAAAGGCTAAGGAAAATGTTTTTTTTTTACAATTTACAGTCAACAAAATACTAAGTCCCGTTCAGTGATTAAATTAGGTTCCGTAAAGTTTACTGCACTATAAATAACTGCGGATTAATCATCAAAACTCAGAACCCGTCTTTTGATGCTTAACTTGAAAAGTCGGTTAATGTAGATATTAAAGAGTATAGGGCCAAGTACCGTTCCTTGAGGCACCCCATATTTTATCAATTGGAATTCGCTCGTCGCATTTTGAATTTGAACACATTGTTTTCGATTATTTAACTAACTTTGTAATAACTGGTATGGAATGCGTTTAAAGTCACTATCGTGCTGACAAGCTGAAAAACGTTCCTGATCGACTGTGTCGAATGCTTTTGTCTGTACATTTGTTTATGTTAGCGACTAATTCAGATACCGCATCCTCTCTCTGATATCATAATGATTTTCTGACAAAATGTTGTACTTTTCTTAGCCCATCTTCTTTTTTAAAACTCTTTTTTTTTATATAAACGATTTGTTTATTAAGTATGTAAGAAGAGACAGGGACAACATAATGCCGTCCATTCCAGGAGCTTTATTATTTTTTAAGGCTTTAATTGTTCTTAGCACATCCTCGTCCGTGAAATGGAATTTTCCAGTACTCTATCATGTTTTTGAGGACTTAGAAAACCTTGTTCTAGTTTCATATTTTGTGATAATTTTTCGCCTGTTTTTAAGTAATAGCTACAAAAGTAATTGGCAAGGGCAGGAGAAGTCATTTTTATTTTTATTTATTTGTTCGCTGTGGTAGTTTTGTTTACATAATTTAATTAATAAGTTTTGATGGTTCTTATAATTGTTTGTATATTCAGGGGTCGGCAATACCTTCATTTTCCGGTAAAGTTTATTATTGTAATTCGCGGATTTTGCGAGCTAACGAGTTTCCCATGAGTTTCTTTTTTATTTCGATGTTTCGTTTCCACAACCGTGGTACAATTTTCGTTATAGTATTTTTATCAGACTATCAGCGTTTCTGATAAATATGTGATCAATACATGATTCAACGCTACCTTCGTCGTATCGTTATGTTGTTAATAGCAGATTTAAATCCATGTTCATTTAGTATGTTTAAATAATCTTGCACGTAAAGATCAGAATTTAGAATATTTATATCAGAAAATGTAAGTAATATCTTTAACGCAGTTAGTAAGGCCAAACAAACTGTTATTATTATTTATTATTAATATTTATTATTAATTATTACTACTTTACTATTGTAAATCAATCAAGTAGTTTACAAGTTTAAATTGTGATAGATCTTCAATATTCCATGTTCCTGAGAAAAATAAAACTTCAAAATCAGTTTTTTTCTGACTCAGAAGAATATTCACTTCCAAGTCCTCATTTAACATTCGAATATTATAATGAAGGATACTCAAAGTAATTTTATTCATAGTTTATATATATTTCGTAGGTACATCGTCATATTTTATTAATTAAACATGCACCGCCTCCCCTAGCTCGCTCGTTGGTATTTACTCCGCTTAGTACCATAACGTGACCGTTTTCTACTTCTTTGATGCTTCCTCCATTTTTCTTACTTTAAGTGATCCCTAGTATGCTTACATCTATCTCTTCAAATTCTCTTATCAGTACTTGTCATTCCTTTTACTGTGTTTGAATTGGTATCACATTTCAATTCCAATTTTCCTCCGGTGGTTTTGCCGAGTGGTCGCCACGTTCTGTTGGTCCTACGATTCATTATATTCATTATATTTTTCGCCGCTTGGTCTTTTATTGTTTCCTTTTTCTTTACATTGTTCGTAACCAAGTTTGCCTGAAAGCGGTGTGTATCAGTTTTTGTTGTTGAAGGTAATACACATATCGTAAATGCGGTAAGAAAGTTGATTAATGTCTCCCTTCCCGCCGCCGTACATGAAAACGTAATTGTTCCAGAAGAAAAGGATAATCGACTCCGTAATGAACTAACTTATAGAGAAATGCTCAGAGGCAGTACAGCAGCCGAAGATCATGATCAACTCTCCTTTCAGAATAGGAACCTTCCGCCCTCAACATTAGATACTTCAGTAATCTTCTGTGCACACTTTTAATGGACTGAACGTGGCAGTTATATATCGCTGACCATACTAGCAAGCCACAGTCTTCCTTGGACCTAACGTAACAGTTAAATTGCAATTTAACAGTAGCTAACCTACAAAAACGAATGCAATTTCTTATCGATGATAATAATAATCTCGTCAAACGCTTTGTGGGAGTCAGTGAATATAACGTCAACTTGAACTTATTTGTTCAGGGAGTCACAGACATAAGAAGAGAGGGAACTTAAGTGGGTGATACATAGAAACCATGTTGTTAAGAAGATAGTTTATTTGTTCAAAAATTGCACCAGATCGGTGATTCTCGGTTGCGAAAGGATCACCTTTTTTGAGAATAGGAAGGTTCTGGATAAACATGCGTTTCAAGTCCCACGTAAAAAGTGTGACGAAAGGAGCACACGATGCGTGGAAACAGTCTCTGAAGGTAAAACTTGGTATGCCATCAGGACCGGCAGTTATTTTATATTTGAGTTTTTGCTCGCTGATCACACATTCTGGGTGGTAAAAATCGATATGTGGACTAGATCGCAATTACAGGACGTGGTTAAAGATGAACATGGATCTGGCTGGGATATGGTGTAAACGCTACCAAAGTACTTTGCTTCGACGACCATACTACGCCCATGGCATCTCTGATTAGAATACGACACCGTGGCACTGTGGGCCCCATGCATAAACTAGGTTGCAATAAATCATTATTAAAAATGCATAATTTGTCAATGTTTTTAAATTAGGAACATACTCAAACATGTAAAAACAGTATTGCTTTCTTTCAAGAATTTTTTATTAAGGCACGATGCCAGATGTTTAAAAGGAAGTCTCTTTTTATTGCAATCTCTTCAATAAAATAACGAACTTTTCGTACTTTTTAAATGGCTTAGTAGGCATTGAAAACAAATGCCGCTTTAAGTATTTGACATCTGATGTCAGTCCTGTTAATTAGTTTAGACCTGTATATGCAATGTAGAATGTTTGGGTTTTTTCTGCGATTTGACAAGAAGTGACGGGACAAGTACCATAAATATTTAATTTTTTAAATTCTATAGAGTAAAAAAAATATGAAGGCCAACGAGTGCCAAACAAAAATATACATTTTTTTATTAGACAAGGATGTATACTACTAAAAACTGTTAGCCAAAAATGTCGCGAAACGTATGCCACTTAAAAATGTCAACCTCTGAATGATAAAAATATTAACAATTAATATGCTCTTAAAGTTTTTTATCGCAATGAGCCAATTATAATGCATTATTTTTATACATATTGTTTTCATTTTATACACCCGTTTAAACTCAAAATTGCAAGACTACTTTTGTTTTTGTGTTTTTAGAAATGTACGAAATATCGAAAAAAACATTGTTCCAATTCTGGAGTGTCTCCAGTAAGAAAAACCTTGTAGAAGAAATATTTAAAATATTTAACTCTTTACTCGTGGTATTATATGGCCATAACCGTCCGCAAACTGCTGTACCATTCAACAGATATTATTAAACATTGTATTGTGCCTATTGGGCAGCTCTCTGAGGAGGCCCAAGAGGCACGTCACAATGAGGCGATATCGCGAGCATCATACCCAAAAAAAATTGCGCATTGCCACGAATAAAGACTTGATGCGAATGTTATTGGTGTCCTCTGACCCCGTTATAGCCAGTTACCGACAAAAAACTGAAACACCAAAAAAACCACTATCATCTGATATATTGGCTTTACTTAAAAGCCCAGAGCTTCCATGCCTTACAAAAAATGACTATTTTTCGGAGACCTCCGAATATGACTGTGAGTGTAAGGGTAGTGAGTCTGACATGCCACGACAGCGAGAATGAATAAAATTATAATTTACCTAGCGGGTTTCAGGGTTAAAAAAAGTATGTTAAGTAGAAAACGTCCCTGCCAAAAATTTATTTATAAGCCAATTCTAAGGGTTTTTCTTATCCTTTAAGTTTTTTGTGTTTTGTTTGATCCCTTGGTTGCTGTGTTGTTTTAATAAAATAGTTATATTTTCAATCAGTTAATTTAATTTAGGTAAATAGTTTATATATTTGGAATTTGTTAACTAGTATGTTTCCTGTTTCCTTAAATACAGTTAAATTGTTTCACGCGACTGCTGAAACTTTTTGAATAAAACCGGGCAGTAATTGCAAAATGTTTCCAATTTTTTTTGTTCTAGTTTTGGTATGTCTTTAAAATATTCTCCGAAAAGTACTAATGTGGCAACGCTGGAAAATTGAAAAAAAATTATATTATTATTTACCGGCAATGTATAAAAATAATAAGTAATAATTTTTTTTTAAGGTTTTTAAGTAACTAGAAAATAATCGAATTAATGCAACCTAGTTTGGGCAACGGGCCCACAGTGCGAGGATTTGCGCAACGTGGAATATTCGCCCAAATATTAAGACTTGTGTTGCTTGAAATTCCGGATAACCCTCTCCTTTTCAAATATATTTAGGATAATGTCATTATTGAACCGTGATTATCTCAGCTTCCTGCAATATACGGAGTTATATTGCACAAGTTCCATCGCTTGTTGTGTAGCAGCACACGCATTTGCGAATAAGCGTATTAATTATGTTCAATTTAAACACCAAGGTCAGATGTAATTATTCGCGCATACCGACCTGCGTCAAAATGCATTCCGCAGTGAAACCAACAGGCGAGTGGGTCGCATTTTAATTTAAAACGCAATGTCGGAACAAGACGAAGAGAACCTGCATATAATTAAAACGATTTTGCAGAAGCTCGCTGCCCATCACACAGCCGGGGCCTCGTTCGACCCCAAGCTAACTAAAAGAAAACACCTGTCGAAGGAAAAATGGACGGGGGATCTGAAACTTTCCAACTTCGCTGACAAGTTGGACGCCGAGATAAAAAACTTTGACGACGCCCAAGCTGCGGGACCTGTGGTGAAGCAGTTGGTATGTTTGAGATCAGAAACTGTAGTTTTAAACGAAGATCAGGAGGAATACGTGCCGCTACCCTTCGACGCGTTGCTGGTGATATTTTCGCTAACCGACGAGCAGTTCAGGAAGAAGAACTTTCAAGGGGTGCTTCATTACTACTTCGAAAGTCTGCGTCTCAAGAAATCTTTCAGCGAAGATGTTTTCCTGGGGTTAGTGAAGGCGGTGTCGTTAGCTGCCAAGCTCGAAGCCGCTTGCGGCTTGGTAACGTGCAGTCGGGTCGGGTTTGAAGAACTTCTGAGGAATATCTCATCGGATTTGAAATTTACGCGATTAAGCAGAGAAGATATCTACGAAAGCGTCCGCAACAAACTCAAGACGTCCGAATACGAGCTCGTTTCGTACCACATCACGCCGTTGGACGAGAAAAACGGCCACTTGGGCGACTACTTCCGGCTCAACGCGGAAGTGGAGACATTCGGCAGCAAACGCGACCTACAACTTTTTATCAAACTGCTGCTAAAGAACAACGAGGGTTTGAAACTCCTGGTGGAAACCGCATCGATCAAAGAGGAGTTCTTCTACCAAACGCTCCTGGCGGACTTCGAGCGTCACGGTCTCGATCAGCTGATGTCGTTCTCGCCGCGATGCTACTTCAGCAGGGTTAACAACGTCTTGGTGTTGGACGACATGACGGAGTTGGGATTCGTGGGCTTCGATCCGAGCGCCATGTTGTCGTACGACGAGCTGAGCGTCTTGGTGCTGCAGCTGGCGAGGTTTCACTCTTGCTCGCTGATAGTGGAAGAGATGCTGACCGAGAAGGAGGGCAAACCAGTCCGACTGACCGATTTGTACGGCGACTATATGAAAGACGTCGGCAAATACTTTTTCTACGAAAAGACGGCGTACGCCGCCAGTACCGACGGCATCACGTACTGCATCGAACTGTTTCCGGAAGTCGCCACTCAAATGCCTTTGGAGGAGTTCAAAGCAAGGGCCGTGAAACTCTACGAGGTCAACTTAACGAAGTGCAAAGATTACCGGGAGTTTCGCAGGGCGGTTTGCCACGGAGACATGTACGCGGCGAACACGCTCATTAAATATGGCGACGCCGGTAAACCGGTCGAAGGCAGACTCATCGACTTTCAACTTTTTAAATACGCCCTGCCGGCGGAAGACTTGCTGGTATTCATTTACATAAATTCCACCAAAGACACCAGAGACGAATACATGGACATCTTAATCGAGGAGTACTACGCCGAGATGTCTAGGTGCTTGAGGGTGTTTGGTTTCGACGCGGACGTCGTGTATAACAAAACAGATTTCCAAACGTCCGTCAGGTATTTACAGTCGCTGGCCATATGCCACGCCATGATGTACAACCACTACGTCAAAGCTCCCGGGGAGGTCAGGCAAGACATTTTCACGAACGAGGAGAAGCACAAGTATTATCTGATCGAGCACATGAGGGAATTCATAGACCTCGCGATGGTCTCGGACGATTACAAGAAACTTCATGAGGGCATGATCAGGGACTTCTACGACATCTGCTCGAGGGAGGACTTCGAAGATTAGGTTTTATATAAATATTTGGTTAATATCTAATACGATGTAGTCAACAATCTTTTAAATAAAATTGAAGCAGTTACGATTCCATTTCAAAATATTAATCTCAAATTTTCCTATGTGAAATTTGTTCATTGGGATATTTTGAATATGTTTTAGGCAGTTTAGTCGGATTCCACTGACTCAAAACGACATCGTGGGCAGGTTTTCTTTTCCTTTTTTTTCATCCTGATCGACTTTTCACGATTCCGACACTTTCCGGTTGCCGACGAGTACATGTTGGATTTGGCTCTTGTAACATGGAAAATGTTGTGATATTTCAAAAATGGATATTTTGGAGTTTTGATGCAGCCTGTTTCAGTTTTGATGCTTCCTTTTTGGTTGCGATATTGATTACGACGCCTTGGTAGTCCCGTCCCAGTTTCTTTCAAGTCTTGGATGTGAGCCAACAATATCTAGACCTCTACGAAGCATAGTTACCTACTCAGGTAGGTTCTTTCATGTGAAACTGAAGATCGCTTCTGCTTTTCCAGGATTTTTTCCGAATACGCGCTGGGTTCTCCATAAGGCGTGCGTTTTTCTCTAATTCTGTTAAACATTGTTCTCAGAAAAAAAAATCTGCATTTCTAGTTAGATCAATAATTTTGTGCTCCTCCTCCTTCTTGTCCCAACAAACCTAAAGAAAGACGTTGAGCAAGCAAGAAAAACTCATTCTGTGTGAGAGAATGTCTTCAGATCCGACAAACGACCGTCGTACGTTTTACTTGATCTGATTGGTCCGGTACTGACAATGATGTTGAGACATTTGACAGGTTTTGCGAATATCCCAGGAAATCAAACATTCTAAAGCAAAAACAGTACTGCCTTACCGGAGCGCATCATCAGAACTTTGATCGCGAGTTCAAATCTTCGCCGATATTAAACAAGCGGGCCTTGAACTATCTAAAAACAATTAAATCGCGGAGTACACATCTCCATGGTAAACGTAAACAGCATCCGGATATGTGCCATCGTGTTACGCCTCCGCTTTCTTGCAGAAATAATAAAAAGCCGTCCAAGTTCTGCTTCCTGTTTTGTGGCCACGATAAGTAAATACCTTTTTTCAATAGACGGAGTTAATAGAGGCAAGTTTAGGCTACTTATATCAATAAGGGCTATTAATTTTGTTTTTTTTTTGGAATCCATTAATCGAGAAAAACGGTATCACAATCTTTTTTTTATGAATGCTCTTGTCTCATAAACCTTCCTAAAAAATAAAATTCTACCCATCACTGTCTCCCTATTTTATGGCTATTGTTTGATATACAGATTTCTCCATACTGCCGAAATTGTCAATTGCCAATATATATTTAGGCGAAATTTGAAAACACAATTATCAATCAAATAGGAAATATTTTCATGATGCCTATAAATGAGGAATACCTGGTATTTCCTCACTTCGTACGTGGTGCTTAGAATGTCTTCCAAAAATTAGTTATTGGTTACATTGGTTGGATTCAGAGATTCATAGACGCCGTTTTTGACAGGTAACAGAAAAATCAATTGCTTCATGGATTTAGAAGAAGTGTTCGATCATGTGCAGCTAAGAAACGTAGTACATCTCCTCTAGAATAGGCAAATCCCACACAAGGGAATCCAATTTGAGCCATAATTAATGGGGTTCCGTCCGAACCAATAAATTTAGGTCAAGGTAACACTACACTGCCAAATCTCTTAATATGATAATGTCAACACAGAAAACTAAATGTATGACGACATCAAAAGTACTATTGAGATGCAAACTGGAAATTGAAGGAAACGTTATAAGGCAGGAAATCAAATTGAAGTATTTAAGCATAGAGATCTCAGAATACGGTGAATTTAAAGAGAACGAGGAACAAAGGCAACAAGAATAATGATGCCTCAATGACACGATATGGCGAAATAAAATTATGAAAGTGGAAACTAAAAGAATGAATTTATAAGGGAACGGTGAGATCAATTATGACAGACACTGCAGAAACTCGACCTGATACAGCAAAAACCAAACAACTTCCCGAGGCAATAGAAACGAGAGTACTTCGCAGAATAGTTGGAAAAACGCTGTTAGACAGAGATAGAAATGGGAATATAAGAAGAGCAAGGTGGAAAATGTGAATTAATGGGTACACAGTAGAATGAAAGAATGGATTGAACATATCAGCAGAATGGAGGAAGAAGGATAGTAAGAGTTGAACGCGACCAATCACCGCTAGAACGCAGAAGTGTAGGACGTCCTCGACTTGCCTAATGTGAAGATGGAAGAAGAAAAATGTTACAATTGGAAAAATGGCAGGCACGTGGAAAGGACAAGTTACTTGTTAAAGAAGAAAAAAGAAGAATTCAGAATGAATTTCGATGTCGTTCGGTAGGCAAGGCTCAGACTTTTCAAAAATTATACAGTTTCCGCCGAAATTACCAAATTAGATGAAAAACTCATTTCCAGTTTTTGTTATTTAACAAGTGGACATAAAAACTGAAAATGAGTTTTTCATCTAATTTGTTAATTTGGTGATATCAGAATCAAGGCGTTTCAAAGAAAATATTAAAATTGTAAGAGAATCAGACGAACGTAGCGACTCTGATTAAGGGTTGATTTAAACTTAAAGTTGTTATAATAATAATATTAATCATTTATTGTCTAACAGATTCTACATCCATTTACAAGACAATCTGACAAGCATATGATACATCATTTAATGTATAAACAAATTAAAGACAAGAAGGAGAGGTTGACAATGTCAATATCACTACAACGGTCATTGAAAAGATACAGATACAGATATAGCATTGTATAAGGGGGTTTTTATAAGAAAATTCGTAGATGGGGTAAGCAGGTGGAAAATCGGCGAACTGCGGACAAATCGTTGAGGAAGATGGAGGGGTAAATGCATTAATAGCTCCGAGCAGTCAATCCTGGACAGAACAATTTTGCAGAGGAATATAACCGCTAGATAGTTTCTCCGCCATTTTAAAAACGGGAGTTTAAATCTTTCCAAAAGTAATGACTGTTCAGTACCCCGCGCCGGAAACACTCCGTCAGTTTTAAATGCCAGGAATTTAACGAACTATCTCTGTATACAATCGAATTGGTCTATATATTTAGCGTGAATGGGGAATCAGATTGTCGCACAGTACTCAAGCTTGCTTGAATGTTCCGAAACTCCTTAGCGTTACGAAACATAAAGCCCATCGGTCTTGTTGCATCTTTGCAAGTGGTTTCAATATGAGAGGCAAAGGACAGTTTAGTGTCGTACAAAATAATAAGGTATTTGAAACAGGTGCATCTGGTTATTGGAGTAGTTTCCAGGCTGTAGTTAAAAACTATTGGGCGCCGTCTGTTGCAGAACGTCATCACAGAACACTTATCCGGATTCAGATGAAGATTGTTTGCCACACACCAGCTCCCTCGGCAATGTCCACCACAATCCGAAACAGCTTCAGGTCATCGGCAAACAGCTAGTTATGTAGTCGGCTATGTCGTTAACGAATAATAGGAAGATCAGTGGAGCCAGATTACTGCCCTAAGGTGCCCCGCTTGTGGCTATAAAATTATATTATATTATTATTATTATTAAATTAAAGTTGATACTGTTTAGTTTTATTTTGAAATATTTTCTGCCTTTTTTTCAAATCGGTGCCTACAAAAACTACAGATTTGCCATTATCTCAGAATAAAGAATAAAAAGTGATATTTTTCTACACTATTTACTCATCCAAATTCAGATACTAATTTCTCGTTCAAATATTTATCACAGAATGAATGAATGCAGATACTCTAATTTTACTAATTTAGTATTTTCTCATTACCTTGGCTATTACTTGCTGCATCACATGATTTCCGAAAAAAACAGCCTTTCAAACTAAGGTAAGTCTACAGGGTGGCTCAAAAAACGCGACGAGTACCCTGATAACACACAATATCACCAGTATATCTGGTCAATGTCCCATTTAAGTAGCATGTCATATTCATCTAAGTGAAAAAATTACAAAAACGTAAACATAATATATTTGTTTTTAAGATCCCATTTGACAACACTGTTCGGCTGCAACCAATGACGCAACTACTCGCGATCGTGCCCCGCCGGACTCGCTCGAGTCTCGTCGGCTTCTCCTCCGTCTCGTCATCCGCCATCTTTTCAGCCTTGTTTTTGCAGTTATTGGCGGTATAAGGTATACGGCGACTTGACGTCTATTTCGAGTATTTTGTGTCGTGTGCTTACTGCTTTCAGTGCTTTAATTTTAGTTTTTTTTGGTATTATTATTACTAAAGAACTAATAATTCATGTAAGTAAAACTTTATGGTAATATACAACATAAGATTTGATTGATTCCTGTGTAGTCTACCAACATCATGCCTCGTTTTTTATAATTTTGCTAGGTCAATGAGATAGCAAGATCGAGCGGCGGCAGCAGTTATGAAGTTGTAAAACAAGCTCTGACGCCAGCGATTCAAAATTAAAATTGCCCAAATTAATACTTGGAAAGAAGGAATTATGTTTTTTAAAAATAAATAGGAAGTAAATGTAATATAAATAATACATATATATTATAAGAAATATAATTTAATCAAATATATATCATGGTGATTGCTTAGTTTTCTGAACCGAGTTGAGCTAAAACTGCCTTTTCTGTAACTTACACATACACGTTTTAGATTACGTATCTTTTTTGATTCTAGACTTCTTTTCGTATCTTATTGCTTAGTATTTGAAAACAAAAATAAAAGCCACTTTCTCTACATGTTTTTTGAGCAGTTAAATTTAGGCATACAAGACTAAACTAATTTCTTATTTATGTAAGCAATTTTAGAGAAAATCTCCAGAACAAAATTATATTGTTACTTATATACTATAGTTAGTACATTTTTTTCTTAAAATAGGTGCGATAATAACCCCGCAAAAACAAAGTATTAATTTAGGAATCACCCTTCGTAATTTACAACATTAAAATGGTTGTTGGGTAAATTCATGAAAACATTTTTCAAGGCTTGTTTTCATGGAGATAGACGAGCAAAAAAAACTAGGAAATTTTTTCGAAGGAACATAAACATCCTATATTTAACATTCATAGGTCACTTCATAATAATCAATTACTTCATAAATGATTTATTATTACTCTAATATCAATGTTTTAATTAGGGTACATGCGGTTCGTCTCCAAATCCAACTGCCTTATATACTTAAATACGTCGTCGGTAATTTTTTGGGCTTCTTGGGGACTGGATATCAAAGCTTTGTCGACCATCAGTCCTATTTGAAACCTGTCATCGTAAGTACAAATACCGACGCTTAAACCTAAATGCAAATTTCATTAATATTAATTAAATCTCTCCCAAACAAAATTTCTGCTCGCTTCATTTATGTTATAAAAAGGACTAAATAACTTTTAGGTAGTTTAGCTCACCCAGTTTTTCCCTATGCTGCGGAAAGAACACAATATGTTTCAAATTGCATTGGTCAAATACTTGAAGTTTGCTCGTTGCCGGTACATTTGATACGCACATCGTGACACCCGGTATAGTCAATAATTTCTTGAGTAGAGGCATTGGGATCACACCGCTTATGTATTGAAATAACATCATAGCCTACGGCAAGTATACACTACATAGCACAGGAATTATGAAGCAACCACTAAAAAATGGAAAGTTACATTTGCGATTTATAGTTTATAGCGAGAAAATTTGGGTATTGGGCATAGGGTACATTTGTATTTAACAGAAGCATTATACACACCAAATTTCAACAAAAATATGTGAAAAACTCAGAATTGTTTAAATCAAAGTATCAAAGGTTTTAAATAAGAAAATGATGTCCAGACCTTTTACTCAGCAGGTTAATTCATTACTTCTTCTTCTTACTTATTCATTACTAACCAAGGCTAACTAAACTTTAGTCTTATCGCATTTTGACTATGCAGATTTTGTTCGTGTTGTAGATTCGTATGCTCTCGTATGTTTAGAGAGTTAAACATCCTAGGAATTAATTAGTTTTTCACTTTCCAATAATAATAATAATAATAATAATAATTCATAAAGTTAAGCCCAAATATGCAACTGCCCTTTATCATTATATTCTCAACAACCTTAAACCTCTAAATAATTTTAAGCCTAAATATGAACGATTTTAATTACTCTTCCAAAGAGTAACTATAGAATAGTCCTTTATATACAAGGACTTATATGGTATACGAGGTTAGCGCCAAAATTTCCCGGCCTGACATAGATGCAGCTCCAGTATCACGATAAAACTTGGTCTTCTTTTAAATATATATCTTAGTAGGCTGCGAAAAAAATATTGAAGTCTTGTCTTGAAGACGTGTCCGAAAAAATGTGGAAAATAACGCAAATTGAATATAGAACAGTCATAAAGTTTTTGACAAAAGTAGGGTTAGCACCTAGAATTATTAAAGAAAGGCTGGATGGTCTGTACGGCCAAAGTTCTCCTTCGTATTCTGTAGTGAAAGAATGCGCAAAACGTTTTCGGATGGGGCAGGAGTCCCTTGAAGATGATTCAAAAACTGGTCGACCAGTGGAGGTCATATTGTTGCGATTGTGGAAGAGGTGGTATTGAGTGATAGACGTTTAAAGGTCAAGGAAATCTCAGAAATTACTAAGCTTTATAATGCAACTGTTCGTCGAATCCTGCAGGATCATTTAGGGATGCATAAGGTTAGTTCAAGATGGGTTCCTAAAAACCTTTCGGTTATTCAAGAACAACGCCGTGTCGAGTGTGCGCGGTCTTTTTTGGAACTCTGTGGGTCGGGACCGAAGCCTGTAATAGAAACCATTGCGACGGGGGATGAAACTATGATTCTCTATTATGACCCTCTATTGAAAAAAGAATCAATGGAGTGGCGTCGTAAGGGTGAAGCACCTGCAAGAAAATTCAGAGTCTGCCAGTCAACAAAAAAGGTGATGGCCACGATCTTTTGGGATTGTGAAGGAATTCTTTTATTTTTTTTTAAAGATTTTAAAGACACTAACTAATACCACTGTCAATGGTAAATATTACGCAACATTATTACGTAAATTGGGAGACTGCATACGTGTAAAACGTCGAGGAAAACTGACCAGAGGCGCGCGTCTTTTGCATGATAATGCACCTGCCCATACTGCTGCTGTTGCACAAGCTGCAATTTTAAAGTGTGGGTTCCAACAGACAGATTATCCTCCCTATAGTCCAGATATGACCCACAGCGACTATTATTTGTTTGGATTTTTGAAAAAGGAATTAAGTGGACGGCGGTTTAACGACGAAATTGAATTAAAAGAGGCTGTTTTAGCTCATTTTCCAGACAAACCAAAAGAATATTTTTTTAAAGGAATTGAGTTGACTATATTGAAAAATAATAAAAAACTGTTACTCAACTTTGTTTCTTTGATATTCAGGCCGGTAAAGTTTGGCGCTGCCCTCGTACATCGATTAGTGTTATTGTATGGCATTACCTTTGGATCTGGAAGGGTTGACAGTAGCTCCGATTGATCTATCGTTTTCTGCATGGTGTCTATGAGGGTAGATCTAACCGTATCCAACGGAAAAATCACCATGCTAAAATTATTGGTGAGCGGGATGGGTCCTTCGGCGAAAATGAGTCTATAGGAAAGCACCAAAGGGGCGGCCAATGTTATACGTTCTGGAGTGTCAAATCTGTTCTAGAACATATACGTAGTTGCGATAATACGAGAGATATTAGCAAAGTTCTGGGAATTGTGCCATAAATAAATATTCGCAAAACTTATTAGTATTTTGCAAGACAAGTTTTGCATTATTTCCTCCGTCTTAGGTATTCGGCTGATAAATCAAAATCTCACCGGGCACTAATTTGGGTGGAAACGACCGAAATAATTTAGTGTGCAGAATGCGGAAGTACTGCCCATCGGTTGATGGATCATTTTAAAACCGGAAAAACATCACTAGAACGCGAAGGCGGTGGTTTTGTTTGCCATGGAAAAACAAGAAGTTCAAAAAATTATAATAAATTTGCAAAGTCAGTTGCCCAAGAAAGAAGGATGGAGGAGCAGTAGTCAAAAATAACTGGAACTGGCGCAGACGCAGCAAACTCTAGCACATGTCAATTTTGTATTAACTTTAGGACTGTCGATAGCCATTTTGTGTGTGTGAGAATGATTTGAATTATTATGTATTAGTGTGTCCGTGTGTGAGGGTTTATGGTAAATGAAAAAATCTAATTTGTTCTGTAATTTAGTTATAGCTAAGTCCAAAAAGTTGAAAGAGTTATGTAGTTACTTATCTATGATAAATTTTATACGGTAATTTAATTAATATGAATCAAAAAGGACTGTAGTTGTCATTCCGTTCCAGTGAAACAAGCGAAAACATCATCTACGTATCTATACCACCAATGAAATCTTTTACTTAGAGGATGGTTATGTATGATACTTACTATATTGTCCATGAAAATTTCTAAGTGGATTTCCCATAATTAATCCTTCTTTAGCCATATACAATTTAACGACTAAATTCCAAATAATTATGGTCTAAACACACTATTAAAGTAAGGTGAATAGTGATGATACTGATCCTAACAGCTTCACGAGTCAGACAGCTGGGTTATTAACATGCATAAAAGAAAAGTTAACTAATCTTGATGAAAAAGTATGTAAACCTGAAAAAGATAGTATTATGTTATGTTAGGAGATGTATCTCCAATATTAGGTGATCTGAAACGGTATCCAAACAAGAACAGCTATTGACATAGATTTAAAAAAGACAAAAAAGTTTATAAAATGACCACAAGGGGCGTGGTTTCAACTCTTTTACACCGGGTCAAATTATAGCAGTTTTTCGTTTAATGGCCTTTGCTCTATATCTACACATGGTGTAAGGGTGTTCTAGCATTTTCGGAAATAACTGCTGATAACTCCAAAAATGCATAGAAACTTAGAGAAAAGTGCTTTTGCTAGGCTATCGATCTTACTATGTGCGTCTATTTTCCGAAAAACATATCGAAAATGCCTTTCGAAAAATAAAATTAGGAAGATAATCACCCTTTTGAAGAAATCGGTCAAACTTGCGGACAAGGCCGTAAGCACGACGGAGGAGAATTTTCCTCCGGGCACTCTGTTTTTAATTCTTCTCACCGTGGGCACCAATCCGGCGGTCTCTTCGCAGGACCATGTTGCAATTTTGTCGCCGGTAAGGATTCGTCCGTGTAACTCGTGCTTATCAAAATCTCTGAGGCTATGATGGTAGATCGACAATCCCAAAAATATGAAGAGGAAGTACGCGAAGTTGACAAATTTCGAGACTCCGTCTTTCTAAGAGATCTTATATATAGTGTTTTTAAGCTTTAACAAATACTTTAAAATTGTATGTGCTTGTGTGGCGAGAACTGAGAAAAACAGTATTTTTAACCTTAAACAAAGACCTGTGTTCGTGCTGCTTATTTGCAGTGTTATTTAAGAAGAAATACATTTCTTTTACCTTTTCCAGTGGGATAAGTTACATCAAAAAATAGTTAGGTATGCCTGGAACGAGATGTGCCATGCATGGGTGCAATAAAAACTATTTTGATGAAAAAGCAAGTTCTCGAAAATGTAGTTTTCATGGCTTTCCCGAAAGGAAAGATCAAGTATCCCGAACTATTCGGAACGAGTGGATAGTTCGATGTAGAAGACAGGACAAACTTAATCCAGATAAAAGCTATATCTGCTCAGTTCATTTTACTGAAAATGATTACGAAAGAGACTTACAAAATTAGTTATTAGGTTTTGTTTGTCTTGAGTAACGCATTAAATTCAGATTGAAGTATATGTACTAATATGTATTTTTATACTATGTACATACGAGGGTACTTATAAGGACATATTATTATTTACTTATTATTATAAATAGTTGTTATGTATGCCTAATATATTGTTTGTTTTTTATTATGTTCTTTAACATGTATAAAATAGGGATTTCTAGTTTATAAGTATTTGTTGATTTTTGTATATTTAAAATGCCGTAAAACACAAAGTTTTACAAGTAAATCGTTTTGTCCGCTAGTTTAATGTATTTATGTGTAACAATATTTAATTAATACATGTATTTCAAGATAATACATATCAGCCAACCTTGATTGCCATAGTATTATTTTTACCCTACCCTACGCTACTTCCCAATAATTATTAGGTAATCCTATTAGGTTTACGATTCTTGTGGATATTAAAAATTCTAGACACCTACATTCCGTTATACTTTGACACACAACAACGGGCTTTGTAGTAGGTTATATCAACGAATCATAAATTTAACAGAATCGCCAGGATCTTCAGCTAAATAAAATAACAGAATATACCATACAACTTGAATGATCTGTAATAAAGCCTATAGCCATGTACAATTTGCAATAATAAACATACGTAGATCTATTCTGTTCCATAATGTTCTGTTTCTCTCATCCTCATCCATAATAGCTATGAAACACGAACATCACCAACATTGGCATATGGTTAGTGAAAAAAAGAAGAAGAATGCAGAAAACAGCATTGAACATAACCTATAGGTATTCTGTCAGTGGCAATGCACATGGCGGTTTAACCTACGTTCGCTCCCGACGGAATCCGTTGTAATCGTCCTTCTTTGGTTCCAAAAGTAAAGTGTTTTTTCTGAGTGTTTAGTAAATGGTTTAAAGTTATAATCGTTGTCGGCTGTTTTTTCTTGTTCAGAGGCCTGATAGGCTCTGTTGGTCTGCGGGGAAAACGGGGGAGTCCGTTTTGTGCTATCGGTTAAAGATACTTTTTTATTGATGAATTGAATAATATTCACTATTGTTGTAAGTGGCCGAATCGTAACTAGTTTTTAACTATGCATTGTTAACTGATATTCGAAACTGCTAATTTGTAATTTGGAGAAACAGATTACAGATTGTTAGCCATCATTTTTACTTGGCAAGAATATCTAAGATTATTAAGATCACTTTCGCTCGGACCCATATGGGCGCTAGTCGATTAAATTCGCAGTGATATTGTCTTCTTTCTTTGTTTTGTTATTTTCATGACAAAGTTGGTGTTTTTTCTGTGCTTGGCGGATGGTGGCTGGAATTATCCAAAACCATTGTACGGTCGGTCAGAAGATACTTCTTGAAAAACATGGGTATTCGTGTCTTCGTAATAATCTCTAATTCAAGAGGGCCCAGATGTCAATAAGGAATCCGTTTGCGTTATAGAGAGAAAATTCATAAACTTCAAGGTTTGTGATAATAGGTTTTACTTTGTTATAAAGCTGTAATTATAATGTCTTTATACTTTTCTTTAACTGACGAGAGAAGATTATTACAGCTTTTTATAGAACTAGTTGTGTTGTTCATTGGGACTAACCAAATGCTCATTGTTTATTTGAGGTTTGCCCAATTTATATGGTTTAAGAGGATAATTTTCCACTTACATCTATGGAGGACACTTACATTCGGTTAGACTGAACTTTTTATTACTCTTTAATTTTTAAAAACAGACTTCAAGATTAGACAACATGCATCCTAATCATAGAATAAGGAATTTTTTTATACCTACAAGGGGCACTTGGTTCCTAAAAAAAGTTGTTTCAATCAATTTTGCTCACTAATGTAAAAAAAAAAATTGTTTTGATTATTTAAATCCTTTTAACCACTTTCGGTGAGTCGATTTACCAAATCAACAAGAAAAATTCTGTATGAATGATATGATCATTAAAAGCTGGAACAATAGCACTACTACACATCTACATGAAAGTACTGTTTTCAAATTTCACCATAAGTATTTGAATAGCTACATACATACCAATACAGTGTACCAATTAGCAGCGCTTTGTTCCGAATTGGCATATGCTTTTTTAAGGTGATCTTGTAGATAGGAACTTATACTACCATTGCTGAATATCTTAATCAGGAAGGAAACGTATGTCACTCCATCCCCGACTGCGTGACTGAATCTTAGAATAATCGGGTATAAGTATTTACCCTGGAAGGAAAGGATCATAATTTGTATCAGTTCTTGTCGGTACCAACTACAGAAACTTAAGAAATAACTAACATACACAAAATATCTGGTCATCAGGATATCAGGAAGTTTCAGTGGCACAGTCAAATGGCAACTGCAGATATCACCAGTAAGATTTACGTATCTTTTAAACGTAGGAGTGAAAACACTTCAATAAGATTGAAAGCTCCCAGTTTATCTTGTTTTTGGGGAGTTCGCGTTGCTAAAATGAAGGATTTCCAGTGGAAGCAAGGAGCTGCTTAAATTTTATAAGCAGGAACTCCAAAATTTAACAACAAAATTAAATGTATTCAAAACGTGAATGGTAGAATCTAATTTTTTCATTCTACGTGGTGTGGATTTCTTTTTCAACGCAGATCTTTTTTTTGCTATGAAGTTGACACTTTACCTTTCTTGTCAGTTTTAAACGCTGCATTAGGTGGTAACTTAAAGATAACTTTTCGGTTGCTCTTAAATAAAAGAAATTGCAGCTTGCGGTTCCACTCATTGTCTCGACTGACCTCGTTTTTTTGCGCCAGTGGTATGGGTGACACTAGCAAAGCCCACATGGCGGTGTCTTCTTTATCTAACGGACTGTTGCAAACTTCACTTGCTACCTCGTTGAGTGCACTCTCATCAAACGGTTTGTTTTCAGGAATTTTTAGTAAACTAATACCCTCTTCTGCGGTATAAGTGTTCCTTAACATGTAAGTGTAGCCCAAAAAGTGGTGACGCGTACTAGAGAGTTTAGGATAATCTGTGGTGTGAAACACCTAAAAATTAACCTTGTTTCCAAAAGAAATCCCAATGACATTCATTTTTGAGTTGCACTCACCCTTTCTTCGGCGATTTTTCGCAGTCTATCTCTCATATCCATTTTTGTATCGCTTTCTAGCACAAGTATTATCGACAGTATACTCCTCCATTCTTTTTCTTGAATCGCCCAGACCATATCAGCGCCCTCGAACATGCCACCGAACTTGTCACCGTGTCTTAAAACGAGCAACAATCTGACCAGGTGCCGATAGGCGGCGAGAACAATCAAACTGAGAACTACAATCGGTACTAGGGTCAATGCTAACAGGTACAATAATGTACTAGGGCGTTTCATTGAGGTGGTGCCACATCGTAAAATTCGAGTAAGCATTATCTGAAACAAAATTCATTTTGAGTGCTATTTCAGAACAGTGTAGGGTTATTCCTTGAATGACACTTTAATGACAGAGTATTTGGTACTTGGTATTTGTTACTCATGTGAATCAAGCAGAAAGTAATGGCTACCATTGGGAACACATGATATAAATTTAGAGACGCTGATAAATCGATTTTCATCTTTATTTGTCACACATCGATTTGAAAAGGTTTATGTTTGCTGAGACATGGACAATGCGTGCTTCTTTCTAGCTTGCAGGGTTGTTCATGCCGATGACCAATACTATCGAATCTCATCGCCATTCGGCACAGAACTCGTGGGTTTTCAACTCTCAACCCACCTAACAACTGATGAAGAGAGTTCACCATGACCTTCCAAGGAATACGATTATAACTTAATTTTAAGAATTTATGTATATTCCGGACCGTCCGGGCACTTTTCCGGGAATATAATTGACAGACCTCGTAGTTCGAAAGCAACCCCACACTTGCCACAGAATACATTGAAGAGACAGGACGAAAAACATCAACTAGGCTTAAAGAACATAGCAGATCCTCTTATTAGAACATCTTATTCAACGATACCAGTTATTCTAAAATATTAGCAATTATTCTAGCAAATAAAAATTCGAAAACAGAATATATGCAGGTACAAAGTTGAATGGAAACCAGTTTAAGTTAAGGTGATTGGCGAAACGTCAGCAAGTTCGATTCATCAACAATGACACTAGATTTTTAAATAGTATTCTGCATAATATATTTTTTGTTTGCTAATTTTTAGATTTCTTTTTATGTAAAAACGTTAGTACTAATATTAAAATAAAAAGATATGCCAATTTTGATATTTAAAATCACCCCTAAAAATGTTGTTCTTTTTAATAATGTTATTTATTGTCTTTGTTTTTATATACTTACTTTATGCTACAAAACTGGTATTACAAGCTTACTCTTTTACGTTACGTTTTTATAAAAAGAGGTTAGTAATTTGTAGCTAATGTTATAGTCTATAAGTATACCGGGACAACCATAAATTATCTACACCACTGTATTCTACGAAAAAATTAAAAAAGAAGTTATTTTACACCTTCGTTTAATAGGAATGGGGTCCCAAAACATTTTAAAAATGCCCTTGTATCTTAAAGACTGAAGGAGTAATGAAAATATGAATGAAAAAAATATGGTATTTTTAATTTTACGAAAGAACATCACTATCTCTCAAAATAACGGAGATACAAATGTACATAATACGTGAATTTTATTCAGTTAAAGCAAGCTTCTTTCTTGCATACCATTTAGTCATAGACAAAGTCCATAAACTTACGCTGTCAATCGCAATCAGTTGCTAAAAGTATGCAACCTCCTAAAAAAAAAGAGTAAACCAGAAATAAAATTTCAATGGGAGAAGGGTGATTTGAATAGTGCAAATGTCTCTTGGAGTGGTACTCTCGTACTACCGTTAACATTATCTATAGATAGTCATCCTGTCGATTTTTTTCAACTTTTTATGAGTCCGTCACTTGTCGAAGAACTCGTAAAATATACGGTAAGGTATGCCACTCAAAAAAATGTTCCTGGATTTGAGCTTTACGTTCCTCTACCTCGCCGAAGAATGTTTTGGGAAGATGCAGAAGATGTGCATAATTCACTGGTAGCTCAGTCAATGAGACGCAATCGGTTTAAGGAAATATGCAGATTCTTTCATGCTGCTGATAACAACGCCTTACCTCAAGGGGACAAAATGGCAAAGTTACGGACAATTATTGACACTTTAAACAAAAAATTTATACGATATGCACCCTTGCAGTCAAATATTTCAATAGAAGAGTCGATGGTTCCTTACTATGGAAAACATGCCTGCAGGCACTTTATACGCAGCAAGACGATTCGATTCGGATACAAAGCTTGGGTTATAAGTACCAAACCAGGTTATTGCTTGCAGTTCAAAATTTACGAAGGACGAAAAAACAAAAAAATCGCCAATGAAAGTTAATGTCTTGGGAATCTGTTGTACTAAACTTTGCTGAGGTTCTGCAAAGAGAATATTCTAGTTTGCGCTTTTCAGTATACTTTGACAATTTCTTTACCTCTGCTAAACTGATATACAAACTTACTCAGATAAATTTTGGGGCAACAGGGACAGTGTGAGAAAATAGAACTGTGAAATGTGAATTAAATGACTCAAAGATAATGAAAAATGAAAAAAGGGCAATTATGGACAGTGCGGTGGATAAGGACAAAGGTATCGTAGGAATAAAATGGAAGGACAACAGTGTTGTCAGTGTTTTGGCAAATGACTTGAGCCTTTACAGAAATATAAAAGGTTTTCGATTCAAGAAAAAATGAAATTTTATGGAGGGTGTGGATCAAATGGATAATAATATATCCAACTACCGAATTGCCATGAAGGGCAAAAAGTGGTATACCCCCTAATCACCCTAATCACAAGATAATCTTTATTTTCGAAGAGAAATTTCCCAGTATCTTTTAAAAAAATACTGAGCAAAACCGAAAATGCCTGGGCCAAAGATATCTTCTATATATTGTACCACTTCGGAAAGCCACTTGATAGTTTGTCAGCAGCCAATTATAAGTAAAAACAACAACTCAAAATCGTATGAAACTTTTTAATGTTTCTGTTTAAAATAACAAAAAATGAAAAATATATAATTAAGTCTTGTTTTTTATTCTATAAGACCCATTATCAAAATCAAAAACATTTCTTTTCAAATACATTTCTAAAAAAATTTTTGTCATTAATTCAAAACAATGAATAAATGTTAAAAAAAAAGGTCATATTTCTGGGCATTGATGGGTTAAGTGGACTTGCATATATTCGTTTTGGTTTGTTTTGACTAGACTAATTTAGGCGACAGAGGAATGTTTTGAAACACCTGCTCTAATATATTTTATAAAATACAATTACCTTTATTTTACACAGCACGTTTACACGCGAATTGTTCAGCTACGGTGTAACTCTGCGCTCGAGTCCGCGGAAACATCGTTTTCTAAGATTCCGCATTGCGTGTTGCCTAAATACTGCTAACGCAGCAATCAACTGATCATAAACAAATCAAAACAGCTCAATTAAGTTTTATGCTTTTCGGTGTAAACGGTTCCGGGAAATTAACTAGGGCTAATTAAAGCGGAGATAATTATTTTAAGTAATCTCCACTATTAAGTTATGGCGTACAACTTTTATAGTATTAAAATCTGGAAAAAACATTTTTTTGATGGTCATTTGTGACCACAATGTATAATATACTTTCGAATGTTGTGACTTCATATAAGGTTGACTATTTCAAAAATTTGAGACATACAGATTATAAAATTGTCGGCTTCTATGAACTGCAATTAGTTGGTTGTTACCACTATGGCTATAAATTAACAATAACAATAATAAGACAGGTATTACAGAAAAGTCGTTATAAAAAAATTGCAAAAAAGGCGGTGGCAGAGAGGACAATTTTAATACAGGCCAGTTTCGACAAAATCGAGCAAAATATATTTTTTCTCTATTTTATTTCGAACCCTTTACTTTTTGAAACACACTGTACATCATTCTAGACGACACGAAACTTGATCTGGTTTTCATAAGGTTTGTAAATAAATAAATCGAATTTGACTTTCGCTGTTCAAATGTATTTGATTAACTACTTATGAATTAATACAATTAAATTGACAATTAAATACACTACCACTAAACGTTTCATTAAGGCAATGCCATACTTCCTCGATTTACTTTTCAAAGTCAAGGTGGAAAATCAAAATTGCAATTAGATCCTCTCTGACAACATCTGATGCTAAGAAACGGTAGGACAAGTATTATGGGATTGCACTTCATAATTAATTAAAAATCCGTATTTTTCTGCGGTGATAGGTCCGTCCAAGTCTATGGCCTTGACGAATATTTCTAGGGGTCCTGGAGCCACATCTACAAAAGAAATTTGCGTATTGGAGACGTTACGTCACATTGTATCCAAATTACAAGATTTTTAAAAAGTTTCACCTTTCGGACACACGAGGTCCCCTGTATATTGTAGCATTTATGGATCTTCGATCAAAATTGTTGTAATATAATTATTATAAAAAAACTTTTCTTTGTTCCGAAACAAAAGCACATTGCAATTGACCTAGACACTCAAAAACCTGTTTACACTACATTTCAATTTTAATGCTAGCTAAAATTAGATAATCGAAAACAACAATTTCTTTGGAAAGAAATTGTTGGAACATCAGTTTACTAAATTTGTTGTACCAAACTGTCACTGTAAGATTGTTGTAGAAAACGCTATATAGTTTTACTTCTAATAAGTGAACAAAAACAACAACAAAACAATTTTGAAATTCATTTAGACATAAATTTAATTCCTGTCAAAATAAAAAACACCAAATATTTAGTCTAAGGCAATAGATAATGATGAATTAAATATTACCGTAATACAGTTTTGCTGTCCTTTTAATACACATGTTATAAAGTAATGAATATTGAACTGTAAAACTGTAACTATCACAACATGAAAGTAATTAACAGTAATGCACTGTTTATTGTCTATCGTACGTACCATAAAAGAAATCGCCCTCACTACCCAAACATATTTGAGAGTTGGTGGTCGTCACAGTAGTCGAATAAGCATCTGGCACAAACAAATACTGCGAACAGGCAGCCACGGTTGTTCCAGATGCCTTCGGCCCGAGTTGAAGGTACTTGATGTTGAATCTGAGAATTAAATAAATATATGTTCGTGAGTTCCGCTTAAAAATCAAAACATGAGCACTTAAATTTTTCTGTTCAGTCGAGAAAACTTTAATATTTTGTGCAAGTTTTTCATCTAAGTAAAATATTTTACCAATATTTTTTTAAGGTATATGAGGATTATAAAAAACGGTGATAGATACGTTAGTCACTATCCCATCGTTAAACCGTCTTAAAACGTATTATATTTTATGGGCATTTTGAACATTTTGAAGAACGTCTAAAAAAATTGAGGTGGATCAATACTGAGGACACCCTTTTTTATGTATAATTATCATATTGTACAAACACTAACTTTAATAAATAAAATGAACTCTGAGGTGGATAATAAAAACATTCATACGTCACTATAATCGTAATTCTTCCATCGATTACTTAAGGTTCTATCAAATGGCCGTTAATTGTGATTTGTTCGTTTGTGCCACTCAAAAAACCCATTAATCGGTAATTTACCCTCAATTATCATTAAACATTGATGCCAGTGCTACGTTCACTTAATTGCGAATAAAAAATTAATTGCAGCTTTGTGCTGCGGTCGTGTAAATATCCACTAGTGATTTTTTCATTTCGGGTACAGGGTGTCAAATTTTGGTTAGTTTTGGTTTGGAAGAACTTCATACTTAAGTATATACAGTGAACTCCTGTTATAAAATACTCTCTAGGGAGCAAAAAGGAGTACTACATAAGAGTATGCTATAAATAAAAACACATAGAAAACTAAAAAACACTAATACAGGTACTAAAAAAACAAAAAAAAAATTATACTACCTAAACTAAAAACTTATCTGTCTATATAAACTTTACAACGTACAAGTAAAAATACATATTTTATTCTTTTTGAGTAAAAAAATTCGTTATTTTTGTTTGTTTATTTTTTCTCAATTCAAATTTCATATTTTCGATGTGCTTCTCATCCTTCCAGGGCGCTTACATACATATTTGGTACTTCGTCCTGTTGAACATTATCGTCGCTTTCGTTACCAGACCTATAAGGATCATTTGGCTGTAAAACTTCTGCAATAATATCCCTTAATAACTCCGGTGTTATTAAATTATCATCAACAGCTCAAGAAGATACATTTCAATCTTGGTTAGATCCTGGCCGCTATTGCCCAACCAATTACTTAGGGGAACCTCCCGGTCACCACCTGAACCAAAGATCAGTCATCGTCTGAATCAAACTCATCTTCCGATTTTATCACACCTGCATGTCGAAAGCCGTTTAAAATAGTGGTTGAAGTAACGTCATTCCAACATTGTGCAAGTAATTTTCAAATGACTGGATCGAACGATACAAAAAATATCTGCGGCAATATGTCTTAAGGCATTTTTTTTGGATGATCTCCACAATTGTCAACCAGAAACAATATTTTTCTATTCTGACGTTTTAGTTTTTGTATCCAAATACTTTAAATAATCATGACTTATAAATGACAGGTAGATTTTTCACATTTTTCGTGAATCTCGATCCTTTATATTTACCAATAACAAGAAGTTTGCAAATTTCGCTTCTTGTTATATTTGCACAAACCCAAAAGGTGTACTTCAACTTCGACCGCTTTCGAGAAAGGCTGTGATAGAAATGTGGTGCACGGAGAGCGTTTACATCTCAAGTTTAATGTGGGTTCGTCTTCTTATGGCGCGTTGGTGTCTATTTCAAATTGTTGCATATTTTCTAACTATATACTCAGTATTATGTGTTTAAAGCTAAAAACTAGCAAGTGGTCCCCACTGTATCTCACTCATTTTATTGCAATTGTTTTTCTTTTAATCAAGTGTTGGTAGTACCCACCGGTATATAATATATAATATAAAAATACAATTAGGTAAGAAATAATAATAAATAAACAATAATTTCATTGCACCAGTTTTCCTATGCTGAAATTAGGCGGAACTTTAAGAAATTGTTTATTTTGTTATCCAACGCTTGAGATGTACATTATTTCCTGTATCCTGGGGTTCGTCGTCTTACTGGATATTCTTGCTTATTAGGAAGGCTAGTCACTCAAATGCTAATATATATTGTATGTAAAATAAGTTATGTTGAGTCTTCTTTTTATTAAGAAGTAAGTAAAAACGCTAGCAAAGCGTCATTAAAAATACATCTAAAATTTAAATCGCTTACCTGATACCACAGACGTATTCCGATCTTTTAAATGCTATCCCGTAATATTCTCCGAAAGGATAACTCTGCTGAATGCTGTCGTCTAAAGTTTCATCGTATCCGAAGGACTTGATAACTCCAGTTCGCTCCGTGAAATATTGAATAGCTCCGGGTGGAGCTAGAATTAAGGAGAAATCAATGTTTTCACTTTCCGTTTCTGTTCTACTTTTAAGTTAAGGTGTTAATTAATTATTGATTAATGATATTACGAACACGATAATATATAAAAATATAATGTGAAGTAAATTAGAATTTTATTGATTTTCTCAGATTAAGGAATGAAAAATACAACTTTTATGTCAATTCACTTTTCGTTCTTTCTCGCCTCATTTTTGTAGAAAAAATAAAAATTTTCTAACAAAAATTAATTTGCTCGTGTTTTTTAGAGTCCCGAGCTTAATGCTTTTTTAATATATATCTAGCATTAAAAAAAATAAAAAGAAAAAAAAGTGCTTCTAATGGCCACACATAACCTAGAGAACTGAAAAAAAAAATCAACAAAAATGAAGTAAGATACATAGAAAAGGCAGGAGGCTTAAAAGATTTATTTTTGGATACTGTATCGAATCAATAACATCGCCATGTTTTATTATTTAAGAAAAAACACTTCACCTTTTTCATTTAAATAATATTTGTTTGCCGTTGCCTAATTTTACAACATTCAAATTTTTAACAATATCGGCAACGTAATAGAAATATTAATGCAAAACCCGAAACTTTTTCTACCTTAAATTGTTTCAGGTACAAGCAATGAAAATTAGTACAAGCCTTTAAGTAGATAAAAAATGTATAGTATCATCCTTCAATGTACAGTTTCATAAAAAACTGATACTGCTTGAAAGTTCCATTACTTAAAATAAAATATATTTTGTATTACGTTTGCGGTTAATCAGCCTTTGCTCATTATTTGAACATGAAATTATTATAAGGAACATCCTCCATGGTAAATCTGTGAAGAAATCTTGCAAAAAATGTACATTATGTAAGTATTGGAGGTCGATCCCTTTCAGCAGGGGCCCAGCATTTTAACATAAACAAGACAAGAAGAAACACTTGAAAGGAATTTAATATTCCCTGCAATCTTCATCCGCATCAATCACAGCTTGAAGTCTTCGTCTCATGGTTATGAAAGGAGTTATGAAGTTTTCTTCTAGCCTCCCCCTACTTCCTGAATACCTTGCCTCGCTATTTTGAGGACTAAAATGTCTTCGATACAGCCGTTTTGGAGACATTGTGTAAATACGTTTCAGTGTGGACAGGACAGTTGTCTTGTTAGAACATATACATACATACATCAAAATGCTGAGCTCAGGCTGATGAGGACCACCATGAGAGTCGTATCAGTTTATTATGACACCAGCCGTACAATTCACCTAACAATGGAAAGTCGGTAGCTATCTCATTGCTATCCTTATATTTCGATAAATCGAAATGTGATTTTTTCCTCGGGCATTCTAACTGCGTCACTTTAATTTTCCAACTGGGTGCGAGTAGGGAGGTTGATTCTCGACTCGCCAGACTAAATTCCAAAACGACCCCATTCACTTGTTCGTCCATTTCGCTCAAGTGGACATACACTACAATGGAACTTTTGTTTGCGAGGTGTACATTTTTTAATACTAAGATAATTTTGTTGTTACCGTGCTGGTCATTGTTTCTACCGCATATTGGCGGAATTCCGTAGTTATTCGGGGAAATACTCAAGATGTCATCCTCGCATCGATATGTTTCGGTGTTCACAGTTGTCGATAAAACTGTCCGTTTCGCTGGTGCAAGAATTAGCTTCTCAAAGTCGATTCTAAAATATTTAATTACTAATAGTACGGTATAGTACGCATACGTAGTACTCATGTGAATAATCAGAAGATAAAATATGAAATAAATAAATTAACTAATAAAATCAAAAATAAAATAACCATTAATATTAATATACAAAATTCGAGTCGTTGCAAATTATATGAATGAGGAAACTTTAAAAATTATGTACTTTGCAAACTTTCAGTCACGCATGAGGTATGGAATTATCTTTTGGGGGGGTAATGAAAATTTTCGTGGTTCAAAAGAGGACTCTTCGCACTGTCAAAAAATGCAATTTAGAGAGAGCTGTGGGAGGGGTGAAGATGTTTTTACTGTATATGCTTTATATGTTTATGAAGCATTGATATTCTTTTTTAAAAATTGAAAGGACTTCGAACTACAGATATTTCATAGATATAATACCAGAACCCTAAATGTAAATTACCCTATTCACCGTTTAACCTTAACTGAAAGGAGTTCTTATTGCATTTGCCTGAGATTGTATAATAAATTACCAAATGAGGTAAAAACAATTGCAATAAATCTAAAAATCTTTAAATACACAATAAAAAAGTTATTGATAGGGTTAGAACCTTACTCCATAGAAGATTTTTTCTGTAAAATTTAAATAATTGTAAATACGATGTGATTGAAATTTGTAACAATATCTGGTGCTTTTCCTTGTTTGACGCCGTTTTCCTTTGTGTTTGGTATATTATTTTTAGGTAATATATTTTTGGCACAATGTGAAATAAAGTTAATTAACATTATTATTATTATAAGAATATATTATTTTAGGTAGAATAGTTCATAAAACTCTGTGTCCCAAAATGTCTGTAGTAATTATAGTTAAACCCAATGGCGTTTCGACGGGCACGCTCACTAAAAAAATGCTGATATATTCCTTGGATTAAGCAAGTGAAAAGCAGATATAAAGTAAAGGCAACAGACATAGAAGTTACATTTTTAGTTGGTCAATACGAACAATATGCTACTACAGAATTATGAAAAACCTATTAAACAGACAAGTCGCCGATGAAAAAAAGGCTTTCTTCTCAAACTTAGTAAGTCTTTCTAACAACAAAAGTAAAAAAATGTGGGAACTCGTCAACGAGAAGCTGAGTAAGGAAAAAACTCAACGCCGTATACGAATAAATGTTAATAATGTCAATGTAATTAATGATAACATAATAGCAAATGAATTCGGATAATTTTTTGCCACTCACGTGCAGTCGAAGACCGATACTATGTTCACTAAAGATGAAACTGGCACTCTTCCAACCACCAAGGCAAAGAGTATGTTTTTCATGCCATACACCGATAGAGAGGTACTAACCTTAATTCAATCACTCAAAAACAAGCGATCTGTTGGAATCGATGAAATACCTATACAACTCCATATTTAACCACTTCCGTTCTCTGCGGGCAGTTCCTTGCGGCATTGAAAAAATCAAAAATGATTCCTGTATTCAAAAAGGGAGACTCTGAGCTAATAGAGAATTATAGGCCTATAACAACCGCACGTTGGTTCTCTAAAGTACTCGAAAAGCCCATGTAAGACAGAATGACAAATTTTTTGGAGCAAGAAAACATTATATCGAATGTGAAACATGGTTTCCGTGTTGGTTACTCGACGGAAACGGGGACTGATGACCTTGTCCAGTATATCGACGACAAACTCGACATGGGTGAGACAGTTGTGGGAGTGTTTTTTGATCTATCGCGCGTCTTCGATTCCTTAGGTTTGAATATCATGGCAAAAAACTAGAATGCCTGAGGTTTCGAGGTAATATCAATAGTTGGATAATATCATATATGAAACACAGGGAAATAAGGGTCAAAGTGAATGGAATATACAAATTTTTGCATTCCTAATATTTTTTTATGCATTTGTAAGGTATTTTAAAAATATGAATTACTGTACTTTGCCTGGAAAGAAATAAAAACAGAAACCCAGATTTATTTGGCAGATCTGCGCACTCAGAAAACTCATCAAAATAGGAAAATTGTAGTTAGTAATAGTAGTATTCTTAGGAACGAGAATAATATTCTAACCGAGTTGACAGCCCTATTGATACTCTAGTAAATATATAAGGTTGTTCGGAAAGTCATTTCGTTTTTTCCCGTCAGAGGACTTAATTACGTTTTTTCGAAACCAACTTCACACTTAAGCCGCATAACCATTATGTCTTGAGAGCTGATATTGCAAGACTTGTGTGTGAAAAAGTTCTATTAATTTGGTGGTTGGTGCCCTTTTAAATATGGAGAGCAATAAGCAGCATTTTCGTCATATTTTACTTTTTTACTTCAGAAAAGGTAAAAATCCTGTCCAAGCGAGAAAAAAATTGACCGATGTGTATGGAGAAGGCGTGTTAACAGTACGCCAGTGCCAGAACTGGTTTGCAAAATTTCGATCCGACAATTTTGATGTCGAAGATGCACCACGGTCTGGAATGCCGGTCGAAGCTGACAAAGATGCGATAAAGGCATTAGTTGATGCAAATCGGCGAATAACCACACGAGAGATCGGTGAGAGATTAAATTTGTCGAATTCGACTGTTTATGGCCATTTGAAAGGCATGGGCTTAACCTCGAAGCTCGATGTGTGGGTGCCCCATGTCCTTACGGAGCGAAATTTGTGTCGTCGCGTTGACGTGTGTGATTCGCTCCTCAAACGTCAAGAAAATGATCCATTTTAGAAGCGGATTATTACTGGGGACGAAAAATGGGTTGTATACAACAATGTTAAACGCAAGAGGTCGTAGAGCAGAAAAGATGAACCGGCTCAAAGTGTGTCAAAAGCCAACATTCACCAAAAAAAGGTGATGCTCTCCGTTTGGTGGGATGTCAAAGGAATCGTTTTTTTTGAGTTTTTGCCGGACAATATAACGATTAATTCAGAAGTCTATTGTCATCAACTGGACAAATTGAATGATTCACTTAAAGAGAAGAGGCCCGAATTAATCAACAGGAAGGGTGTAGTGTTCCACCAGGATAATGCGAGACCTCACACAAGTTTGGTCACTCGCCAAAAACTTTTACAACTTGAGTGGGACGTACTGCAACATCCACCATATTCTCCAGATCTGGCGCCTTCGGACTACTATTTGTTCCGGTCCCTGCAAAATTTTTTTTTTACCTCAAATGAAGATGTCAAAAACCACCTGAACCAGTTTTTTGCCAGCAAGGACCAAAACTTTTATGAGAGGGGAATTATGTTACTGCTAGAAAGATGGCAAAAGGTGTTGGACCAGAATGGCCAATATATAATTTAATAAAATATTTATTCATTATATGAAAACTGTCTTTCATGTTCCCCAAAAAAAAACGAAATGACTTTCCGAACAACCCAATATAATATACGATACAAATGTAAATAGGTCATATACTTCTTTTACTCACTGTAATGGAGTAGAATTTTTATTAAATGAAACTCAGCTTAAGAACAACATTTAAAAAATGTTCCTTTTTGCAAAAAATATACCAAAAAAGAAAGATAAGAATACCTGCAGTGGCATGGTGGATAAGTTAGAAGCAATACCATAAAGATTATGAGAAAGTTAAGGCAGAAAGAACATTAAAGAGAGAAATGAAGCAGAAAAAAATTGCAGTACGGTATTAGAAGAGCAAAAGGACCTTCAGAAAGTCTAAGCGAACTTCGGATAACACAAGTGTCTGGAAATGACCTTCAAAGGAGGACCAGCATTTATGGTAAGATGTACGAACTTGTTATAACTAACGACCGAGGGATACCTGAGCCTTGTAATTTTGTTACTTTCAAAATGTTTAAAAAAAACCATTTGCAACAAGAAAATTGTAATTTCAAAAAATACTGTATTTATTTTTATATACTTCTTAACCCATATTTCCTAAAAATCGTAAATGACATTGCTAAAACACAATTTTATTCTTTATAATGTCAGCTAATGACTGCGTTAACTTTGAATGTATCAAGAAGAAGAAGCCAGTTATTTTACACGAGTTGATACTTTCACATGCAACACTTCTGCAATATAAAGTTACAATACTAACCAAAACTAAAATTGAAACGGTTTAATCTTACCTCACTTGACATACATTTTTATTATGTAACTTGACAGTGTACTTGCAATGAGTGGTGTCGGAAGTTATTTCTGAGGACTCAAAATATGACACTTTGTCCTGGGTGGACTTTACGCAGCTCCTTTGATCTAGAAATTGACACAAGAATATTAACCGAAATTAATTTTAAATTTTTTGGTCATTGGGAGAAATAGATGAACGACAATAGGTCATTAATAAGTAGTAAGACAAACGAAAGCCAATAAGTAATAATAAAAAAGAAAGAGCATTGACTTTTGGCCGTCTTTATTGATATATTTGGGAAATAGTTTTTATAATAAAATCGAATTCAATTATATATTAACCGACATTATTTTTTATTTTTTGGTAATTGTGAGTAATAGATGAACGACAATATGTCATTTATAAGTTGTAATAAAAAAAGAAACCGCATTTTAAGTCCAATTGACTTTTGGCCGTGTTTATTGATTTTTTTGGGAAATAGTTTTTATAAGAAAATCGAATTCAATTGAATATTAACCGAAATTATTCTTTAATTTGTTGGTAATTGTAAGAGATACGTAAACGAGAATAAGTCCTTAATGAGTAATGATAAAAATAAAAAGAGTATTTTAAGTCCGACTTCAAGTGAAAATATTCCTGTTAAAAGCTGTACAGGATTATGTTATACTTACGGCTGCAGCAGGACGATAGCATTCCACAGTATCCAATAATTGATCCCCCGGAGAGCAAGCATTTCGTCTTTCCTATGCACACCCCCTTCTTGTTGGTGCCAATCTGACATTCAGTTACTTTATTAAATTGATTTGCGACAGCTGTAATGGTAAAAATTGATTTTTTTTTTAAATTTTGGCGTGCATCCACCAGACTATCAAGAATCCTCGAAAACGTTATTTTAAATGGACAGAGAAAGCCACAGAATAAACAAAATTGACTCTTTTTAATAGCAGACAATCCCCCGCAGACCCGCTTCACCTCAAAAGATTGAGTTAATATAAGAATATGATATCAAATCTACAAAAATTTTTCCTCAAAAAAAGTAAATTATAGAGAAAATATTCAAAAAAATATAAAAAAAGAGATTTTTTTATAAATATAAATATGAATTGTTAAAAATATAAATATAAATATAATAATATAATATAATAGTAAAAAATAAATTGTTAAAAGAAAAATATGACATATAATTAAAAAATATGTTAATTTAATTTATTATTTAATTTAAAAAGGCATTAACATATGGGTGTTTTATTTAATTTATTTATTTAATTTATTTAATTTTATTTAATGATATTTATCCTCAGTGCCGAAAACAATTTTTTCATTCCAATCGATAACGAGAATACTGTTTCTCGCATATTTTATTGCGCACCATTGAATGTAATGTGACTATTTAGTTGCTTATTTACTTATTGCTGACTTATTATACTCATTACTTATTAATTTTTACGCATTTCTAATCAGCTTGTTTTCAGCTTTACAAAAATATATAGCCCTATATAAAGTGAGACGGAAAAAGGATATGGGCACTTTTTTAAATTTTTCTTTTACTGTTTTTTTTTTCATTTTTTTCCATTTCCATTTTCCATGAACCATCAAGCTAAAGTAAAACGGAAAAACGGGAAGCGCATTTTTTAATTTTAAATGAAAAATAAATACGAATCTAATCTAAATCGTAAGAATTTTCAAATGGTCAAGACGCCGTTGTTGCCAAATTAAATCAAAACGTACGAGGTCAGAGCAACAATTTATAGGACCCTACCTATATTTATTCATTTTTAATCAGCTTTTAAAATAAAACGGTTAAGCGCATTTTTTAAGATTAAATGAAAAATAAATATCTTAATCTTAAGAATTTCAAACTGATTAAGACGCCATTGTTGCCAAATTGAATTAAATAAATTATTAAATTTCCGGACTAAGCGTACGAGGTCAGGTCAATAAGTTACGGGACCTTTCTTATATTTACTCATTTTTAATCAGCTTGTTTTCGAATTTCAAAAATATGTAATTCAATCTAAAAAAAGTCTGCAATTTAAATTTTCCATGAACCATCAAGCTAAAGTAAAACGGAAAAACGAGAAGCGCATTTTTTAATTTTAAATGAAAAATAAATACGAATCTAATCTAAATCGTAAGAATTTTCAAATGGTCAAGACGCCGTTTTGCCAAATTAAATCAAAGCGTACGAGGTCAGATCAACAATTTATAGGACCCTACCTATATTTACTCAATTTTAATCAGCTTTTAAAAAATATACAGCTCTGTCTAAGACAGCAATTAAAATTTTCAAAAAAACTATCAAACTAAAGTAAAACGGTTATGCGCATTTTTTAATATTAAATTAAAAATAAATATCTTAATCTTAAGAATTTCGAAATTCTTAAGACGCCATTGTTGCCAAATTAAATTAACTAATTAATTACATTTCCGGACTAAGCGTACGAGGCCAGGTCAACAAATTATGGTACTCTACTTATATTTTCTCAAAAACATATAATAAGAATTTCTAAATTTTTAAGACGCTGTCGTTGCGAAATTTGGCGAATACGCGAAAACCACTCACGTCTGATGTTCCACAGCAAACCCATAGGATCTTCAACATCGGTGAGGTCAAAAAACCCGCATTCCGAAAAGCTCACGATCGTCAAACATACCGCGAGAACTTTGTACATCTTGGCGCGTTTGGTCAACACCTACTAAATTTCAAGTGCCTTGACAGCACCTTTTATTAAAGATTTTTCATACACGGCCCGTAGATATGTTGATATAACTGAACCTCCGGTTTCCTGCTTTTAGGCAAATTAGGCCGTGGCTCTAACAAACAGCGCTTAATGCTTCGGTCAACATTCGTTTTCGGGGCTACGAAATGTTTGATTTAAGGTTGTTCGCCCTGGACCTCCGGACGTTTCAGTCTTTTACTTAAAGCTCGAATTTTATAAGGTTTACTTGACTGAGTTAAAACAACGAACTGAGTAAATCGGAATCCTCACTGCCCATATCGATGAAATGCATTAAGACATTTATAAAAGGTATTTCTTAAGTGTAGGACAATACTATCAAAATCTATTTCTTTGAGATTTAAGCACACTTAATTCTCAAATAAATTGGCATTTCACACGCAGCCCTGATTTAGTAAAAGTGACAAAATAAAAGTGTTTCAAAAATCTGTCACTAGAGGGCCACCTAGAACATTTTTTTCCCTGTATTTTATTTATTTAAACTGATATTGCCATAAGCAGAATCACAAATCATCAAAAACTGTTACTCTTGTTTTAGGTCGATAGGTGTTATCTTTTAGCCACAATTTATTTTTTATTTTCTGCCCTTCTAATTTACAGAAAGGTAATACTGTATATCGCGATATGCATTCCAGTTACGGAAAAACAAGTGCACTGCACTATATTTTTCAAAACAGTATGCTACAAATTTCACAGCAGGTTTAAATTAAGTAACATTTCACATTTTCCAAGATAAAAATTATTAATAATAATCGAGAATTAAATAGTATACAACGCTAATTACAATTCATTTTCAAAATGCCCACCGTTAATTTGTAAACATTTATTATCCATTTGAAAAATTGTCGTCAAACATGAAAAAATATGCCTAACCAATTTTTTATGATTTCACAACGGTTAATTTTTTTTTCGCAGATCACTGATGTCTGTTATAGGTGTTTCACGCACTAAAAACTTTAAATGCTCCCAAAAAAAGAAGTCCATGGGATTAAGGTCCGGCGAGCGAGGCGGCCAAGTTAAAGGCCCTCACCGACCTATCCATCGATGTTGAAATGATCAGATGATGATCAGTGTAGAAATTTATCTGTCTCTTCTCATAAAGACTACATAAAAAGTCCTTTTGGCGATATGCGAACTCAAAGAAAAAAAACCTTGAGTGTCCACAATGCATGTCGCTTGATGATGAAAGTACCAGCGACACTCAGAGAATAGCGGATATGTTTAACCAACATTGCACGTCAATCTATTCGGAATATGCAAAATGCAATACATCATTTTCTTGTGATAAATCGGTTAGTCTGGGATTTTTAAAATTAAATGTTGTGGATGCTTTCAATAGAATAAGTATTTTAAAGCAAATCTTAGGGCCGGGACCCGACGGTATACCTTTGATACTGGTGCAGAATTGTAAATTCGTTCTATCCGAAATTTTATGTAAAATTTTTAATGCTGCGGCGTTTTTCCTTCATATTGGAAAAAATCTTGTGTTACACCCATTTTCAAAGATGGTGGCAGGGCTAAAATCTGCTTGTTTTCGAAAATATTTGAGGGTATAGTTGCCGATTACGTCACCCCTCATTTTAAAAGCTTTATTATAACCGAACAGCATGGTTTTGTCAAGGGAAGGTCAACTGTTTCGAACCTCGAACCTGACTTCTCCAAGGCCTTCGACAGGGTTGATCATGGCATTCTGGTAAGGAAGCTCTCAATTGGGAATTGGTTTCGCAGTAATAAAACCGGAAGCAATCAGTTAAACTTAAAAATTACATTTCGTTAGAGACTGTTGTGACGTCGGGTGTACCACAAGAGGGACAGCTTTCCACATTCCTTTTTAATGTCTTCATTAATGACCTAAAAAACATTTTTCGCTTTTGCCAATTTCTTGCGCTTGCGGATGATCTAAAGCTTTTTAAGGTTATAGCATCACCTCTTGACTGTCATCGATTACAGGAGGATCTTGATGGGTTTTCTTTGTGGTACAGACAGAACAATTTAACTCTTAATACAAACAAGTGCAAAATTGTAAGCTTTGGCAGATTCAAAAATCCAGTAACTTTTACCTATCAGGATATAAACTACGAGGAGATTATGAAGCTTTTGAATCTGACATTTTTGGAGAGTAGGCGCATATTTTTTGACATCGCTACATTATACAAAATCCTTAATAATATGATGGATTCACCAGATCTTCTGGCATCTGTTGGTTTTCATATTTCTCCTGTTAATGCAAGAAATAGGGCTCTTTTTAATATTGATTTTCATAGGACCAACTATGGCATTAACTCGCCTATCAATCAAATGTGCAAACTCTTGACTGGAACCTTCGGCGCTGCACTAACACACAATAACGCGTTTTACCACAAGCCGAAACTCAATTTTATGTACTCGACTCGCGTTTCGCCAACCAAGTTGCCATCTTCAGGAGAAAATTAAAACTAAACTTAATGGAACAAATGCTCACGGGAAGTGGAAGTGAACTTTTCATGCATCACTTTGAACATAATGCTAAAGAAAATTCCGCGTACTTTCCTAGGATATGGTATAGATACGTCGACGATGTTTTCGCACTTGCACGGATTTAAATGACTTTATTTCAAACTTTAATAATTACTTCCCATCTATTAAATTCACATACGAAATAGAAAGTAACATGCAGTTGCCTTTTTTTGACGTTCTCGTTATCAAAAACAGTGAAAATCATATAGTTTTTGACATTTTTAGGAAAGATACTAGTACTTTAAGATACATAACCAATGAATCTAACCATGCTTTTCAACATAAAATGGCAAGTTTTAATTTTCTGGCCTTTAGACTTGTCACATTTCCTTTAAATCAGGGGAAAAGAAGCCTTATAAAAAAGATGGCTAGAATCAATGGCTATGAAGATAGTTTTATCGATAAGTTAATTAGGAAATTTAGATTTAAAAACAAACTTCAAAAATCAACGACTTTTCAAGCTGATAAGGAAAATTTAAAAGTAGTCTCAATTCTTTTCTCTCCCCAATATACAAGTGGACTTGACAGATTCTTCAGGGCCGCAGGTCTTCGAAGTGTCTATCAGTCCGGATCAAAATGAAAAAATCTCTTCGGTAATTGAAAAGTCGGGAATTTATGAAATATGTCGTAACGATTGTGACAAGTCATATGTAGGGCAAACCAAAAGATCAATCAATGTTAGATTCAAGGAACACTTGGCTCATTTAAAATTTGCTAGATTAGAAAAATCAAGTGTAGCCGAACATAGGTTCAACAATAATCATAAGGTAGATATTAGCAACTTAAAATTAGTTGAACATGTAAATAATAGTAGAAAATTAGATGCCTACGAAATCTTAGAAATTGTTAAGAGGGGGAATAAGACACTGAACAAGGATAGAGGTCCAATCCCATTTAGCCCATTATATGCGCTGATTGGTTGCGTGAACAGTGCGTAATTCCCCCTCCCACTTTCCGATGTGTATATATATAGAGAGAGAGCATTTGTTCTATTAAGTTTAGTTTTAATCTTCTCCTGAAGATGCCAACTTGGTTGGCGAAACGCGGGTCGAGTACGCAAAATTGAGTTTCGGGTTGTGGTAAAACGCGTTATTGTGTGTTAGAACAAAAATTAATGTTTTGTGGTCATTTTTCGGTATATATAGTAGAAGGTAGTTCGTAAATCTTATGTTTGATAAAGACACGTTGTTGTCAAAACAATTGTCACGTCAAAATATATAATTTCGTGAAAATCTGAACTTTTAGTTCTTATTTATGTTGATAAATGGATTTTCATCATGTAAAAGCCGCCTCAGTCCGAAGGGTTGAATGTTGTCGCTAATGAAACACCAGAAATAAATAATTCGTTTAATCATCAAAAATATCTCCCTAACCACTGCTACGTTAAATTCGTACTAAGTGTCTTCCAATAAACACCCGGTCGCCGATCCGCGAGGGGCCCGAGCCAGTCCCAAGTGCCTCTTGCTCAGCAAATGCCTCTTCAGGTTGTACCTGAGTTTCGTTTTGAACGAACACTTCGAACATTCGTAAGTGCGCAGGTTTTCCGCGTCCTTGTGCGTCGACACGTGCACCGCCAAGTTTCGCTTGTACTTCGTTTTAAAGTTGCACTGCTCGCACGTAAACATGGTCGCTTCGTCTGGACCCTCGTGGGTAACCAGGTGACGTTTTATGTCGGAACTACGGACCGTTTTGTACGGACACTCGGTGCACGTGTATTCCTTCACTTGGGCCAAGTTACGGAAAATGGAACGGTTTCGGGGATCCAACCCTTTCGTCAGACGGTTCAGGTGGACAGCTTTAATGTGCAGACGCAATCGGCACTTTTGCTTGCTCGAAAAGGTACAGTCGTGGCACCGATACATGACCACGTCTTCGGGGCTTTTGTGCACCAACAGATGGCGCGTCAGGTGCCCGCTTTGCCGAGTCCGATAGTCGCACAGGTGGCAGCACTTCAAACTTCTGTCTTTTTTGCGGGACGGCGGAGGTTTTTTCGATTCGAAAGTCTCGCGGTTGCATGTAAAATCTCCAAAGTCGTCCACGTGCTTGTGAATCTGTTTGTGACGCTCCAGCTGCAACTTATCGGGAGGGTTGTACGGGCATCGGTCACAGAACAGGGACGTGTTAAGGTCGCCGTGAGCCTGCGCGTGCAGCTGCAGGCTGCGTTGCGTCTTCGACGTGTAATCGCATCTTTTGCAAGCCCAAACCCGCTTACCGGATATTTTCGGGACGCGTTTCGAGCGATCCGACTCTTCGGATTTGATAATCACTTCGTTGGTACCTAAACTAACGGAACGCTTAATTAGACACGTGCGCAGATGGACTTACTATTATTGGGGCTTTTGGCGCGGGTGGGCTACATATTCTTTCATTAAGTAATATTGCATTTTGAGACATCTAAGTATCTCCATTATCCTTAGAACTTATCGAAAAGGTAAAATAACATTTTGTTTTCATAATCATAATAAACGACTTTCATTTCAGTTAATAGCATAACAAACTTACAATACAGAGACCTTAGTTGCACCGTCTAGCTTGGAACTAGCTAGCTAAAGCAGTGCGTGGCGCAATAGTACACAACAAAATAAAAAAAGAGCTTATCTTAGCTACGATTTTTTTAAAAAATCTCTGTAGATGCAGTAACTTTTTCCTATATTTAATGGCACTCAGATGATGAAGCCTTGTTAGAAATACCCCTTATGTATTCCGCCTATCGGGATCGATAGTCTATATTAAAGAGTACAGAAATGTGGTCTTCTACGAGACTTCATCCTAAACCAAAATTAGAACTATGGTCACATTTTCTCAAGCCATACACGAAGTGCACACACTGGTTTTGAATTTTTTGAATTCTATACTCACTTTCGTTGTCTAAACGACAACAAAATTACACAAATTTAAATTTGATAAGACAAGGGACTAGCACAACTTTTTATTATTATTTTATTGTTATTATATTATTATTATATTATTTTAATTCCAAAAAGTAAGTAAAAGTAAAGATTTTGTAGGGTTTAACTTGAGATTATGGGTTTTGATTTATATTTCGTTCTACCTCCAAAACATCACAATCAGCAAAACAATAATACATTTGTGTATAGTAGGTAAACGCTTGAATTTTAAAGAACGTTAATGAATTTAGAATGAAAATAGGTCGCTTGACGATATTATTTGCTTTCTATTACTCAGATTTGATAACGTGAGAGAAAAAGATTGATCAGAAAATCTATAATATTTTAGCTTCGATATTAGAAGTTGATGATTGATTGTATCCAAAAGTCTTCGAGAAATCCAACAGCACATTTTCTTATCGTACGCTAGAAAAATATTATCCAATACATTCAGCAATGCTACTTCTTTTAAAAACCACATTGCGTAAGTGGAACAATGTTGTTAGCCATAAAAAATTCATACATTTCATTATATAAAATAAATAAGTCAGAAACTTTGATCTAATATATAAATTTGCCTTAATTTTCTATCTACCATCCTCATTTAAATCAGATTCACTACTAGAAGATGACAAGAATAGAAGAAACGTTTATTTAGTTCAAATTATAGAAGCATGTTAGAAGAGCAGACAAAGCAGCCCAACTCACCCCAAAAACTTGAAACTACACGCTGATTTAGGTTACTTTAGTTAGAGCGATGCAACGAAACGTCAGCAATGGTTTAGAACGTGACGTAAACGCTACGCAGCGTGCGGGAGCTATATTAACACATTCGCAGTTCTAAGGTTCGCTTTGCTTATCTACATTTGGGAATTATGTTGTCATTATTCTTGAATTTTAATCCGAACTGCTTCCAAGTTACTATGCGCCATGCCCGCCAAATTTCAAATTGTTGTAAATAAAACAAGAGTTACAGGCCTAATACAAAGCATTTACTTTTTAGGGGGATGTATTTTCTCGTCGCACAAGTTCTAATTTTCATTTGACCAATACTGATTTACTGATAAAAATTCTATACGTTTTTAACGTTCTGTAAAAATGTCTAACCATTCTTTTTGACAGTCCGTTTGCCACTGGTTTGGAATTGGTTAGAGATAATATAGAGGAAACAGTTTATTGTGACGCCACTGCACCATAGAACCATACAGTTCAAAAGACAGACATGGCATAAGTAAAAAATAAATAAATCGTATGTGTCTCAGTTAGTTGCACCTCATTGTAGACCAGTTTAAATGGTACTTACATCTGTCAAACTAATGCAGAAATTAAGATAAAAATGGCAATGAAGACATCATCCAAAAGAAACTGATGTACATAAAGGCGGGAGAAGGCAAAAAATTTGGCATTTTCAACGCCTAGAATTGTTTTTGCCTCAACTGAATGTGAGTAAAGAATTCCTTTTTAAGAAAACAAGGTTTATAGCTGGAAAAACATTGCTATTATATTAGTTTCCACCATCCTCCCTCTAAACTCTCAAATGGGATAACGTACCAACTATTCCAAATTAAATACCAAATAAACACAAAGTTTTTCAAATAGGCCACCAATATTGGTTCACACATCTGCATTGCTGCATTTTGTAAATGGGTATTTTATCTAATATTCAAAACACATGCAAAAAATAAGTACCCATATAATGTCGCTCACCTCTTATAGTCTAATAAATTTTCAGTTTTTATCACAGCATCTTCTTTGACATAGTACTTATTGACAATGTTATTGTTTAATTCCACAAATTTGTCACCCACTTCCGATTTAAACCTGCAAACACAAACGAACAAGGGTTTACAGAATTTTCTAATTAGAAAAGCTAAAATGTATACAATAAAGTCTTTGCCAATGACCCACTAAGTTGGCTTTAGATACTACTTATTTTCACAAATGGACGAAAGTCCAGAAATTGGTAACAATTTTTAAAGATTTTTATAATGGACAAACGATGAATAAACAAATTAGGCAAATGTAATATCAGAAAATATGAGAGATACCTTAACTCAGGATTTTCTCCAAAATCATCTGCTTCACTATCTACTGGTTCATTTTTTATTGCCACGAAACTTAATTCTTCAACGGTATATACATCATCTTTCTCTTCCTTAATGTAAGTGCTTTGAAAGGGTACTTCATTGCTAAGCACATCTGCCCTGCAATTTAATTTCATAATAACTCTATCAGGTTTTAACACATTAAATGAATTACGAGTAGCGCATCTGATCTACGTCTTCCGTTTTAATTTCATACGGTTTCTTTAATTTAATATCTATGTCCATCTGCCTATAAATGATATTTTGCTAGTGTCCATTTAAAACCTGTTATTACACGTCAACACAGTCATATGATTCTGACAGTTTCGTAAGTCACAGAATATTTTCTTCTTCTTCTTTTCCATAACGTAAGCACATCATTTAAGGAAATTCGCCCATTACAGACTTCAATCGAGGATTTTTTCAATTGGTCACAGACTAACAAGTAATAAAACAAAACCAACATTTGTTCTTTGACCGTTCTTGCTCAGCTAGCAGAAAACAATTTTGACCGATAACAAAAACCGGCATCGCCCTGCGTCCACCGCGGACCATCCGGGCCCATTGGGACTCCATACCGGCCTGAACGGTTAAAACAGCGGGGCCGGCGAACACTAAACACTACTGAAACAGAGTCACACGAAAAATGACCGATACCAAGGTTTTTGGGACCAATACAATGGATACTGCTAGTAGCGAACAGAGGTTAAACCGCCGCGTGCAATGCTCCACCACAAAATCCAAGTCACAGAACATTCAAGTCAATTCAATAATGCGTTTCACTAATACAGTTGGGCACGGTCACAGAACATAGAAACTTTTCTTCTTTAATTTAATACTACACATTACACGGTTTTAAAGGTGTAGCAGTGAGTTTTTCAAATAAGTAAGAATTTCAAGTTCACAAAATGTCATTTTACTAAAAATTATTATTAATTTGACACTTGTATGTTGGATGTTCCAGACCGTTGATATTAAAGCTTGCGTGCTTGCAACGATTGATTCGTTTTTGTACCTTGTCCCAAAATTAGTAAAAGAAGAAGACCACAGGGTGAGTTTTTTTTTTAATAGAAATTCATGATAAAAGATAACCATAATTTTCACCAAATGTTTAGTTGTAGTGTTTGGGGTTTGGGAGTATGATAATGATATGTCAAATTTAAACAAAGTTTATCAGTACCAGTATACAAAATAACCACTGTGAAAGTGCAGCTAATTTACTGTTTAACAAAAAGGCACCAAATTGGAAGTGCAGCTAATTGGAAATACCTATTGAAAACTGCAACATTATGAATAACCAGTTATTTTATTTTGTGGACACTGTTCAGTCACCAATATACAACCAACCATCAATAGTAAATATGCCAGTAGTCATGAATACTATTGCTCCCATTACATTCCTTTTGGATAATACCTTTAATGTACCTAGACCCTTGCTTAGCTTTGACAATCAAGCAACCATTCCATATAATACAAATAACGGGTAAGGCCCCCTCTGAGATAAGTAAATTTTGTAAATTTCAATAATAATTGTTGCAGGTTTATAATAGCCTCTACAGTTCCTAACAATACATTTAACTATATGCCAATGCCTAGTATTAAGGTTGAAGGTGTGCAAGAATCCTTGTGCAATGTTTCTTCAAGTTACAGTGTTAAAGTAGAAAATTCGCAAGGGTCCTCATGTGATGTTCCGGCAAGTGAACCTATTAAAATTGAAAATTTGCCGGAGCCTGATGTACAACCATTAGCAATTTGTAAAACTGAGATTGCAGAAGCAAATCCGTCTGATTCAGCTGTAGTAGATATTACCTTTGATGATGTATTAAGTGAGGATGAAAATATTTGTGATCATTTGGACATTAAATGTGAAATTCAAGAGGAATATGGTTCCGATGCTATATCAGGGTATGTGTGTTACAGATATATGCTTGAATTAGGAATGTGGGCCAACATTATTGTCTAGATCACTAATATAAATATTTTTGCATTAATGTTTTAGATCTTGTGTTTCCAATTCTTCTGATCAGACATCTCCAAGAGAGAATCCAAGTGCCACGCCAATAACAGAAAGTAAAACTGAAATTTGCAACTCTAAGGAAGCTTTTCTCAATTATATAACAAATGGTAGTGACTTACCCGAACAAAATATTACAAATAATGGAATATCCGAAGCAGCTGATGAAGATGGAGTTTTATAGTAAGTCTAGTAAACATTAAATTTTAAGTTCAGGATACATTGAATCCAAAAATCTCTTTAAAATAAAACTTTCACCTTTCAACATTCCCAAAACTTAAATTTATAGATCATGTTCATAATGTCTTCTCACATCAAATATTCCACATTCTTTATTCTATAGTGAAAGTGTTTATCAAGAATAATACTAAAAATAAACATTCATTACTTTTGGGTGGAACGTTTAAGGAAAATAACTTATAAACAAAAGCGAGCATGTAATGTTCATTTTAAAAACATGCAGTGCTTTGAACATTACAGACATTAACATTAAAACAAAGCCTTTGGATTTTTAACAATACAACTGTAATGAGTAATATGCAAATAATATACCTGCCAAGCTACATTTTATTAAACTCAACAGTCAGAATTTCATGAAATTTCTGACAGCAAAAATGATTATTTGGCAATTTTTTTCTAATTATATGACTTTTGAAAAAACTTGGAACAGTTTTGAAAATACCTGAAAAAAACTATTTATTTATTGAGCATTTTCCAATACTTACATGGTGGAACTCTTTTGCCACAACTAAATTAGTTACATATTGTAAAAACATAAATTGTGTTTCAAGGGTGTACAGGTGTAAAGTTTCTTATTATATATTCATTTTTACAGTATTAATGGGACAGTCTTTAGTGATATTGACGTTTTGAATGATAATTCCCTAAGACGAAAGGAGCCCTTCAGTCGCAAAAAATTATGGAAACCTGGTCAGTCTAGCGTCTCAGCTCCAGCGGACCCGGTAAAACCACAACTTACCTTGGAAGAAGTGAAGAAATTGGTCTCTCTCAAATGTAATGAGTGTGATTTCTCAACTCAAAAAGGTATGTACAATCAAACATATTAAATTGCTCGTTTGCAACATTTAAGGGTATGTGCTAGCATGCTAGTGGTTGCAGTCACAGAACATATTAAAAAGTTGCAGGTGTTTAGACAAATCTATTTTGTAGGCTAACTTTAACCTTGGTAGATTCTATTATAAATGATAGGTTAAAATCAGTGACTTTTTTCTGGTCAGTTGGCTATGAAAACCAAAGAATAATATGCTTTGGGGGATGGGATACAAATACAGTTAAGAAATTTGACAGCATAGAATCGTTTCTCCATGTCAAATTACCTTTCTCCCATTTTAAGAATAGAGGTTTTTGACTTTTACAAATGTTTTTAGGGATTCTGTGGTGGAGCATTGCACGCGACGGTTTAACCTCTGTTCGCTCCCGACAGAATCCCATTTATTCGTCCCAAAAAGTTTGATATCGGTTTCCACGGTTGGGATTTAGTGTTTTGAGTGTTCAGTGTGCGTCTTAAAGTGATAATCGTCCTCGGTCCCGTCGTTTTTCCCCGTTCACGCCGGATGGGCCCGGATTGTCCGGGGCGGAAGCGGGGGGTGTCGGTTTTTTTGGTATCGGTCAAATTTGTTTTTTGCTAGTTGAGCAAATATTGGTTATATGTCTTCTTTGTACGTGTTGGTCAATGACCAAAAGCGAAGATCCTCGACGGAAGTCGGCAATGGGCGAATGATCCTAGCAGTCGAGCCCAACATTTTTTGTGAAACGCATAATTAAATGTTTTTAAGGAATGAAAATCAATGTGAGGAGTAAATTTTTTCCATTTTTTGTACGACACAGTATGGCGTGCAATGTTAACCAAATAATTTTGTTACTCTGTAGGCGTATTAGACCTGAAAAGGCACAAGTTAATCCACAAGGGTGTGAAAATCTACAAGTGCGACGTGTGCTCGTACCAGACCTCGACCAGGAGTTACTTGCGGGTCCATATGTTGGTACACTTCAAGAACAAGCAAGTGAAGATGCATAAATGCGTCAAGTGCGCTTATGAGACGAGAGACTACAGCAACCTACTCAAGCACCGGCGGGTACATCTGACCTCGGAAGAGTTGGACAAGTTGCCTTACCATCATTGCAGTTACTGCAACTACAGAACGAAATTCAAAGACATATGCCTCAAGCACGAGCGTATCCACAAGAAGCCCGGCGAGATCCGCATGTACCAGTGCGACAAGTGTCCGTTTTATAGCAGGTACGATAGTATTAATTCTCTTAGAAGGCTGCTAGGGAGAGAAAAACCTCTCACGAAGTAAAAAAGAAAGAAATGGGACTTATAAGTATAATTTTCAAAATAAATGATGCTAAATGAAGGAAAGGAAATATATAATAATAATAAATTCACGCAAAACAGGTTTATTTGAGTAATATCAGACATAGTGTTTTCATATATTTCCTAAGACGATTTTCGGTTATTTTAATTTTTTGGCGGGGCAGCTCTGAAATAAAACTTTTCATATCGGCAACGTCGGAAATCATGCGGCGTTGCCATTTTTTGTTTTTTTAGGGTGTTACGTCCCTGGGTTTCCTTTGGCGATTTCAAATCTGAATGTTGTTTGTGAAAATAGTAGTAAATAAATAATCTATTAACCCCACAGTATCTTTATGGATATTCTTTCTCTCTTTCTTCGTGACTTATTCGGCTTGTTTATTGTGGATTTAGGTGCAAACAGTACGTTTGCAATAACAAAGAGGTCGTATGAATTACTTTTAAGTACCCACCCATTATTGTAGAGCAAAATCGATATTTAGGGAAGAGTAAAAATCAAGAAAATAGTAAATATTCAAGATTTTGAAAATCTTTTAAAAATGAAATCCAATATTGTTTTCAGAGAAATAGTTAGAGACAAGAATATTTTTGGAGATATCAGTGCGTTAGGATTCTTAAAATCTTTGGTATTTCTTTTAATACAGCCCACAAGTTTGTGGCCAAAATAACCCTCAAGTCACTGTTTTCGTGACCAAAGTGTTTTATTTTTATTTTTTGGTAAATGAAATACTGAAGTACTGCAAAGTGTTATAAAATAGACTATTTTTTTAACCGCAAAAGATCTGCTTTAAGTTCCCGATAGTTCTTTTGCCTCTCAATCTATTTGAATCCTCCCATGTAATCTGCAAATACCAAAAATTTGGTTAGTTTTGGTCACCAAATACCGAAAATTTGGTATTTTTATACCACTATTTAATTAAAATTAGAATAGAGGGTTAAGGCGGCTTTCTCAGAAAGGTTAGTTTTCAACGATCTTTGCTGGAAGATCTTTGCTCAAGAATTTTACAAAAAATACGTAACTTACGAGTAGCGCCAAAATTTCCCGGCCTGACATAGATGCAGCTCCAGTAGGCTGCGAAAAAAAAATTGAAGTCTGGCGTCAAAGAGTTTTTATTGACAGCATTTCAAACAAGACGTGTCCGAAAAAATGTCGCAAATACCGCAAATTGAATATAGAGCAGTTTTTGACAAAAGAAGGGTTAACACCTAAAATTATTAAAGAAAGGCTGGATGGTGTGTACGGTGGCCAAAGTTTTCCTTCGTATTTTGAATGTTTAAAACGTTATCGAATGGGGCAGGAGTCCCTTGAAGATGATTCAAGAACTGGTCGACCAGTGGAGGTCATAACGGAAGATATTGTTGCGATTGTGGAAGAGGTGGTATTGAGTGATCTACCTTTAAAGGTCAAGGAAAGCTCAGAAATAACTAAGCTTTCTGATACAAGTGTTCGTCGAATCCTGCATGATCATTTAGATATGCATAAGGTTAGTGCAAGATGGGTTCTGAAAAACCTTTCGGCTATTCAAAAATAACGCCGTGTCGAGTGGAACTCTGTGGGTCGGATCCGAAGCCTGTGATAGAAACTATTGTGTGTGTCTACTATGACCCTCTATCTAAAAAAGAATCAATGGAGTGGCGTCGTAAGGGTGAAGCACCTCCAAGAAAATTCAGAGTCTGCCAGTCAACAAAAAAGGTGATGGCCACGATCTTTTGAGATTGTAAAGGAATTCCTTTGATAGATTTTAAAGAAACTAATACCACTGTCAATGGTAAATAGTACGCAACATTATTACATAAATTGCGAGACTGCATACGTGTAAAACGTCGAGGAAAACTGACCAGAGGCGTGCGTCCTTTGCACGATAATGCACCTGTCCATACTGCTAGTGTTGCACAAGCTGCCATTTTAGAGTGTGGGTTCAACAGATAGATCATCCTCCATAGAGTCCAGCGATTGTTATTTGTTTGGATATTTGAAAAAGGACTTACGTGGAAAGAGCTTTTAGCTCATTTTGCAGACAAACCAAAAGAATATTTTTTTAAAGGGATTGAGTTGTCAATAAAGAGATGTAATAAGTGTATTGAAGTTAAAAGGGGGATTATATTGAAAAATAATAAAAAAATGTTACTCTACTTTGTTTCCTTCATATTTAGGCCGGGAAATTTTGGCGCTGCCCTCGTACTTACTGGATGTTAGTTAAGAACATCTTTCCTACTCTTAAATATTTGTATTATTTCACAATATTGCCATTTTTGGGAACTTTTACGGATATTGGACCACACTTGAACTAATTACATTTGAATAACTTAGTTTCGGTTAGTTTAAATCTGTATACAATATACAATTTAACTAAACTCAATCGGGTTTAAAGATTTAAGATTTTAAGGTTCCAGTGAGGAAATAAATTTTATTTTTATTATTTTGCAAAAGCGATTATTGCCAACTATCATTGTCGAATGAAGTTATAAAATATTGCATTCATAAAATATTCATGATGAACCCTTCATTTCTTGCAGACGTTCACAGGCGCTAACCAAACATTACATAAGGCAATATTAACGTTTTAATTATCTCAGTATTAGTGTCAATACGCAGTAAATTGCTTTTATTACTCTTGATGTGACCGGCAATATTAAAAAAAAATGCTGTATAGATAGAAAACAATAACGTACGGAACACAGTCCCCGCGGCACCCTTAGCAAAAATAAAATTGGAAAAATTGCCACCTCTTTCGAAGAAATGTTGCCTAGTTCGAAATACTGTCTTAACGTCTTTTTACTAACATCGTGTAGAACAGTTTTCTACGAGTATTATTTCCATGCCAGGTACGGGCTCCACAAACACAAGCTCGTCCACAAAGAAATCACAGAGTTGGACTTTCTGCAGTGCGGTAGCTGTTCCTATCTCACGTTATGTAAAAGAGCGTTGAACGAGCACATGATCAAGCACAAAAGCCCCGACGAGCTCGAATGGTTTTACTGTAACGAATGCGACTTTAAGTCTCCGCTGAAGAGAAAGTTGAAGTGTCACATAATGGTGAGGCACCTGGCGCCAGCAAATAAGAAGTCGAAGTCCTTCAAATGTCACATCTGCACGTACGCCTCTAATAACAAGAACAATCTGAAAAGCCATTTGTTGAGGCATCAGGATCCGGCGGATTGCCAGTTGTTTGCGTGCGCCACATGTGACTATACGACGCGGTTAAAAGAGGACTTGAGGTTGCACGTCAAGCGACATTTGAAGCAGAGGGAGAAAGAGATAGAGACTTGATTTTGAATTGCATAGTTCTAGTTTCAAATAAAGATAAAACAAACTTACTTTTGTTGTTTTCGTTGGGTTACTCCTCAAATTATTAGTTGCTCCAAGGCACTTCTTTTCACACAAATTTTCTTGCCTAATTGTTCTTCAGAGTTACATGGCAGGAACTTCTTCGAATAATACTAGATAATTATGCTCGGCAATTGCTGGGGAGATTATTTTATTGCAGTCTAAGGCTCTTTCATAACGAACTTACACTTCAAGTCAATAATAAAAAAAACATCAAAAACAAAGATAACGTTCAAATAGTATAGGTTGGTAGAGACAACAATTCATTTCAGCGAGGTTTCACCAATTCTTTTGGGCCAGTCTGCTGTGATCATTCGCCTGTTGTCGACTTCCGTCGAGGAATTTTTTCATTTAGTCACAGACCAAGAGAGCTATTACCAACATTTGTTTTCAGCTTTCGATGTAGGACTTTGACCGATAACATAAAACGGCCTCCCCCACGGACCATCCGGTGACCAACGGGCGTGAACTGGAAAAAACAGCGGGGGCGACAACCATTACAACTTTAAAACATTCACTAAACACTAAGAACACTGACACAATGGGAACGGATTTCAAATTTTTGGGGGACGATTACAGGGGATTCTGTCAGGAACGAACGCAAGTGTTCAACCGCCATGTGCAATGCCCACGATAAAATTCTGGTAGACGACAAACAAACGCGTCGTTATCCGAAAAGTGACATTTTTGTTAAAAAATAAATAAGAACTTTATTTTGTTAAATGGACTTTCATCAAGTAAAAGCCACCCCTATTCAAGATTTTTGTTAGGTTATATTTATTGTTTTGGCATAAAAACTGAGATAAGAACCGTTGAAAACATAGGACGATTATCATTGTAAATTGTTCTGTTATGTGTAATAGCTAAGAAACTGTTCCTCAGAAAAAGTTTCTAAAATAGTCTAAGCAATAGGTTGTATTTGATATATAGTGCCAGTGATATCTTAACTCGTTTTGGTATATTGTGTTAGATAATAATTACAAAATTCTATTTTCCAATTTTTTTATACACATGTATCGTTAATATTATATTTGAAGCATGATGGTAAAAAAATTACACTCTTTTCTTTTAATTTTTATACCCTGGAGTAAAGTAAAGTATGGTTTCTGTGTGCATCTACTCGTTATGTTAATAATACAGGAATTTTTGAAGCGACAATGAAAAAAAAATTGAAATCAAATTTAATTGCGGTATATTCATTTTTGTCACATCTTGAGTTGATTGAACTGATTGTCATTTTAAGAAGTCACGTAAAGTATAAAGCTAGTATTAAACTTTTCATAAAAATCCAGCAAGCCAATTTTGCTTTGTCCACTTTGAAAATAGGGATTTACGATCAAAACACCCGCATTTTCGACACGTACGGGGTATATTATTTTTCTTCAAACTCGGCCATTTTAAAGCACCCCCGTACCTCCTCTATTTAGATATGAACGTAGAATTCAATGTCGTTCTCAGAGTAAGATTAACAAAGGTATAAAACTGAAACTTACGACAGACACGATAATTGAAAATTTGCAAGAAAGCACGAAAAAATACTATTAAATACCATGGATGAACTGACAAATCTGGTACCTATGACCCCATCTACCCTATGCAATGTAAACTCCAGGGTTACCAAAATTATAATTAAAGAATATACAATTTTAGGTGAATTTTCTTTGTTGAGGTATTTTCTTATCATTGGAGTAAGATCACGTCAAGTGGACCCCCCATTTACCACTTGATCATAAAAATGTAATCTGTATATATTTTTTATATAAACTTATGATTAAAAATCAACTGTAAGAGAATTAAAATTGTTTGTTTAATTTCGTATTATTAAGTTACCAAATGAAAATTTAACTGATTTCTTGATAAAAAAAATGTTTTTTTTATCGGTCACATGCTTTATCCATTTAAATTTAAGATTCCAGAGGAAAATTTCACTGCTCGTCATCAGATTAAACAAAATGAATTTATTTATGACAGCGCGCTGCCGAGCGTCTCGAACTGCATTGAAGGTTTTATCAGTGATAATTTAAAATAATAATACAAAATATTATTATAAAACAAATTTTATTATTATTTGTGTTATTTTAATATTATTATTATTAATAAAATTTTATTTTTTTTAACAATGTTTTAAAGAATACTATCATTTTATCAATTTAGAAAAAAATAATCAACTTTAAATTAATAAAACTGTTATGGTCTGTATTTATTTTTTCGAGCTAATTTAGCAAATTATTTTTAAATTTACTAGTCAACACTCCGCTCCGTTACGATTTTCATTTGATTTTCGCGTATCCTAGTAAATAACAAAATCATTTTAGAAGTTATTCCTGTCTATGCGTGACATAAATTTATACCTAAAGCGTGAAATAATTACTAAAAATAAAAGCTGAAGTGTTGTTGAGTTGTGTTTTTTTAGTTAATATTAAATTAAAATGGGCCGAGTCAATTATGAAATTATGTGATTAAAAAATTAGTTTTAATTATTATTTAAATATAATTTTTCCAATTTAGTTAATCATAAAAATGATTTTGGTGTTGATGCTGATTGGACTTTTTCGCTACATCTCATGGCAAAGGAGCGGGTGATGGCTTAGCAGGGAGTGTAAGAAGACAAGCTTATCGTGCTAGTCTCCAACGAGATAAAAACAACCACATACCAACCCCACTTTCCTTTTTGCAGTGAGGCCAAAGTTCTTTAAAAAAAAAAATACCAACCTGGATTCGAACGCTTAACTACAATAAAAAATACTCGCCAATTTCATTATTACAAACCAATGGAAAATGTTTCACTAGAATCCAAGCTCGTTTCAGAGGATGAAAAAGTATTTATTTAAAAAAAAAAGTTTTCTTAAAAAAAATAAAAATAACTGATGACAAATGTACAATTTAATTATTTAAGCTTGTTTGTTCTATTTAGTATGTTATGATTGTTAATATTAAAAAAATAATTATGATAAAATAACATAAATAATAATAAAATGTTTTATAATAATCTTTTGTATTATTATTTTAAATTATCACTGATAAAACCTTCAATGCAGTTCGACACTGCGCTGTCATAAATAAATAATAATAAAATAAGTTCATTTTGTTTAAACTAAAATGACGAGCTGTGAAATTTTCTTCCGGATTCTTAAACTTAAATATATAAAGCATGTGACCGATAAAAAAAACATATTTTTTTTACGAAGAAATCGGTAAAATTTTCATTTATTAACTTAAAAGTTAGTTAATAATACGAAAATAAACAAACAATTTTAAGTGGTTAATATATTCTTAAAGCATAGACATTTGACCATGGGTGCTGAAAGTTTTATAAATTTGCCTCTTACGGTTGATTTTTAATCCGTTTTTTAATTAAAAGTGCTTAAAATTTTCACTATAAACAAAAATGTTAAAATCAAAATTTGAAAAAATCGTTCGGGGGGATCAATTTTCCATCATAAGTAATGGTGTGGTTTTACTCATTGGTTAAAAGTATCAAAATCAAACCAATCTACAAGAATGAATGCTGCAAAATAAAAAGAAATGAATAATGATCTCACACCTATAATATAGTATATGCATACAAAAATAGGCAAGAAACAAGGCACTTAGCGTCCATTTGATGACAAGGCATGCGCGATATTTTAACTATATAACAATGAAAAAATAATGTTTTTGGATGTCCCCCTGTAAGCATACGTAAAAAATAAGGATCTATTCGCACAACCAGTCGCAGGGCAACCGGGGCATTTTGCTCGCAGGCCAAGGCAGATACCCAGCCGTTTTAAAGACCCAATAATCGTAAGACACTTTGGCTATAAGGCTGACTAGTAATAACACCTCGCCGGTTATTATGTAGTATATGTAATCGGTCCAGTCTTGGGGACTTTGACAGAGTTTCGAAGCGTCCAGCTCCGTCACCTTGGAGTTCATGTTCTCGCATTGGATCTGATCGTGGTCGGGAATGTGGCTCAGTTTGGACAGTAGCCACACCTACGAAAAAAAAAAAATTCTAGTCAAAGGTCATCGCTACACAGTACCTAAGGCCTACTTTTAATTTCATTGTATTACAGTCACAAACTAAGCTGTTCATTCCTAAATTGACCTTCCTCTGATTAAAGTTCCTTTCAAACTGTATGTTGTCTAACAAATAAGTCTCGAGCATCTTAATCTTGTTGTTTCTCAGACTCAGAGTGTCGAAGTTGCCAATAAACTTGGTACCTTCGAGCGGCTGAATTGAAGAAATCTGATTGTTATCAGCGTAAAAATGTCTGAGATTTTGGTACGAAGGCTCGCTCAGTTCCTTTATTGAGGTTATGTTGTTACCGGACACATCCAAAGATATCGTGTTGTCGGGGAGTGGCACGGGCAGAAATTGAAACTGTTTACCGGAACAGTTCATTTCTACTTCAAAAGAGGGAAGTTTCCCAGGCACCAAGTTCAGTCTGTAAGTCTTGCAAGTACAGTTATGGTAGCAATTTTTTTGTAGCTCATGATCTGCTATCACTTGAGATAAAGGCAGCTTCTCAGTGCTTTGGAACCATTCAAAGTCTTTAGATGTCTCACAAAACGTCTGGTTTTCATTAACAAAGGACACTTCTGGTCTCAAGGCACTTTTTAAATTACTGCAGGCCATTTGCCCATTGTCTGAAAGCGATTATTTTTTGCCAACTACTTGTAAATTAGTTCTGTCATTGAAATATTAAAAGCAAAGGTCTACAAACTCACCAGATACATCTAGTGTGACATTTCCCTCCATCCTGAACCTTGGGATGGCTGACAAATTATTATTCGACAAGTCCAGAAAACTTAAATTGTATAAATTCACCAAAGACCTTTCTTCAAACTTGCTAATGCTGTTAGAAGACAAATTTAAGCAAGAGACAGACGCATGTCTTGCAAATTCCCCGGCCACCTCCCCTATCTGTCCATCAGAAATTGTCATGTAGCGGAGTCTCTTCAGTCTTCTCCATACAGGTTGAGACAAATTTAGTACCTCTAGGGTGGCATTGCGGATATGGAGAGCCTCTACTTGACCATCTGAGCCAATATCTGAAGAACAGCATAATGTATGAACTAATATTTTGGGGAAAGTTAATCCAAAAAAAAATTACTTCCGCAAGCCAATCCTTCATTTAGGGTAAACTTATTTACATTGCAACAAATAGCGGCCCTTCTACAGTTCGGTAGCTGTTGACATCTGCACGTGTGATTTAACGGAGGACAAGCCTCTTGAGGTTGGTGGAAGCAAATATGATGGCAGCTGTTATCATCATCAGGCAGTACACATAAGGTAGGAACAATCAAGAAGATAGCAGCTACAAAACGGACTACCTGCATCTGCAATGGATAATTTCTATAGCGAAATTTGTATACTACATACAAGAAAAATTGGAAAAATAGTAATACAGAAAAGTACCATTCAAATCATCTTATACTAAAATATGAAATGTTATTAATATTTGTCAATAAGGTCTTTATAATCAATTAATTTTCTCAGTTTTTTAGTGCTGTCATATATTTGTTTAAATTTTTAGGCCAAGTTTTTGTTTATTTTGATTTAGGTGTCAAACATAGATTATTTGTTCGTCTTCATTTCAACAACGTCAAGCAAAGTAACTAAGGGCACTTGCCCAAGCGCGTTATTCCCAGTTATTCTCTGGTCTAATTTCAGGTTTTAATTACCACAATAAAGGATAGCCGGTTTCATTAAAATTTAACACTTAATGTGATAAATGTAATTTAAAAGCGTGTCGCAATATGATACGGCAAATTTCTCAAAAAAAATGTCTCCAAACTATCTCAAAAAAACTAAGTTGGTTCATAGTTGTACTAGTTGTGGTAACGCTGCAAGTTCCAAATATTTTAATAATACAGATCATAGTCTCATACTTCTAACAGGCTATCGATAGCGGGGAACACGGCATCCGCAGGACTACGACAAAAAACAATGGACTCTTCAAGGACATGAAGACGCAAAGCGTGTGAAATATGGTGTAAAGTCCGTTCATAGATATAAGAAAGTGACTAACTGATACGAATTAAGGAAAGACCGGGGCAAGTTGTAAGAATGAAATATGGCCGAACAGGTCCGTACTTTGCTTAGAATTTAATTGTTTGGGGTTTTGTTAGGAAAGATAGTAAACAATATTTATTTATTTGTGTATGTATTTATGTTTAAATCTAAAATAAAATTTGCAAATTATTTTTATTACCTACTTAAATTACTTAACATTATTCATATAATATATCGGTATCACTATCGCTATCATCGCCTGTTCTAATTATTATTTGTTCTATATTATTGTGAAGGGATGTTAAAAACTTCAGTTTCTATAAGTTTGAGGACATTGGAGTTAACACGGGGAAAAACATTGTTACGACGAATGGCAGATTTCAGTTGGTGCCAAACATGTTCAATGGGATTAAATATATAGTGATAAGGTGGAAGCCTTAAAACTGTATGCCCTAAACTTTTTGCATAATTATCACAGACGTATTCCTTTTGTAGGTTCAATTAATTGCTTTTTGGTATAATCTTCGTGAAAATAAATGTCGTTATTATACATGCAGTTTTGGATTGTTGCCTTTGTGTCACATGAGGAAGGGGTTTTAGTCAACTGTCTACTGTGATAACTTGCATTGTCCATTACAATGACGCTATTAGGAGGAATGTTTGGAACTAGTTTGTTTTTAAACCAACTTTCAAATAAATCAGCGGTGGTGTCTTCATGGCAATCCAGAGAAGAATCTTTAATATTTTTCGCAGACAGAGAAAGTCCATTTGGAATCCAACCATCTTTAGAGCCAGCATGCAAAATAGTTATTCTTTTACCTCTTTTTGATGGCGCGTTTGTTTTACACTTATCAATTGAGTCAACCCAACCCTCTTCCGGGGTATGATAAGTGTCGAACCAGGTTTTATCCAAGTTAATAATTGGCCTTTGTTGTTCTCTGTCCTAATTTTTTCTAGATATTCCAGTCGCCATTTCCGAATTCTAAAAGATTCCATTGAAACTTGCCTTTTGTTAATTTTTTAAAATCTGAAACCCATTTGTTGAATATCTTTCCATAAGGTAGTTCTGCTACATTTAACACCGGTTTCATCTTTTTCAAGCCTCCTAATTAAGATATCTAATGTAGGCACGCTTTGTTCCTCGTATAACTGGTTAATTTTTCGCCATATTATATCTTGATCACTTTCATCTACACTCGAGAAAATGTCAGCATCGCTTCTTTTTTTCCTCGCTGAAATGGGATTATTCACCATTTTCCATACAGTTGATGTTGCAATTTTCGTCAATGTGGCTCTTTTTACTAAAGATGCTTGCTTGCTGGCACCACGTTCAATGAGAGTCAAATAAACATTGTTTATAACTTCCTTAGTCTCAATAGAATAGTGTTTTCTACATTTGGGCGGGAGCATCTCCTGAGATACACTAGACTCGCACATATTTTGCATAATTCGCACACGATTCAACACACGCTGTATTACACACGAAATAAGAATGATTACTAATAAACTAAGTAGTATACCAAACCAAAGAATATTAAACACAGGTAGGTATAAAATTATTTTCTATCACGAACCACAATTTTACCTGAATTTAAATTCCGAAACTTTAGGTAATAATCTTGTGGCATTGTATATTAATGGTCACCCTTGGAAAATCCCATTCAAAAGCAATTGGTCACTATCTATGAACAGACCATAAAAATTTTGGTTAGTGATTTATCCATCACGCCTGACTAATGGACAAAAAAATATAGGAAATTTCTCATGACTGTGAAACGCAACTCTCAACATGTTAATAGCACGGAAACCTAATAATTCCAAATACATATAAGCAGGTAAACCCTTTTAAGCGAGATACGGTGAAACTAAACTTCGTATAATACACCCGCGGTCTTGGCTTTGTAGTCCTTCAGCGTCCCTACTACCCCCGGTCTAGTTTTATGTGTTTTGTTTTATTTGGTATATTGTCTGCTCCCCCTGCACATCGAAGGGCGCCTTGGCAACCTGCGGACGAGGTAGATCTCGCTCCATTTCCATGGAAACGCAGTTGTTTCCCCCGGTGCAGCGGTGATCAGCTGAGGATTAGACCTGTCCGAATGCTTGTCTGAAATGATGCCGGGAAATTTATTTGACGTCGTGGGAGAAGGAAACTAAAAGTCTCAGATAAAATAAAATAAAGTGGAATTCACGCCGATACGTTTCCCCCAGTTGACGGCGCGGCATAAGGTATTAGTCGATGGAAAATCGCGAACGCTTCTAATTCTATTATTTCCAAATTCGATTGGCTGTTACACCAGGCAGACTTTCGAAAATGCTGAGAATTTAGCCACAGCTTTTAGTGTTTTGTTAATTTTTGTCAATAGTACAATATAACAACATAATCTCCATTTAACTGAATACGTTTATCACAACTATTTGAACTTTTGCGATGTTTCTTTAATCCTCCAAATTATTTATTATATGTTACATTATACTATTATTTATATTTGATACGTACATTCAAAAACGGGAAGGTTTGTGCTCTCCTGTATGGTGCAAACCCGAATGAACCTTTTATCTGGATTTTTCACAGTTGAACTCGTACAGAAATTCAGGAAACAATATTTATAACTAGTAGTTTAATAAAAAATAAAAATTACATACTTAAAAACCGGCACTACGATGCAAATTTGGTAGGAAATCTGAACGTATACGTGTACTATCCAGCGGTGTGACGTCACACCGGCTGCCGCGTATTTTGCTTTCTTTGAATACTCGGCGGCGATTTTAACTGTAATTATTTATTGTGAAATAAGTATTGCTATTTAAGGGTTCATATTTGGTATAATGTGTTTTCATATATAAAAACACATTTTAGTAAAATAAAAAATGGTCAAGTTTCCTATTGACAAAACCTGCATATATTTAAATCAAGTACTCGCGATTTAGGTTAACATGGATCTAGATCTATTTCAAATGTTTCATGCATTGCGTCAATTCCATATGGTGGTGGCTCAGAAGAATCGTAGTCTAGTTCGAAAATCTTCTAGCACTTTGGATCAAGTATTAATATAGAGATGCACTGCTACATAGAGTGTAAACTGATATATCTTGATATTTTGGGCAGTAGAAAAAAATCAACAATGTTCTTTGGCGAGAGACTCCATTTCTTCGGATAAGGAGTAGAGTAATAATAGGAAAATTAGCAAAAACCTCATTACTTTGTTAAAATCCGCAGATTTTAAATTATTTTGGATAGTTTTCAAGTATAAGAAAACACACTTTGCCCAAGACCTGTTTTTCGGTAAAAAAAGTTATTTTTTTCTAAATAAATACTAAAAATCAAGAAAATAATTAGAATTTTAACTGTTTCTGTCCTGGCACAATGGAACACCACGTTTAATCTATAATCTACAAATAAAACATACTTATATATACATATACTAAGTTATCAGAGACAGACTAAGAAATATTAAAAAATAAAACGATTTTCTTTATTTTAGTATTTCCGTCCTAGCATGTCAAAGTCTGTTTTTAAAATTTTAAATTGTACACTGGACAACAGACTGCCGACATCTGTTAAAATCCTTTATAACGAAAAATTTAAAACAGCAATGCAAGAATATATGCTTGCTCGTTGCTTCTATTCAGTTCAAGAATACCTTGCGAGTCATTTTGTTTTCGACAAAAATGATTAAGCCGTAGCCATGTTTTTCTTTTTTCTGTGCTAATATTTATTTTTTTATTATATAAATATGTGTATGTGTTTCGATTTAATTGTTTTACATTTATATTATTTTTACCTTGTCTTGAAAGATTAAGAAACTCTCATACTGCGGGCATGTTATGAGACATCCTGAAACATCCTTCATCCAGCATTTGATCATTTTTGGTAGCTTTAGTTCGATTTTTCAAAACGTCATGTCAAAATTATAAACAATTGTTATCTGTTTGCGCAAAACTTGCAGTGACATAGACAAACCTCGTGCAACGGAAAACTCATTTATTTATATATACTCGGCACACAACAGATCTGTTTGTTCTCCGTTAACCGTTTTATATATCGCAGTTTGTTCTTGGCACATCTTACCCTCATCAGTAGTCGAGACGCGTCGGAAAACGAACCTCTTCGGCAACTCATCAGGCCGACGTCTCATTCATTATTCCAGATGCATCGCCAAAGGTTTTTGGATTTCCATCCATTACTCTTTTATTCGGAGAGTCTTAAAACAAGACTGGCCACTCTTCCACCTCACGTTAAATCTACTTTTATTTAGGGGGATGGTTTATAGTCAACCGCAGCGAAAAAGCTGATTTTATGCATAATATCAAGAGTAGAAATTTCCTGATTATCAGCCAAGCAAATATCCAGGAAAGGCCGTATGAGAGAGAGTGAGAAAGTACACATGCGGGGCTGGATATGCGGAAAATATTCTGCCCAGGGCTATAAACATTAGACATGACATCTACGCAATGAAGCAGCACCTAAGACGAGATCTTGCGAAAACTAGAAGTCGAAAGCAGTAACCTGGGCTTAGATATAATCTAGTCAAAAACCAAAGTGATGATTGTCCACT